CACTGAATCAAAACTATTTGTACAGTGATTGAAATCTTTTATTTTTCAAAGTTGTTTCAGTGACAAATTAACTTGATAATAGTTGGTAGTAAACTAAGCACAGTATAGGTATAATTTGGCAAAAAAAGTCGAAAATGTAGGGAAAAAAACTGTCCATAGGCGACCATTCACACCACATGCAACCTATCATATCAACGCTACAGGTCCAAACATACATCTAAACGTGAACATCACTTGGCGAAGGTATGAGATTGTGGAACTCTTGTTTTCTCCGTATGCTGCGCTAGAAGACCGTTAAATTTGAATGCGCGACAACAAACAACTGCCAAGCAGCAAGATTTTATAGACATAGAAATGCGCTATGCCAGCTTCTTGATTCACGTGAGACGTTCTAGAGCAAATGGCACACCTGGGGTCATCTGAGGTTACATACAGTTACTAAGCAACAGGGGTTGTTTATGTTCGAATTCGGTATCATTCGAAGACTGGCCTTGCTATGAGGTGGACACAAAACAAGATCGCTCTCAAGAAAAGGATCAACAAAACAAAAAAACACATTTCAACAGCAAATAAAGGCACACGTTTAACATAAATCATGTCTTTCAGGACCTTGGGAACCTGTAGGCCTAAAAAGAGGTAGGATTTTCTTTCCTTTAGTCGTGTTGTATACGCGCTTGTTTTCATCGCTCGAGATCGGTTTTGTTCTCTGTGTGTACTGAGATAGTCTAGAAGACCGTTAAATTATAAATAGTAAACAAAGCCACATTTATTTCATGTCCTTAGACAGCTTTAGGCCCAAATATCTAGGATTTTCTTTACTTTTCTCGTGTTTTGCGCGCTTATTTTCATTGGTTGGTTTCGTTATTGGTGTGTAACGTTACTGCGTTAGAAGACCGTCAAATTTGAATGCGTGACAACAAGGGTTAGTAAGCAGCAAGGTTGTTTACGGGTTCAAATTCTGCATCATCCGAGGAAATAACAGTGCTAGTAGGCGGCTACACAACAAGATAAAGGTAAAAATTTAAGATATATCATTTTTCTGGACCTGGGCACCTGTCAAGAGGTAGGATTTTATTTCTTTTCCTTATTAGCTACATGTTTTGCGCGTTTGTTTTCATCGGTAGTGTCTGATTCTCTCTTATACTGCGCTAGAAAACCGTTAAATTTGAATCCGTGACAACAAACAATTGCTAAGCAACAGGGTTGTTTACAGGTTCGAATGTGCGACAACAAGTGGTTGCTAAGCAGCAAATTTAAAAAGTTGTTTACATGTTCGAATTCAGTATCATTCGAAGACTTGCCGTGTTAGGAGGCGGCCACACAACGGACGGTCTCACAAGAAAACGAACAACAAAACAATTTTCTCCAGCAAATAAAGGCGCACATTAACATAAATAGTTTCTTTCAGGTCCTGAAGCACGATCAAGCGCGTAAAGAGGTAGGATTTTCTTTCTTTCTTCGTGTTTCTGCGCGTTTGTTTTCATAGATTACTTTCGTCCATCCAACAAACGAACCCCACATATAACTAGCTATCTGTTCTGTGGTCAAACTTTGGCAACAACAAAAACCCATCCGTATCTCGGTGCTACATTGACAAGTAGCCTAAGTGGGGAACCCATGTTAACAACATCACTGCGAAGGCCAAACAGACATTGGGAGTGATTAGGCGCAATCTGTGGTCATGTGCAACAAAGGTAAAATCACTTGCACACACGTCGCTTGTAAGACCAAACCTAGAATATGCCGGATATAATCTGGGAGATTTTTGTGTCAGCTCACAATTTCATAAAACAATCAGATGTGAAGAATGGATCATAATTCGTAACCGTTTCTGCAATATTTAGCTTCATTTTTCTTCAGTTTTAATAACCAAAACTTGTCTGCATTAATATTTATTTTACCCTTAGCTAGCAACCCAGCATGGTATACGATCACCTACATGTAGGACGAAAAAAGAAAACATCCCACAAAATTTAAAGTTTGACAGTTTATTCTCACACAAGAGGTAAAGTCTGAATGATAGTACACTCAAATTGTAGTACAGATATACATGTATTTGTTATGTTTATATTCATGCACATGGACATAAGATGATCAAATTAGGCCACAGCAAGTAATTTCTATGGTTGACATCAACAAGGGCATTAATTTTCGAATGATTTTGGGAAAAAAAAATTTGTTGCCCCTGCCGAAAATGGGACAAATGGCATGCCTTGCCATGCCGGAACGTGTATGGCAGATAAACATGAAGAGAGGAGACAAGACAAGGCTCTGATTTATTGTTTTGATTTTTTCTTTGATGCAGTGATGTATTTCATTCCCTTTATATGTTCCCACTGAATCAAAACCATTTGTACAATTATTGAAAACTTTTCTTTTTCAAAGCTCTGTCAGTGACAAATGGATGTTGTAGATGGCAGTAAAGTTAGCATAATACAGGTATCATATATTGTTTAACAGGGTTCATGATGTCAAAATTTGAAAATATAGGAATTTTGTTTTTTTGAGCCCGTCTTGTTTTTTTTTGCCCGCTCGCATTAGAAGTATGTGGAGTATGTCATCCATAAAATTTACTTGTTGTGGCCTTATCTAAATTAACTTAATTATCTAAATTAAATTTCCAAAGTTTCTATAATGGCCTGGTACACATTTCTCTGGCTGCCTTTTTTTAGAAATACATTGAATTTCCAACTTAATAATTGTACAAACTCCTAATTTTGACGGTAAAGTTTACCAATGCTATGATAAGAATTTGCAAGGTTGTAATGTATGTAAAAACCACGTTGATCCAGACTTTTCTAGTCTGCGCTGTTGCATAATGAGTTAAAATTTCAAAACTGTACAACCATTAATACTGTTCCAACATATCAGAATATACTTAAGAAATGAAAAAAAATCATCTCATCCCAATTAATAAACTCTTCATTACATTTTGTGTGTAGTTTCCATTCCCATTTTGCCTTTTCCAATTGCTACAAATTTAAACCAGTTGTTTCAAAATGCTGTTCCAATATATCAGAATATGAAATAAGAAATGAAAAAAAATTATCTCATCCAAATTAATAAACTCATTACATTTTATGTGTTACTGTATCCATTTCCATTTTGTCCTTTCCCTAATGCTACAAATTTAAACCAGTTGTTTCAAAATGCGATCAATTCAGCCAATTAAAAGAAATGATACGTTTAGATTTATGATGATTTGAAATTATGGCTTCTTTGATGAAATGTCCAATTGTATTGCTTTTGATTATCATTTCAGTTTTGTGTACGTAATTGCATCAAAGTCAACATTGAATAATAAGGCCACACCAATTTAATTTGTTGTTTCTCGGATTTGCCCTGTCCATTTTTTTCTGATTTGCAAAATCAACTGCAAAATGCTCAATGAAAGACATATTTTGGCCCCAAAGGTTGAAGTTAAAGTTGTACTTGTTAAAGTTTTTCAATGCAATTTTTGTTTCATTAAAAGTTCAAAATCTATTGTCTTAATTATAAACCAGCCTGGTATGTTCACTTCATGGCTCATATTGTAACATTTCTGGCTATCATGGCCTTGGCCTGTTTTTTTTTATTTTCCCCTGTTGCTTCATATTTATTCTGAAAAAATCCGAGAAACAAATTGGTGTGGCCTAAAGTCAATTTCAACTTCATTAGATTTTTGGTAACTTCTTGTCTTCTTAAAACTATAAACATCCAGGCATGCAAAAATTGGTTGATATATGTTATAGTAAATGGTAAAACTTTTGCATGCATTTAGACAGAAAAAAAGCTGTTAAAATAGAAGGTTTAATTCAAGTCGTTGTAAATTTCAATGGCCTTCGTCATTCTGTTATCATGGTGGTCAGTTGGAGAAGGCTATGTCACATTCGTCGTATATTGGTCGTCGTACGGTTTTGATGTCGTAGGATTCTCAAGCAGGTTGGTGATAGAACCTCTTGGTTTGATTTATTCAAGTGTCACTTAGCTTCTTCATTTATTTTGCTATAATTTTGTTTTTAACTGTACATGTATAATGGGTACATGATCTTCGGACGGGAAGAAGAAGCCAACAACAATATAATGGGTACTTATTTACGATATGTTTATATTTTCTCTTCATTTGCCTTGATTCTCATTAAAGTATTTTCAATTGGTTAATCAGTTTAATTGTGATTGTTTTGTTATGTTTAAGGAGAAGGGCTTGTACAAGCCTTTAAGGCTTATCTTCTCCTGCACAGTGTTTTTAATTTAATTTACTTCACCTTGTATCTTCTTTTTGTGCGAAATAAATAAATGACTAAAAAGATTAATGCCAACAAGGATCTAACTGCCATTTTGGTAACAATACTGCTGGATTTTGTACTTCACATATATGACTATTCCAAGAATGTCAGCTAAGGCCACACCAATTTATTTTCTTGGTTAACGGATTTTTCCAGAAAAATAATGGAGCGGGCGGGCGAAAAAAAAATAAAAATAAAAACAGGCCTAGGCATCCTACTATGGCCCAAAATGGTATGATAGGAGCCATGAAGTCAACACACCAGGCTGGTTCAAAATTTAAACAATGAATTTTTAACTTCTAATGGTAGCACTGCATTGAAAGATGGAATGACCATAACAAGTAGTAAGAAAAGGACTGTTTTCAACTGTTCAGGGCAAAATATGAGCATTTTGCAGTTGATTCTGAATTTTTATTTTTATTTGCAAATCAGGAAAAAATGAAGAGGCGAATCCGTTAACCAAGAAATTAAATTGGTGTGGCCTAAGGAGCAGCAACATGTTCACATTGCCTAAAGCCAGGACTCTACGCCTGAAAAAAGTCTTTTTTACATTGTGCAGTAAGACTTTACAATAACAGTGGTTGATATTGAAAACCCATGTCTGCTATTTCCTGTTGTAGATTGAATAGCGTTTGTACATATTTGTATATAGTGTGTTTTCTGTGTCTTTTTTGGTTTTATCAATTGTAAAAATTGAAGACACAATTCAGGTGTGCATCAGCATCTCCTGCTCTTGTACAATTTTGCTTGATTGAATAAATTGAAAAAAAATTGAATAAATTGAAATATCCTCGTACGACGATCCTACGACAAATGTGACCAGCTCCTTAGGTGTCAGAAGACCCGACTACGTTAGGATTAGGCCAGGCCTCCCCGATGTCAGTCTCACTGGTACTGGTGCTGTCGATGTCCCACTCATTACTGTAGGGCAGGCTGTTGGGGATAGCACTGCGGCGATACAAAAATAACATCAAGTTAGAAATATTAGACTTATCCTGTAAACTGCCTCATGATCAAGCTGTAAAACACCCTTTTATACATAATTCGTAAAAACGGGTCATTCAACCAGACCGGCTATGACTATGTTGTCTATATGCAATCAGAAAGTAGCACATAAAAGCTCCCAAAGACCATGGAGACCCCCAAAACCACCAGTTTTTGGCATGCTATGCAGGCTACAATTATGCTCTATGGAAAAGGGCATGCAGGCTCATACAATGTATGTATCAAACACAAGAAGCGCTACCCACTGCTTCATGATGGCCACCACGATTCCGATGACCAGTCCGACTCCCAGGATGGACAGCACGACAATGACCCCAATCATCCAGCCGGCAGGGTAGGGCTCGTCCGGGAGCAGTCCTGTCCCCAGGGTCATCTTCACCACCCTACTGCCCATCACCTGGGGGTGGGGAGGTTAGGTTAAACTAGTGCTGCGTACCTTTTCGTAACATCAGGTACAGGTACAGGTACAGAGGTTTAGGTCCAGGTCCGGACCTGTACCTGTACCTGAAAATTCACGCGCGTCACATGTTCTACTGAAAGTCTTCAATAATGACTGAAACATGAATAAAGTGTTGACAATATGTCCTGTATCTTTCAAAGAACATCAAATATAACCATGGATGATATAACTAGGTTTCCTATCTCACTTCTCACTAGTTCTCAGAGACGGAAACTAAGGTAAATCTCTTTATTTTAACGCTGGATGTTCATTTTCCTGGCAGGCCTCCTTGTGTTTAGTGATCAAGTATGAATTTTTGTTCCAAAAAACCGGTCCACCGACGTTTGGTTTTTTCGGACCGGACCGATACTATTTTTCCGGTCCGTACCGGTCCAGGTACGCAGCCCTAGGTTAAACCCAATAGACGGGGAGTTTACCTTTCACTGATCACAGGGGGGACATTTCGAAACATGATTTTAGAACCGGCTTTCGCTTGCATTGTCCCTCTGGTAGATTTACTGACGTGTGTAACTCTGATTTCTGAAAGTTTCTGACCTGGGCTCGTACAATCAGTCTAAAGCTTATCAAGACTTCGCGAAAGGATGGCTGTCATCTGTGTCCTTCCACCCAATCTCAGCAGATAGCTGATCCTGGTATAAGAGAGCAGAATGCAGACCATCATAGTTATCTGCCAGGGGGACATCACAAGCAAAATCTGCGTTCAACTTCAGGGTTCTAGAATGACGTTCTATTCGAAATGTCTCCCCCGTGACATAAGCAGTTCTAGCAATCCCCAAAAGGTAAACTGGTCTATTCCCAAATTTGGCCTCCTGAACACTAGCCAGACGCCCTGCAGCCATGGTTAAGAGTTAGAAGGTATTCAAACATTTTGAACAATGGTACAACCCTCTGACTCAAAATTTCAATCTAGCATTATCTTTTCAAAGTCCAAAAACTAACAAATGAAATCCTTATCTTGAAAGTTTATCTGTGTTTGTAGAATTATGAAAGTTTGAAACGCAATCTGATTCTGTGTCCAAGGTTCCAATGAGACATTCAATAGTCACAGAATCAGACCTTTTTAGCCGTTGTGACTATTTCTGGGTCTAGATCTTCTCACACAAATTAAAAGAAATTCCAATAACTTTACAAGAATATAGTCCCTTATTTTATGACACAGTCCTTGTAGAATGAGTCTCCTAACATTGTTGTTAGGTAACACATTGCAGTTGCACCTTTTACTTGTACAATTGTTGTGCAATAAAGTTATTACATGTACTTTAACAGGGTTATGTGTGAACTTAAACTATATGCCTACACTTAATTAAGTTGTTCATAATGACCAAATGTTATCCCTCCTTTGATATACACAGAAAAATATAATAATGCAATGTAAGAAATTCTGTTAATTCTGTACTTGGAATTATCAATAAGCAGATTTATGTTATCTTATTCTTATACATTCTTTCTTATGATTGACACTGTCCCATTGCGACCAATTAGGTATCTAGGGGTAATTTAAGGTCAACTCTTCCTAAACCCAGCGTGGATGAAGAGTTTCATCCCTAATATTAACAGTCAAATGGCACAATGATTGATGTTGTTCCAATTTTCTATCAGGTTTCAAATTAGCTTTTTTGTGTATCAAGCAATTTATTTTTATTACGATTATTACGAGGCAAAGGGGATTATAAAATTGACATGATGAATAATGCTTCCTCTATTTTTATCGATTGTCTCGTTTTCTTGTATATTAAAGATGTTAATAACAGTGTTTTTGATCAATACTTGTAATCCACGCATAGCTTCCTAGTGTTCTTAATTCAGTAAATCAATATACTGGGGATGAAACTAGCCTCCTGAAATTACCTTGTTTCTAACACATAAAAAACAGTTTGGGCACGCTAAGGCCACACCAATTTAATTTCTTGGTTAACGGATTTTTCTTGAAAAATAATGGAGCGGGCGGGCGAAAAAAAATAGAAATAAAAACAGGCCTAGGCATCCTATTATGGCCCAAAATGGTACGATAGGAGCCATGAAGTCAACACACCAGGCTGGTTCAAAATTTAAACAATGAATGAACTTTTAATGATACCATTGCATTGAAAGATGGAATACATTTGTAACTATAACAACTAGGATGAAAAGGACTGTTTTCATATGTTCAGGGCAAAATAGGAGCATTTTGCAGTTGATTCTGAATTTTTATTTTTATTTGCAAATCACAAAAAAATGAAGCGGGCGAATCCGTTAACCAAGAAATTAAATTGGTGTGGCCTAACAGCTAACTATCTTCTTTTGGCAAGGTACTAGCATGGATATGTTCTGTCTGGAGGGCTCGCACTCTAATCTACCTGAATGTGAGACAGACTGTGTCTAGCTCAGGATCATGTGCTGTGGATTTGATGAACAGGCTGATGGGAAGTTAAGCCCACTATCCATCACTGGAGGGTGTACAGAAAGTGCAAAATGGAGCAGAAAGGAACAAAATGGGACAAAAAGGGGTGAAACGGAGCGAAACGAAACAAAGAGGTATAAAATAAAATCAGTGTGAAGCAAAAAACAAAGTAGGCTGGCGATAGCATAAAATACAAGCAAAGGGGACTGTGTAAAGCTCTAAAATATGCAGAGATTGGTGTTAGATGTTGAATGTGCAAATACATTTTTGTCCGCTTTCAAAAAGAAAAAAATTCGACCATACTGTAAATCGTACAAAGCAACAGTTACTGCAAAATTAGCAAATATATGCCGAAGATTGCAAAAAAAAAAGATACTAGTGTCTTACAATGCCAAAATCAATTCCAAAGGAAAAGAAGAAAATGTGAAGAAATGAAAACAAAGATTCTATTATTTGCCATACCATACTCTGTGTGTTTAGTCATTTGTCCAACCTTCTTGACCACGTAGATTTCATAACCAAGGCAACTTTTTGTTCTTGGCCAAACTTTTTTTCATTTGCACGCTCGCATCAGTTTTGAGGTTCCAAGAGGATGTCATCCATATACTCAAATCAACATGGCCTTAAATGAATTTCGGGTACTTTACTAACCCCTTCCATGCCCTCGTGGTCGTAGCTCTCCTGGTGTGCGCTGAGTGCAGCCCTCAGGACGTCCTGGTCCAGGTGGGTGAAGGTGGGCACGGGACGGATGTTGTGATAATGTGGGCTCTCATCCCAGCTGGAGCACAGGTCGTTCACCTTCAGAGGGGTCACCACCACCGCAAGTCTGGGGGAAAAGAATATTAGGGAGATGTACATGTTACCAATTCAAATTCAAATTTCAAACTTTTTTATTCCGTAAGGCTCTCACGGGCAAATAGCCGAATTTCGTAATCTCCAAGCAGATCCCTCTCGGTGGCAAAAAGACAGTATCAAATTGGCCAGACAGTATCCATTAGCCAGAGAAGCTCCATTAGCCACCGTTGGTGGGGATCAGGACAAAAAAAACGGCCATATATAAAAAGGTAACGATCATTCCCCACAACCTCTGCTAGGAGAGTACGAATTTCGTCCGTATTACATATTAAGTACAAAGAGCATTAAAAACAATGATTTGTGACACTCTTCATTGTACACATGAAACATCATAGGCAAACACACTATGAAGACAAAATTTGCACAAAATATGCAGTTATCACGTAGGATTTAGCTAGATGCTACAAAATGTATATCACTACTGCTGAATTGTCTTGTTATAGAGGCAAACAGCGCAATGAAGGAACAACTTGCTAAGTCTCTTAGTCCGGGCTTTAGGTAGACTGATTGTGCCAGAGTTTCTGAGTGAGAGGAAGGCAAAAGTACTTGACTGATACAAATGTACGTGGTCTACATGTATCATTATTGTGATCATCTTCGCCGCTCTCATCTGTCGACTATGCGGGCCCCCACAGCTTTCCACTGTCTTCTTTCCTGTGCTTTGCTTTGCTAGTATACCTGTACTAGACATTATGTCCTACCTGGGCCACGATTACGTTTCGATACAAGTGTTCCGGCCCGTGTGATAACTAGCGGTACGGCCGGGGGGTTCTTAACGCGTACGGCCCGGCCTTCCAAATGTTCAATACAACGATTTGAACGCATTTCGCCCTAACCGCGTGCACCGCTTTCGAAATTCGAATACAAAATTCGGACGTTGGAATTGATGTTGTTGCATTATTTGGTTTAGGGACACCAAATTTTTGCTTATTTCGCATTGAAAGGCACGTTTTCTTGGGTGGGTATGACATAAATAAAATACAACCTGTATCATCTACATACATGTACATTGTATTCCTAACTGTATCAAAATAACACTTTTAACAGAAAATTGGTCGGGGACACTTATTTTGCATTTCTTACATGTTCAAGACACATTTCAGAGTGACTAAAAGTGTTTCCGAGTTTCCGTAAATAATTTCATCAGGTTGGAAGATACTTAGGGTATAGGATTTTCTTCTAACACAACCAGTAAGGTTCTCACCTGCTTACGTTTCGATGTCTATCAGACACCTTCCTCAGAGCTTCTGACTGGAGTTCTGCAACTCGCCGCTATTTAACGCCAAAGTAGGTGGCGCTTTTGCGGCGAGAATGCAATCCCAAACCAGTATCTCAACTTCAAGTCCCACCATCCACTGCACCAGAAACTGGGAGTCATCCGCACCCTTATGGACAGATGTAACTCTGTGGTGACAGAGGAGGAGGACAAGGAAAGAGAAACACAGCACATCAGAAGAGCCCTTGTCCGTTGTGGGTACCCGGAATGGACCTTTCGGAAGGTGGAACGGAAAGGGAAGAGGTCAAAGCAGACAGAGAAGAACAGGAAAGAGGGGGAGAAAACTAGGGCCATGGTGATTATCCCATATGTGAAAGGAGTAACCGAACCACTAGAAAGGGTATTCAGGAAACACCAGGTATCCACAGCAGTGAAACCAAAAACAACATTGAGGAACCTGCTTGTCCACCCCAAGGACAAGATGGGGGACCACGTGAAAACAGACTGCGTATATAAAATACCATGCAAAAGCTGTGATCAAGTGTATATTGGAGAAACTGGCAGGACCTTTGGCAAAAGACTGGAAGAACACAGAAAAGAGGCAGACAACAGCGAAACCGTAAGATATACACGCTCCCAGAAACAACAAGCACAAAAAGAAGAGAAGAAATTGGCAGTCACAGACCATGTTGCCAGAAACAATTGTGTGATAGACTGGGAGGGTGCCAGGGTCATAGATAGGGAGGACAACAGAAGAATCCGTTGGATTAAAGAAGCAGTCTGGATAAGGAAGTCTACACCAGTGATGAACCGGGACGAGGGGGGATACAAGCTCAGCCACGTTTGGGATTGCATTCTCGCCGCAAAAGCGCCACCTACTTTGGCGTTAAATAGCGGCGAGTTGCAGAACTCCAGTCAGAAGCTCTGAGGAAGGTGTCTGATAGACATCGAAACGTAAGCAGGTGAGAACCTTACTGGTTGTGTTAGAAGAAAATCCTATACCCTAAGTGTTTCCGAGCTTATCGCATGAAGAAAAATGCTGCCATACATTATGTATGGTAGGATGGTTAAACTCGTCCAAAAAGCATATTAACAGTCTTATCTTCCCATCCACCTGTTCATTCGATCCACAGTACATGGACTAGACACAGTCTACCTCACATTCAAGTAGGCTAGAGGAATGGCAAAACTCTCACTCAGCTCTCAAACATCAGATCTGCATAGCAGTTTTATTTTCTTTATTCTTTATTTCAGGCATAACTCTCCCATATAAAACATACAGATAACAAGAATTCAGAGATCTCACACCTCCATGAAATATAATTATGAGTTTTTGTAAATTTTTTTTTGTCTCATTGACCATGGAAATAAGGTCGTAATTAGCATAATCTAGTTTGATTTATGATTTTCTATGATTCTATGATTTTCAGACACACACACAGACATGCCAAAAACAATACCTCCATTTTTCATGGAGGTAAAATACACACAATGACAGCAACAAAGTAATGTCTATAGTAAGTACAGTTGGGCCCAGGTATTGCGGTAGAATCTGTTGCGGAATATTACATCAAATTTGAAAACAGATTGGATAATGTTGACATTTATAATGCCATGATACAGCATTGCATCAGTGGCATTAGTGGCATTGCATGGTGTACTGGTCAGAGTGGTTGGCTGATTGGAACCAAGAGGTCCCTGGTTCAATCCCTGACACACCTGATGTTGTGCCCTTTGGACAGACTTGTTACATGACTTTCCTCACTACAATGAAGTGATGCGCACTCATGGGCCTCTTGGCTAAATGTTATCTAACACTGATAATAACACTCTTTGGTGGTTTTGGTCTAACAGCTATTAGTGAAGAACTACACATTTGCTACTTAGGCCACTCCAATTTAATTTCTTCGTTAACGGATTCGCCACTTCATTTTTTTCTGATTTGCAAAAAAAAAAAAAAATCAGAATCAACTGCAAAATGCTCATATTTTGCCCTGAACAGTTGAATAGTCCTTTTCGTCCTAGTTGTCACAGTTATTCCATCTTTCAATGCAGTGCATGGTATCATTAAAAGTTCAAAATTCATTGTTTAAATTTTGAACCAGCCTGGTGTGTTGACTTCATGGCTGCTATTGTACCATTTTGGGCCATAATAGGATGCCTAGGCCTGTTTTTACTTTCTTTATTTTTTCGCCCGCCCGCTCCATTATTTTTCTAGAAAAATCCGTTAACCAAGAAATTAAATTGGTGTGGCCTAAGAACTGTAAAAAATACAGCAACATTGCTTTATGACATGGTTCTGTAATAATGCTGATAAAGCGCAAACATTCCAGTCAAAACTGCTGTGACTGCAACTTCCAACATCAGAGTGCTTTTAGCTGGGTGGTCAAACAACAGGGGCACTCTTGTATTTAGTATTTCATCAAGGCCCTTCAAGGACACAGTGGAACTGAAGTGCTCTCTTTGCAATATTTGTAAAAGCCTTCAAACAGCAGTCTCAGACAGAGAGATCTCCATAACCAAGTCTGCTAAAAGGATTGGATTATAAAGTTCTTTGTTCCATAACTGAAAGTATTTACCTATCTTGTAAGAGTAATCTCTTTGCTGCCTACTCCCCACTTTTGGTTGTGCAACAGAGAACTGTATAATCCATTTATGTGCTAACAACCTGAAGAAACTAAATTTAAGGATTTCTAAAAGTACTGATAAAGCAAAAGGTACCTTTACTGAATACTGATCAGATGCTCCTGGCAATGTGTGTTTAATGCATTTTTCTGTCACATCTTAAGCATACCAATTTAATTTCTTTGTTTAACGGATTTTTCTACAAAAATAATGGAGCGGGTGGGCGAAAAAAACCCAACAGGGTTAGATATCCCATTATGGCCCAAAATGGTACGATAGGAGCCATGAAGTCAACACATCTGTCATCAGGCTGGTTCAAAATTTAAACAATGAATTTTGAACTTTTAATGATACCACTGCATTAAAAGATGGAATAACAGTAACAACTAGGTAGAAAAGGACTATTTTCAACTGTTCAGGGCAAAATATGAGCATTTTGCAGTTGATTCTGAATTTTTATTTTTATTTGCAAATCAGAAAAAATGAAGCGGGTGAATCCGTTAACCAAGACATTAAATTGGTGTGGCCTTAGAATGATAAGAAAAAGCATTTTAACTAAGCATTAAATGATGTTTTGAATTGTACAAGGCCAAGGGCTGAATTGTGAGGCAGTAAAAATCAGTGGGGCTGAATCGCAAGGGTCTGTAGTGGCTGCCATTTTTCGCTAACTCATGACCCCAGATGCGACCATACTGCAAGACTGTAAGATTTTGAACGACTCACATTCAGTGACTGGAGAGGACCCCTATACTCTTTCGAGAAGTGTGCTTCATGTCATGAGTGGACCTCCATTTACTGTCCTATCTGAGGGAGCACCTAACCAAAGCTAGGTACATGTACTTATTTCCACCAGAGTGAAGTGAGGAATGTGGCGTAAAGTGGCTTTCCAACAGACACAATGTCGGTCCATGTCGGTCCTGAGTACCTGGGTCCTTGGCTAAATGCCCTAACCAATACCAACATAATGGTACCATGTTCAAGTAGGGATGTGTACCAGTACGCTATACCGATACTGTACCGGGAAATATTGATTGGCACAGGTCCAAAATACATAATCCTTCTGTACTTCGGTACTTGTACAGTACTTGTATAGAGGTCCACTAATTATATGCTTATCTGTGACCTAAAATAGGGAAATAGCTGGTCCAAAATGGGTCCCAGAGACAGGAATGTGTGTGTGTTACAGACTGACAGTGTTAACTATGCTGACAGATCTGTTGCAAATTAGTTAGTAAATACGCTCCCTCTAGATGTCACTTTGGTTAGGTTTGAGTTGCATGAGGCCACTTGGTAGGAGATGAAAACAAAAACATCTCTGAGTCAGTTTTGCCCATATTTTGTCTGAGCATTCTCCATAAACAAAAACCTATGCATAACTGTCAAGTTCATTAAATAATGTTTTTCTCGTTGTTGAAGGAGTTCAGAAGAACATGTTAATTTGTTGAATTGTTTAGGTACAGGTTCAAGTCCAGACCTGTACCTGATCCTTTGTACCTGTACCCGATGCAATGTTTAGGTACACATCCCTATGTTCAAGACATGAATGAAAAGCTATACTCACTCAAGTTCTTCCTCGAACACCATGGGGAATCCTGGGACGAACTTGACCTGTGACCCTGACACCAGCTGACCAGATCCAGGCCTAGAAATAGAAAACAACATTCAACTCAGCACAGCCTTGCACAAACTCCACACCCAAAACATTTATATGTGTTTAAAGTATAAGACAGTAAATAATTGTCATTTTGTTGGATATATCCATGGTGCTGAAAACATAGATGTAGTTACCAAAGGCATCCTCCAGGCCTAGAAATAGAAAACAATGTTCAATGCAGCAAAGCCTTTCACAAACTCCATACCCAAAGCATTTATTTGTGTTTAAAGTATAAGTCAGTAAAGAATCGTCAATTTGTGGGATATATACATGGTGCTGAAAACATAGATGTAATTACCAAAGGCGGCCTCCAGGACTAGAAATAGAAAACAACGTTCAATGCAGCAAAGCCTTTCACAAACTCCATACCCAAAGCATTTATTTGTGTTTAAAGTATAAGACAGTAAAGAATCGTCATTTTGTTGGACCTCTCCATGGTGCTGAAAACATGGATGTAGTTACCAAAGGCACAGCATTGCATCTTACATGTACATCATACATGGAAACAAAGATATAGAAAAAGAAACTAGTGCATGTGGATGGTTTAACAGAGGAGGTCATTAGATTCAAAGTTTTGCAGAAATGGAATTCATTATACTGGAAACTGCCCCACAGTTGGACAGTTGCACTGCCCCACACATGCACAGTTGGAACCATGAGCTGGCTTATTACCTTGCTCCCCTCCCTTTAATCTATGGCCCTGCTCAGACGGAATCAGTGAAAGCGCTTGACATGTGGTTTCCCCCAAAACCGGTTTCAAGTGGCTCCATCTGAATGTGCAAAATCACATTGAAAGCGCCTCGATCCCAAACCACTTTGAGAGGTGGTTTCGAACCAGTTTCCCCAGATTGTGATTTGCGTCTGAACGCAATGCGATTTCAATGTGACTTCACTTGGACATGGATTACGGGGTGATATTTCTTTATTCCTATGCATACCAAAGTTTACGTGGCAGCAACTTCAAGAGCAGTAATGGTCAAATAAAATAGGACGAGCTTCACCGCCTCTGGCAGGATGTAGGCATTCGGCCGAGATACGCTGGGAGGGGGGCACCAGCAAGCAGGTCGTTGACCTCTGATATTTATAACATGCTACCTTGCGTGTTTCATCAAACAACAACTAATGTATGCCAAAAAACAGTTACTCAAGCAACTGGATATGATTTTGAAAACGTCAGACGTTTCAGCTAGTATCCACTAGCTTTCGTCAGTGACTGAGAGACCAGAGGGGAAAGCAGGTTTATATACACAACCTGTTGATTGATATGCAAATAAAGTGAAGACAAATTTTTGGAAGTCGAAAAAGGAACAAAAGTCAGACAAGTCAAGACAAGATGATGCAAATTAGTCTGAAAGCTCCTGTTATACAGGACAGGAGCTTAAGTGTTGTCTGTCCTCGGGGCTGGGAGTGCCAAATCCCAAGTGCCGGAAAGATCGACCCGTAGCCCCCCTTCCCTGTTGAGGGTGGGGTTGTACATTCTTTCATATATTGCCTCTTTAACACCCCGTTCCCACCAGCGTGTTTCGCGGTCTAAGACATCCGTGGACTCGAGTTTGAAAGAGTGACCCTGGTTGTGTTGTAGGTGGTGGAAAACAGCTGAGGAGTAGCCGTTGGCACTAGATCGGCAATGTTCTTTGTACCTTACTTTAAGCGGTCGACTTGTCTCTCCGATGTAGGTGTTGTTACAATTGGGCTCCTCACATTTGAGCTCACACTTAAGCTCCTGTCCTGTATAACAGGAGCTTTCAGACTAATTTGCATCATCTTGTCTTGACTTGTCTGACTTTTGTTCCTTTTTCGACTTCCAAAAATTTGTCTTCACTTTATTTGCATATCAATCAACAGGTTGTGTATATAAACCTGCTTTCCCCTCTGGTCTCTCAGTCACTGACGAAAGCTAGTGGATACTAGCTGAAACGTCTGACGTTTTCAAAATCATATCCAGTTGCTTGAGTAACTGTTTTTTGGCATATCGTATTACCTGGATGTCTAACCTTCATCGAAACAACTAATGTAGATTAGGAGAATCATGATCAGGCACGGTTTGAAAGGAATGTCTGGCATGTGGACCAGATGTGAGGAATGCGAGTTACCCAAATCACAGTTCAAGCATTTCCGTGTGAACAAGGCTAATATCAGGTCTCACCTTGTCCCATTAGGAGTTGTAGGGCAGCAGGCAGCAAAGTTCCAGGCCTTCTCACAGTACTGGTTCACAGCGTTCACCACCAGGCGCCGAAACTCTTCCTCCTTCTGGACCCACTGGGGACGAAATTAGACAGAAAGTCTATCTTGGGATGCCTTTTTCATTTTGCCTTGTCGCTCCATATTTTTTATGAAAAAATCTGAGAAACGACAAATTAAATTGGTGTGGCTTATGCCAAATGTCCCTGATCTCTGGGCCTGTGTTACTGTTACTCACCTCCAGAGCAGACATGGATTCAAAGGTCACATGGACAGACTTTTCATCAGCATCCCAGTCAACTGAGGGGAGAAAGAAATTGATGTATGATGTAAACTAGAAGTAATATTTGCATATAGCAAATGCATAATGTTTACCTTCACAATTATGGTCTGCTCTGTTAATTCTTACTCAAATACATTCACACATATGGTGACAGGAGTCTAAATCCCTCCTACTATCAAATTGCAACATTATGCAACCCAACACCAGTTACTATAATATAATGGCGAAAGACAGTTTGGTTCAGTCAGATCAGAGGTCACTGTTTGGAGAAGAAGAAGAAGAGGAAACGTAGTAAAAACAATATGTTTTCCTTCGGTAAACGTAATTAATCTGGTATTACACCACTTCCTGAATTCCTCCGCGTAACACCCACCCACCCAAGAGCAGTCTTTTTGGTTAAGGAGTTCTTTTAAATACTCATCCTAAAATCCTTTAACCTTTTAAGAAATTTAGGAAACAATGTGATGTTAGGACTGTTTAAGCTGGAAGCCCTGTATATAGTACAGGTTTTCACAATGCTGCAAAATGCATTTGAATAAACCTAAATCAAGATTGAAAGGTAGGACTTCCTATGGCAAATCCTTCCCTTTGAGCAAAAGAAACAGCATTAGTCTTAAAAATCCACGGTACAATTGCTACACCTCTTATCTGTAGCCAGTCTCCACATAAAAAATGCCCTGGCTATATAATGATTGTGAGCTATTTGTCAAGAAACACTTGGTTTGATGGCAAAGCTTTGTACTTGTCTGGATAGCTTAGTTTAATGGAAGGTATGTAATGGGTACCTGTCGGGATCAATTCGATTTGCCATCAATTTTTGGTTTATTTCTGTACTAAAAAGTTACCGGTAGACTTATTTTGTATCTACTCATCACGCAAAAGATCCTCCCCCCAGCAAAAAGTCCTTACTTTGAAGCCAAATTGTCTACAAGACGCCACTGCCCCAGCCTGAAATGGGACATTTTCTACATTACACCAAACTTTCAGAACAACCACAGCTTAACGACTGTCAGAAAAGATGCACTAATGGATGTGTGGATGAGTCAGTAAAACCCTTTCACGGCACTAACCCACGAAAAGTAGTGATTTGCCTCTTTCTTTGGCACTATCATGACACATCTAGTGTGTCTTGATGGTTAACAAATGAATGCTTCACAACAAGAATGATAGTGTCTGTTACTATTGACCTTGGGAAGGTAGCAATTACAAACTGTAGCCGAAACACGGACAGGTAACTCTACTGCTGCCTAACCCTGTATTGGTGACAAACAGCTAGCTTTGCAGGCTGAAGGTTATATTCTACTCGGTTGGGTTAAGGCGTCCTACGCTTATGGGAAAGTAGTATAATTCTATACATACGCTTGTAACTTTTGATAGCTTCGTCGCACCGCAACTTCACACAGTTTTAGTTGTACTTGAAACGCATTGAATAAAATTACTTCTGAATCAGTTTTTCTACACCTGGATTTTGGGTTAGAAATACACATTTTGGCTATAAAAATAGCTGTTTATTTTATGAATTTACACACAGTTGGTAATAACACCTTCCATCGTTGTATTTTCGTCCGAGGCTATTTTGTCTCAGTTTTGGGTCAAAATCACAAGAAACAGCTATTTTTGGCCATATTTGGTTTGAAAAATCGCCCCAGTAAGAAAACATCCAAATTTATGCAAAATAGCCAAATTTAATAAGAAAGTGATTAATGAATACGTAAACATGGATTACTTTAAAGATCAATTATGTTGTTTTCAGCTGCGCGTAAAGCCGTTTAAGTCATACTCCGTGAACAAAATGCGTAACAACACAGGTTTACAGGGGAAACATACAAATGACCGCCGGTAACCCCAAATTCGAACACGTGTTCTATTCTAATGACGTCATATCGAACATGGTGGAACATGATTCGGGTTCCAAACATGTCTGTGGCCATCGTGCAGACACACGCCCGAACTCAAACATGAATATCAGCCTAGGCCGCCTTAACCCAACCGAGTAAGAGTTGCATACAGTGTATGACGTTGAGCCACAAAAATCATACCCAGGCAGACAAACAGTAAATTACGGACAAACATTGACAACAAGAATGATGCATCAACATAAATCCCTCTTGCTATAAAATTGCAACATGATGTAACCCAACACTTAGTTACCATGGTGACAGACATCAGGTCATTGACCTTATTTATTTGGAGAAGAAGAGGAAGAAGAAACATAGCAAAAACAATATGTTTTCCTTCAGTAAACAAAATTATCATCATTGTTGAAACCTGTACCACATGAGTCTGTATGATCAACTGTCTTTCACTGCTTTTAAAGCTCTGAGGCTCTACATTTGTACATACTAGTAGATTGTAGATATGTAGTCTGTATGAAAAAAAATGTAACTTTGTGCAAAAAATTGTTCAACTTGTATGTGTTCAAAAACATTTTTAAGAAAAACAAAAACGAATTCTTGGAAAAAAAAAAATTGTGCATCATTCTATCAAATGTCTTCCAGCGAGCTTTTTGTATAAAAAGACCACTGGTCTATTAGAAGAAGACCACTTTTCCTTAGACAAGTTTGACTGTACAGCAAGGCTCGAAATACTGGGTGCATGTGCACCTTAGTGCACCCAAATTTGGAGCTGTCCACCCAATTCTTTTCTGTGGGTGCACCTAAATATTTTTGTAGGTATTTTTGTACACATTAAATGCATACAGTAATACTGGATATTCTTGGCATCTAAGTGTCAGAAAATCTTTGTTGTAGTACTTTAGGATTTTGAAGTTAACGTTAGCTCCCATTTAAGATATTCAAGCTCAGAAGAGGAGCAGTAAGATCTGTAATTAGGTTTTGTTTTATATGGTGAACCCGAAAAATTAATTTTCTGTGCACCTAAATTTTTAGGTTGGGTGCACTAGTGCACCTATTCCCAAAAATGAATTTCGAGCCCTGGTATACAAATTGTATCAACAATACCTTCACAGTTGGACTTGGCGCACAAAACCGTCTGCGTTCCAGAGCCCCTGCATGGGGCACCGTTGAATGATGGTGCGGGGTTGTTGCAGTGTCTGCGGCGGGTCATAGCGGAGTAGTCACAGTGCTTCTGACAGACGTGGTACTGGCCCCACGAACCCCAATGTCCATTGTTCTCTGTTTGAAGCAAGAAAAATGAACAAGATCATAATCATAATGCATGAACTGTTTAGTTAGTTTGATGATGATATGATCATGTTATTGTAGCACACACACACTGTTACAGTATTAAAATCCAAAGTTACAGTCTAGGTTGATGAAATGCCAAGTTGAACATAATGAAATTGTGAAAAAAAAAATGAAAGCCGTGTAAAGCGACGGTCACAACCCGCCATACGTGCTTCTGCGTGCTGTCTACATGCAAAAACGTGGGCAAACGCAGGGCATCCGTGCGGATTTAAGAGCACGCAGACACGTCGTAGAACTTTAAGTTTACGGATTCACCACCAGTGCGTGCTAGTACGTGCGTGCCCCGTACGTACGGTAAAGTTGCAATCGCACAGAGATCGTACATTGTAAACACGTACAACTCACCACTTGCGCAACGTACGATGCACACAACCGCTCACGGCCAGACGTGGCGTGCAGACCACACTCTTACACCTTGCAAAACCGTGCGAGTGACGTACGAGTGACGTGTGTCGATGCCACTCCTTCCCCATGTTTTCAGAAAAAACGGAGCAGATGTAGCCTCCCAAAAAACGTACGGACAAAAAGCACGTACGGCGGGTTGTGACCAAGGCTTAAAGGGCACAACATGAGGGCATGTTGGTGGAAAGCTGCTTACCTGTGCAGGCCATGTTGTCGATGTCATTGATATTGAAGGAGGTGGAGCACTCACACCTGAAGCTGCCCCGAGTGTTCACACAGCGCGAGTTCTCACCGCAAGGCGAGGTGGACGTCACGTTACACTCGTTGATGTCTGTCAGGAAAATAATTTTTTTCTTCTTTCTTTTATTCATTTATTAGGCCACACCAATTTGATTTCTTGGTTAACGGATTTTTGTAGAAAAATAATGGAGCAGGCGGGCGGGCGAAAAAAAAAATAAAAACAGGCCTAGGCATCCTATTATGGCCCAAAATGGTACGATAGGAGCCATGAGGTCAACACACTAGGCTGGTTCAAAATTTAAACAATGAATTTTGAACTTTTAATGATACCATTGCATTGAAAGATGGAATAACTGTGACAACTAGGAAGAAAATGACTGTTTTCAACTGCTCAGGGCAAAATATTTTAAACGTTGTGAAATATTTTATTTAAAACGCTGTTTTAAACACTGTATTTCAAACGTTGTGAAATATTGGCTCAATTCATGTTTTTAAATTTAACATGTCATGCCAATATGAATAAAGCTGAATCTGAATCTGACCATTTTGCACTTGATTCTGAATTTTTTTTTTATTTACAAATCAGAAAAAAATGAAGCGGGCGAATCCGTTAACCAGGGAATTAAATTGGTGTGGCCTTACAATACTGACATACAAACATACATTGTCAAATACATTGTGTGTGGTGGTTTACCCTGTTCACAACAACACGTTTTCAAACTGTGAGCCTAAACTTACTGTCTCATTGCGTACAGTGTGTCGACAAAATAATACTTAACCGTCAACATGGCTTAAATGTTCAACTGAGAGTTTGACATGTGTCCATATAAAAAAATTTTTGTCTATTATTGTCTATTAACATATTTGAGATTGTGTTTTCGCATTCCACCATGTGATAAAGTCTTTCCAACAGGATTCAACAATTTTACAATTTACAAATGTGTGTGAATTCTCACCCCGACCATTCTGGACTGGACCACTTTTTCCACCAACCCACTTACCGACACAGTCCTTCCCGTTGACCAGCTTGTACCCCTCATGACACATACAGGAGTCTGGGCCCTGGCCTGGCCTCTTCACACACTCATGGTCACAGTCTGCTCTCTGGGGGTACATGCACTCATACCCACTCTTAACTGTAAAGGTGTAACAACATGTTAGCCTGTGTATACACAAGCTCTCGGCTGGAGGTTAATGACCCCCACCCCAACCTAGGGCGGCGGCCGCCAGGAGCGCGATTTAGTCAGGCTAACAACATGTCATCAGTAATCTTTTTAGAGCTGTTATAGTACCAGGGCTTGAAATACTCGGGGTTCATGTGCACCTTAGTTCACCCAAAATTGGAGTTGTGCACCTGATTTTTTTTGTCGGTGCACCAGAATTTTTAACATTAGAAGACGTGTATAATAGTATACCGGATATTCTTGGTCTTTAAGTATGAGAAAAAATAATAAAATCTTTCTTGTAGCAATGTTTAAGATTTTGAAGTTAGCTCTCATTTTAGATTCAAGCTCAGAAGAGGAGCAGTAAAATTAAAGACCTGCAATTAGGTTTTGTTTCATATGGTGCACCCGAAAAAATTTTTGTGCACCCAATTGCACCTATTCCCGACAATGAATTTCAAGCCTGAGTACCTATGACAGTGTTATGCTTTAACACTTAAAATTGTAAAAGAATGAACATACATGTAGGTGCTGTAACAACAGTGTCTCTCTCTTAAAGGGCAGATTCTTAGAATCAAGAACATACATTGGTGCGGCCTAATTAGTTGTCAAAGATTTCAAACTTTCGACAGTAGGATTGAAAGTATGGATACAATGTAGATCAGGACTAGACTAACAATGCACATAATATCCTATACAGCACCAGTGTGCAAGCACGTCTAACCCTTGGTTACGGGGAACAATAGAATGGTTTATTCATTCATTTTGCGAATACAAACTCATCGCAGCTTATTAGCTAAATTCATTTGTGAGTTCATGTACATATACCAATTTCACAAGTTGACATAAACAATCGCTCTAAAAGTTTACAAACTGCGAACAGGTGACAATACATATTTAAAAATTGGAATACATATTCAAAAGACGCAATGCATATATATATAAAAAGGTAGAATTACATATTTAAAAGATACACATTAATTATCAAAGATACCAATTAATAATCTAAATGTCACAATTATCTTAACTAAATGCCATCGTTTAACAGGTTAACAATATACGGTAGAGGGCTATTTTGGTAGCGTTTAGTACGTGCTGGCAATGGGTCGTATTTGTGACTTTGTCAACTGACGATAAACTGAATAGAAAGAGAGAGAGAGAGAAAAAACTGTGTATCATTCTATAGCACTTTCACAAAACATCTCAATGACTCTAACAACTGAACTTGATACTTGTAACACTTGTTACTTCATCTTTAATCTTTTGTTATAACTTTAATGTCATGTAGTTTTGTTGGGGTTATTCTCCCAGGAATCTTTGAAAACCGCCAATAGGCGACATGTATGTCCTGGTTAAATAAATAAACAAATAAACAATATACAGTACATACTGGTACACTGTCTGCCCCTGATCAAGTCGTACTGTTCAGGACAGGTGCAGTAGTAACTGGCCAGGGTGTTGACACATCGGGCCACACCTCTGCAAACGTTCAGGTCTGGTCGGCTGCACTCATCAATGTCTGAAATGTAGTCATATTTTTCATAATTTTCCTGACAATATTCATTTACTAAAACTACATGCAGAAAGGCCAACATTTGCTCAGGAGCAAATGCAGCAGATGGCTTCACAACATCCCCGGTACCAAAAATGGACCCAAATGGACTGTTCCTAAATCACCCCTGTCCAACATGTGAAATGATCCAATAGTCTATACCCCAATGCAACAATGGAATCTTCCAACGTCTTCTGCTGTTACATTGGAACATGTAGAACCCTGGTAGAACCAGACTAAGTGAGTGAGACTGTTCTATTTAGAACTGTCAGTTAGGAATTTGGACCAAGTCTTGCAATCGCGTGTTTTACTCAAAGTAAAAAAAAATGGCAACAAAAAAACAAAGAAATAAAACAATTTTAAAAGCCTGTATCCAGAAAATGAAAAAATACCTGTGGGTATTTGGCCACTCTACCTTCTTGCCAAATTTCATGTTATTTGGCCCCAAAATGAAGAAATTGAATCCATTTTAAAGTAATGGCAGGAGAAGGAGGAGGAGGAGAAGAAACATGAGGGAAAACAAATTTTATATGTTTCACCACACCACGTAAGCCATAAAAATTGTTACTGGAAATATTTCAGGAAAAGTCACCAAGTTTGGTTGTTCTAGCACAAGACGTTCAGACGTTATGTGAAATGAACTTTGGTGCCAACCTCAAAAGCCACACCCCCTCCTGTTGGAATAAGGTTGAAGTGCATGTGGCTCAGACTTAATCTATTGTGTAACATGAAATGTATATTCAAGCAGCCCTACCAGATATATCACGAAATGTAGACATGGTATTTGGTAACATATATCGGCAAAGGAGAAATCAGTAACCGCAAATACAACATATATAAAATTGTTGTTGGATGTATTTCTGGGAAAGTCACTAAATTTGGTTTTTCTGGCGCAAGACATTCAGCTGTTATGTGAAATGAAATTTGGTGCCAACCTAAAATGCCACCCCTCCTCCTGTTGGAAGAAGGTTGAAGTGCATGTGGCTCAGACTTAATCTATTGTGTAACATGAAATGTATATTCAAGCAGCCCTACTACATGTAGATATATCACATTCATGTAGACGTCATATTTGGTAACATATATCGGCAAAGGAGAAATCAGTAACCACAATGGCACGAAACATGACACTGCTGTACTTCCTGGTTTCCAATCATTTAGTTCAGTCTCCTAAATAAATAAAATTGTTGCTGGATGTATTCCTGGGAAAGTCACCAAGTTTGGTTGTTCTAGTGCAAGACATTCAGACGTTATGTGAAATGAAATTTGGTGCAAACCTCAAAAGCCACACCCCCTCCTGTTGGAATAAGGTTGAAGTGCATGTGGCTCAGACTTAATCTATTGTGTAACATGAAATGTATATTCAAGCAGCCCTACTAGATATATCACATTCATGTAGACGTCATATTTGGTAACATATATCGGCAAAGGAGAAATCAGTAACTGCAAATACAATATATAAAATTGCTGCTGGATGTATTTCGGGAAAGTCACTAAATTTGGTTGTTCTAGTGCAAGACATTTAGCCATTATGTGAAATGAACTTTGGTGCCAACCTCAAAAGCCACACCCCCTCCTGTTGGAACAGGGTTGAAGTGCATGTGCCTCAGACTTAATTGATTGTGTAACTGTCAATTCTTGTATATTCAAGCAGCCCTACTAGATATATCACGAATGTAGACATGATATTTGGTAACATATATCGGCAAAGAAATCAGTAACCACGATGGTGCGAAACGCGGCACTGCTCTACTTCCTACTCGTGGTTTCCAATCGTTTACTTCTCGTGACCGCACCCGCTTTACGGTGCCCTGACAGCTGTCGCTCCACTGTAATCAGATTAACCAGGCGAGTCATCTGTTTCTGCCCAGACAAAAAACGGGCGGGGTCCCCCTGCAGCTGGATTGGATACAGAGGACAGTACAGCTTCCCCGTATGTCTTGACTTGATACCAACTGACTTCGACAAAGCCACCAAATCGATCTTCATCAAACATCTCCGTTCTCCGGTGATTTTAGAGCGGTCTTTCCCCAACAGCCCAGAAGTTAGCGCACTTCACGTCCGAGAGTCCAACGTTTCCAAGATACAGCCCGGAGCCTTCCGAGGTCTCCCATTGGTCTTCAGGCTTTACCTTGATGACAACCGCATCTCCAGTCTTGGTACGTTGACAAAAATGTGAATAAATACATCTTGGGCTCTTGCTCCCTAATATCACAATCGAATGACAAAATATTCTGTATGTGTGTATACATGTAACTTGCGGACATGTGCTCATTGTAGTTTTTTTTGGTTGGAGAGTAATTAGAGTTTGTACTTCTACTTATATTTCTATTTCCTTTAGTCTTAATTAAATTATCATTAATCAATCCATAATAATCGTATTTCTATTTCATGCTTGATTTTATCCCACAGAAATTCAAAAACAAGACCCATCAAGATTTCATAGCTTTACCAAATGGTTTTATGCTTTCAGTGATACAACATGTATTGAAAACTGAAGTACTGGTAGTAAAAGGACGTTCAAGGACATGCACATGACAGCTATACATCGGCTATATTGTCTACAGATTGCTGAGAGTCGTATCATTCATGAAGTACAAAGTATCTATAAACTTTCCTAATCAATCATGCAAATTTTATGCTGATTTGCAAAATTAGCATCTAATTATGTCAAGCATGTACCTATGCACCAAAAATCACAACAATTTGTAAACCTTTTTGATAGTTAACTTCCTCCAAAGATTTTTGAACAAATGCACCTGCAGTCCCACAGCAAGGTGCTAGTGGATCCAAACTCACGTCACTTCTTCCAAATTCAAGAGCTGTCTAAATTTACCATGCAAAATGAACATAGCATAGTGAGTCCAGAACACAAGATATCAAATCTTGGAAGTTTGGATGCAGTACCATAACAAGCTGCCAGGGGGCCCAGAACCTATTAACTTCAAGGTCTTATCAAAACCTATCAACATACAAAAGTACCAGGTATTCCAAAGTTATGATTGTATTCAAACACACACAAAAACAGAATAGCAAAGTTCTTTCTATCACAACCATTTATTTTTCAAGCCGACGTTTTGATGACCTTCTGTCATCTTCGTTCATCAGGGCAATTCTGACTGGTTTACTGTGCACTGACCCTAGATGTTACTTGGAAGGTCATCAAAACGTCAGCTTGAAAAACAAATGTTTGTGATAGAAAGAACTTTGCTATTCAGTCCTTTACCAACCTGATGAAATTATTTACGGACACATAAAAACAAATTGGACACACGCTCCCCTAATGAAATAATCTACATGATGAATCATGTTAGATACTCCATGGTTTTTTTGGTGTTTGCTGTTGCCATCTTGATTATCAAATACTGTAAATCCCCGCAAACTTAAAATGACTAACAGTAATTCTGTTTGTTTATCCTCAGAAACTGATACATTCCATGGGCTTGAGAAGTTAAGAGACTTGAACCTTCAAAGGAACGCCATTTCCGTCATATCCCAGCATGCATTCCGAGGCCTATCTGTCATTGCCTGGTTGTCGTTGAGCATGAACCGCCTGCATTCTGTGCCTGTCGACGCACTCCTGCCGCTTACAGCACTGAAGTTTGTTACTGTAGGTTTGCAAACAAACCGCATCACCACAATCGACAGCCAAATCCTGCGTCTGAGTCACAACCAGACCTTACATCTGGCGTTAGTAGACAATCAGCTGAAATGTGACGTGAATCTCACCTGGTTCATCTGTAGTCTACCAACCTGGACCACATTTCTGGTTCCGGCATACTGAAGTGTGCGTCACCTGCCAACCTGAGCGGCATTCGGCTTGCCACCGTGAGGAAGGCCATCTGTCAGACCAACACAGACAGGTCACCACAGGGGATCAGGCTGGGGAGATATGACGAAATGTCCACCACAACAGGTCCGCATCCCCACCACACCAGCCTGTACATTCCCACAGAGATGCACACAAACACCAGGCCAGGTTCAGGGTCTACCACAGGGATCGACGTTGTCACTCTTCCCGGTGGCCCAATCATCACTGAGGAAGATGACAGTTACCACGTCAATGCCATCATCATGGCTGTTGCTGTGCCTCTCCTGATGGTGTTGGCATGGGGGTTGTTCTCTACTTGTACGAGCGCTGTCGCGGCACAGGTATGGCCCGGCACAACGCCCCTGCTGAAACAGATGGAAGCGAAGAGATTGAGCCCTACGCTGTTGCCCACTCAAACTCTGCCGGACTGCAAGCATCAGGCAGACGAACATGTCCTTCTCAGGACCAGGCATCAGAGGACAACGATGACATTGAGCCGTACGCTGTGTCATACACGGATGTGTCAGGGAAAGGGAAAAATGGCAAGCTTGCGCCGTACGCAACAACGTCTTTTGCTAACATCCAGACAGCAGAAAACAATGATGACATCCAACCATATGCCGTGTCCTATGCTGATGTGTCAGTAAAGGGGAAAAATGGCAAGCTTTTTCCGTATGCGATAACCTCCATCTATGAAGACCCAGGGCCACAGCTTCAGCCATATTCAGTGACCCATGATGAAGACCCAGGGCCACAGCTTCAGCCATATTCAGTGACCCACGATGAAGACCCAGGGCCACAGCTCCAGCCATACGCAGTGACCCACGATGAAGACCCAGGGCCACAGCTTCAGCCATATTCAGTGACCCACGATGAAGACCCAGGGCCACAGCTTCAGCCATATGCAATCGCCCACGATGAAGACCCAGGGGCCACAGCTTCAGCCATACGCAGTGACCCACGATGAAGACCCAGGGCCACAGCTTCTGCCATATTCAGTGACCCACGATGAAGACCCAGAGCCACAGCTTCTGCCATATGCAGTGACCCATGATGAAGACCTGGAATAGCTTGTGGACAGCCTGAGAGTTCAGACAGCATATTTCACAAACTGTACAGCTCACATGTAGCTCAAGATCAGCATGAAAGTATGGACAGCGCATCTCACAAACTGTACAGGCACGGTTCACGGATAGTGTGAAAGTTTGGACAGCACATCTCCCAAACTATACAAGAACGGCTCACGGTCAGCATGAAAGTTTGGATAGCACATCTCACAAACTGTACAGCACGGCTCATGAACAGTGTGAAAGTTTGGACAGCACATCTCCCAAACTGTACAGCATGGCTCACAGTCAGCATGAATGTTGGACAGCACATCTCACAAACTGTACAGCACAGCTAATAGTGTGAAAGTTTGGACAGCACATCTCACAAACTGCACAGCATGGCTCACGGTCAGCATGAAAGTTTGAATAGCACATCTCACAAACTGTACAGCATGGCTCACAGGCATTCTGAAGGTTTGGACAGCACATCTCACAAACTGTGCAGCACAGCTCAAGGACAGCCTTAGAGTTTGGTTGATAACTATGGAAGTTAAAGGCTATGTTGCCTGTGACAATGCTGATGTCACTAAAGATATCTGCCATCTTGGATTGTAAAACACCGAACAAATTGACTTGAGCTAATCTTCATATGAACATCTTATGTAAAAAGGTACAGAGAAGTGATAAAATTTTAGTAAAAAAAGTGCTTACACCTGAGCTAATGATATTTGTCTGCCAACTTAGATTTTCATCAGATCAGTGTACATGTAAGTTATGAATGAACAAATCACATAAAATTAGATGTTATTAAAATAAATGTTAGAAAGGAAGCATTATGTAATCTCACATGAAAACCTGAAAAATGAAAAAAAAACGCCTGGGGGTATTTGACGACTACCTTCATGTCAAATTTTATGTCATTTGGCCCAAAATTGAAGAAATTGAATCCATATAACGAAATGGCAGGAGAAGGAGAAACACGAAAGAAAGCAATATGTCCTCACCACTTTGTGGTGAAGCCATAAAAAGAACTAAAGGATAATAGACAGACATGATAGAAGCATGATCTTTACTGTCAGGTAAAAAGAAACAAACTACATGTACTCAATGGTTATTATATCTTTTATTGTAAATTAAACTTGGAGAAAGGCAAACAAAAAAGAATTGAGAGAACCAAGAAAAAAGGACCACTGACCGATACAGTCCCGTCCGTTGGCGCCAAGTTTCATGCCACGTCGGCAGTGGCACCTCAGGCTGCCCATGGTGTTCTCACAGGTGCCTGCACAGCCACCATTTCCAACTGAGCATTCGTCCACATCTGGGCAAACAACCAAACTTCATTTCACTCCCTGATCACGAATTTCTGAGATTGGAAATTTGCAAATCACCGATAGGAATATTCATTACTAACAGTCTTGCTCACTCCTGCACGCCTATTTAGAAGTCTAATTAAATTTAACGATACAAAGAATGCTCCATTGCATACAGGTGACTGACAGATTTGTAGTTACTGTAAAGATCTTGGATTCTGATTGTAGTAGTAAGTACTGTAACAGCAGTTTCATTAATAACATTTTTGCAGAGATTTACTTTTCCAGTTACATAAACAAGAAGGGAAATAAACTTTTTCAAGATCATTTTGCTTCGCTGAAACAATTCTGTGGTGAATTACATGTAAGTCTTGTAATGTATTGGACACAAAGGATCCTGGGATGTTGTAATTTTGCAGTGGCGAGCTTCACAACAAAAACCATGAACATTTCAAGATTTACAGTGAATTAGCATCTCTTATAGGCCACACCAATTTAATTTCTTAGTTAATGGATTTTTCTAGAAAAATAATGGAGCGGGCGGGCCAAAAAAAAACAACAATAAAAACAGGCCTAGGCATCCTATCATAGCCCATAGGAGCCATGAAGTCAACACACCAGGCTGGTTCAAAATTTAAACAATGAATATTGAAGTTTTAATGACACCATTGCATTGAAAAATGGAATAACTGTAACAACTAGGAAGAAAAGGGCCGTCTTCAACTGTTCAGGGCAAAATATGAGCATTTTGCAGTTGATTCTGAATTTTTTTTTTTTGCACATCAGAAAAAAATGAAGTGGGCGAATTCGTTAACGAAGAAATTAAATTGGTGTGGCCTTACCTGCACAGATAAGTCCGTCCCCTTCGTACCCAGGCAGACACCTGCAGGTGTACCCACCCACCGTGTTGATACACTCAGCCTGGCTGGAACAGGTGTTGTCTTCAGGCAGGACACACTCATCCTTGTCTGCAGGGTAAGGATAGCATTCATGTGTCAATAGCTACATCAGAATCAATGCTAACTTAGTTTAGGGAAGTAACATTTGCATTTTTGCAGAATGCATAATATTTACCTTTGGACATGGTCTGCCCTGTTAATTCTTAACACATTCACATACATGTACATATAGAATACAACACGGGGTATTCCGTATCGCCCGAGGTATCGGCCCAACCGCGGGTCGGGCGATCCGACTCGCGGGAGGGCCGGGACCGAGGGCGATGCTGAATACACCGTGTTGTATTTTATTTATATCATACCCACCCAAGAAAACGCGGCTTTCCATGCAAGATGAGCCAAAAGTTGGTGCCCCTAAACCCTCAAATGCAACAACATCAGTTCCAACGTCCGGATTCTGTATTCGAATTTTTGAAAGGGGCAGAAGCGGGTAGGGCGAAACGGGTTCGAATCGTTTTATGGAAGCCATGGAAGCGTTCGATAACGGGTTCCGGACCTGGCCGTACCGTAAAGTACGGCCCGGTTCGGAACCCCAGGTATGATATAATACTAGTTATGGTGACAGGAGCAGAGCAGACCATGAAATTGCAACATTATGTAACCTAACATCAGTCACCATGGTGACAGATGTCAACAAATCATGTCATTGGCCAGGTCAGAGATTAGTGTTTGGAACAGAAGAGGAAGAAACCGAGTAAAAACAATAATGTTTTCCTTCGGTAAACATAATAATTATATTATAGTATTCCAGTCATGCACACCCATATAGAGGCAACTAAGAGATCTCATACCAATGCAGGAGTATCCATCAGGTCCGATCTCGTAACCATGGCGACAGGAGCACCAGTACGAGCCAACGGTGTTGTGGCATTCCTGCTCACAGCTCCCGTTGTCTGCAGCACACTCATCCACATCTGTGGGGAGGATGTACAGAGTTCATGATAGTTTCAATTTAAATGCTCATGACACCAAAACATCCAGAGAAGCTAGTTTGAGATAACCCCGTTTAGGCCACACAAATTTCATTTCTTGATACTTGGATTCGCCTGTCAATTTTTTTCTGATTTGCAAAAAAAAAGGATCTTTAGGTTCCGAATAAAGTGGTCAAGGAAAGACATATTTTGGCCCCAATGGTTGAAGAAAGTCCTTTTCTTCCTAGTTATTAAAGTTTTTTTCAATGTAGCAATACAACTTTGTTTCATTAAAAGTTTTAAATTTGTTGTTTTAATTATAAACCAACCTGGTATGTTGACTTCATGGCTCATATTGTAACATTTCTGGCCATCATGGGGTGCCTTGGCCTGTTTTTTTTTTATTTCGCCCTGCATGTTGCTTCATATTTTTTCTGAAAAAATCTGAGAAACAACAAATTGAATTGATGTGGCCTTATGACTGTTTCCTTACCCTCACAAGTCCTTCCATCCTCAGTAGTGGTGTATCCACCCTTGCAGTGGCACCTGTAGTTACCCTCGGTGTTCACACACATGGCAAGGTCATCACACTGGTTCAAGGTCACACCATCCACCTCTTCACACTCATCAATGTCTGGGGATATCAAAAAAGAAAACTTTCTTTTGAAAAATGGGATCTATAGATCTGAACATGCCCGTAGCCAGGATTTTGAAGGGGAGGTTCTTCCCACTGCTCAAGGGGACCTTGAACGAGGTTCCTAGGGGGGTCCGTGGGCATGCTCCCCCGGAAAATTTTGAAAAATGAACCTTCTAAAATGGCATTTCGTGCATTTTTGAGAGGATTTCCAAGAAAAAATCAGAGATAAATTTTTATTCAATGACAAAGGGAGCAGTTTTTCTTCGATTCCAGTCCATCTTTTCAAGAAAAATCTTGGACCTTTACATAAAAAGACTTAGTGGACCAAAAAGTGGACCTTTACATAAAAAGTGGACCAAAAAGTGGACCTTTGAGCCTTCTGAACCCCCCAAACCCCCCCTGGCAACGGGCATGCTGAAGTAACATACATGTATATATGGCAGTTCATTCCTTGAAAAATACTAAACAATCCTTGATAACGTAACACATCAGACGTAATTGTACCTTTTTATTCAATCAGATATTATTAATTTTACTACAATTTAGTATATCCCTAGATGTGCAGCATCTTTTTAACCATTGCCATTTTAACTACTGTCTTTTTAAATTGTCAATGCATTTTATTATGTAAAATACTGTTTGTATGTATTGAATTGTTTTTAAACTGTGTAAATTGGACATAATTCACTGGACCCACTGCAATGTTCAACAAAGTGATCTTGAATCTTACTTTTTATAAAGATTAAGTTTTTAGTTATTATATTATTAAGTAAAAGATACGGGAAAAAAATTGCTTATTGCTCTTCCATCTGATAAATTTTGCTGCAATTTAGGATAGTTAAGTCTACCTATGCAGGTGGCCTGGTCCATGTGAAGGGAGTATCCTGAGGTGCAGCTGCACCTGTCCTGCCCTCCCACCTGCCCACACACACCTGCAGGTGCCAGGCTACAGGTGTTCTCCTCAGAACAGGGAACATCAGCTGAAATACAGAGCGACATCTTTACACAGGGTCAGGCATACTTTTAAAAGTTATAGACTATGAAGAGAAACCTACCGTGGGGGTCGCTGGAAGACAGGCGTAGAATGTCCAGACTATGCATGATGTACAAATTTAAATGACTAATAAACTGGTGGACGTCCTAATTACTAAGTATCTGATACCAGCCCAGAAAAGAATAAGAAACAGTCATGCCTTCAAATATCAGTTATCAACCAAGAATTGAGGTATTCAAAAACTCGTATTTCCCAAGAACTATCGTAGACTGGAACTCGTTGCCACCAAGCACAATTGGGGCATCATCACTAGAAAGCTTTAAACAACTCCTGCAATTAAATGTACAAAGATTGAGTGTAACAAGTCATTCGGTGTGATATAGCTAGCTGCCGCTGCGCTGCGAGCCTGCAAAGCTGGTGTGTTACGCTGAAGGGCGGTTATACCGGCTATATCGATACAGATACAGACTACAAATCTACATCCTACATCCTATCAGGTTAACTGTATAAGAATGTTCTTATTCAACCAGTTTAATTTTGCAGCCAAATTTTGATGACTGTCCGTCACCTTGACCAGAGCACTAGCAGGCAACAATGACTGGTTCTGATTCGTACTACAGCTAGGTGTTGTTGCCAGACACTGTGAGCTAAGAGCTGTGGGGCTGCCCCAAATATAATCAGAATTGCAAATTGCAAGGCTGCGATTGGTTAAATATCCCAGGAAATGTCCAGTAATAGACAGTAAATGGACAGTAATGGTCTGATTGCATGGTCAAACAAGACATTGGTTAAAACACCAACAGTAAATAGAAGCATAAGTACTTACCAGTAATGCTTCCGTAAAACAGTAAAAGACGGTGTAATGAAGATTTACTGAAATTTTACTGTTAGTAACTGTTGATCAGTACTTAACAGTAAATTTTCAGTACTGATGGTTTGCCAAGGGTTGCTATCATACACTGCACCAATACAAGTAAGGGTCCATCTCAGTGTGAGTGGATAAAAAAACTTTACACTATTATTATTACAGTACTGTAATAATAATAGGTGTAAAGTTTTTTATACAGTAAACTATAATTACAGTCTGGTCTCCTGGTTGACATTGCGAAAAGGTGGGAATGATACATGTATATTGGATAGATAATGAATGAATGACTCACGCAGACATGTTTTGCCATCAGTGTGCAGGTGGAAGCCTTCGTCACACGCGCAGGTGTAGTAGCCAATCTGGTTAATGCAGCGCTGTGTGCAGGTGTTCACATACTCGCACTTGTCATAATCTGGAAACAAGATGCACACAGACCATTTCATAGTTAGTGACCATAAAAAAAATTAAGACAAATGAGAAATAAGACACCAATACCACATCAGAAAATAATGCGAGGTGCTATAGTGTCACGGAAATGAAAAGTAACCTACAGTGGGTCTCACTGGAAGACAGAAGAAAAATGTCCAGACTGTGCATGATGTACAAAATGACTAATAAATTGGTGGACATCCCAATTACTAAGTACCTAATACCAGCCCAGAAGAGAACAAGAAATAGCCATGCCTTCAAGTACCAAAGTTATCAACCAAGGATTGAGGTGTTCAAGAATTCATTCTTTCCTAGAACTATTGCAGAGTGGAACTCGCTGTTACCAAGTACAGTAGGGGCATTGTCAATAGATAGCTTTAAACAATGTCTAGAGCTAGAAGTTCAAGGGTTAGGTGTAACAAGTAGATCGGCGTAATGTAGCCATATGCCGCCGTGCCGTGTGCCTACGAAGCTGGTGTGTTACGGCGAAAGGCAGTTATACCGACTATACAGATACAGAATGTTAGGAACAATCATGACTACAGACATCAGAATTTATCAACCCAGGATTGAGGTGTTCAAAAATTAGCTTGAAATATTGCAACTCCGGACCCACTCACCTACACATGTTGCATTGTCCTGTCCCAGTCTGTACCCGTCTCCACATGAACAGTGGAAGCTGCCAGGAGTGTTGATGCAGGACCGCTCACACCCACCGTTATACACCAGACACTCATTGATGTCTGACATGAAAGAAAAGGGCAGTAACGATTTCTTATTATTCAAATTCTTGTTATGATTATTGTTAATATGATTAATGATTTGTCATGATTTGAATAATTATAATTATAATTATGATTAATGTTATGATCAATGATTGTTACAATACAAAATATTGACTTGTTATGATTATTATCAATATCATTATGATCAATGATTTGTTATGATTCAAATATTGTTGATTATTGTTATGTGTAATGATTTGTTATGATTTGAATATTAACTGTTATAATTATTGTTCTGATCAATGAATTGTTATGATTTGAAACATGATTTTTTTAATGATCAATGATTTGTTACGATACAAAATATTATTATTATTATCAGTGATTTGTTATGATTTGAATTATTGTGTAAGGTATGGTTCAATGCATTGTATGTATGTTGTTTTGATATATGAATAAGAAAAAGGGCATACTGTAAATGCTAAAATTTTGTGGCAAGAGATTGTGGTGTTTTTTAATTCATGTCTGAGACAAGCATAATAAAAGCACAATGAAAGACAATTGTAATGGATGACTGTTAGCAAATGAATGTGATGAGGAGTCACTGACAAAATCGCAATCAATCACAGTCAAGTAACTACAAATCTAGAAATACTGAAAAATTTTGAAATGATAGTTGCATGACACAATTGCAACAAGAATCAAAAAGTTTATATAGACATTACAGAAATGGAAATATTTTTATTAATTCATAAAAATAATAGGTAAAATTTGAATTGCACAGGCTTTTTTATTTAATACAAATAAAAGATCATCAGTGGGAAAGGCACTTAACACGCATTTCCCCCCTCAGTTAGAGGGTTCCTGGGCCCTACTAGGGTTTGGGTTGGCATTAGGAAGAGCATCCAGCCATAAAAACCCTGCTTCAAAAAAAGAGTTGTACCTGGTACAAGCACGTCTAACCCCCGGTTGGGGAAAAATGACGTTAAATTTGTTTTGTTTTTTTTAAGTGTACTTTTTTTAATTCACCAGGTTCTGCAAGATCTTAAAAAGTTTCATCTCACCTGAGCACCTGTTAGACCTGTCCTGCTCCATGAGGAAGCCATGTTGACAGCTGCAGGTGTATCCTCCAGGTGTGTTTGTACACACGCCGTACACCTGGTCACAGTCATTACCCCACTTGTTGTGGAAGCTGCACTCATCAACATCTGCAGGAAGAACACATTTTGTTAGCACCTACATGCAGCGTGCAAAATACCTGGTTGCCCAGTTGCCCCGGGCAACCAAATTTTACTTGGGGAACCTATTTTTTAACCTAGGTAGCCCAGTGTGCTACCTGAATTTTAAGAATGCCCCCCTCCCCACGAAATCATGCCCACTTGGCTTGCACCACTGTATCCGGCAGATGCTTTTTAATTTTAGGTATTAATAGTATCAGTTAACTAAAGGTTATTTGAAATATTTTCAAAGGCTTAATGTATGTAACATTACTTAATTTGAGGAAAATAGTAACTTAAACTATAGGTGGGGCAACCTAAAATTCTGATGGGCAACCTAATTTTTGCAGTAGTTCAAAAAAGTATTTTGTACACTGCCTACATATATGACTTAGTACCTATGACTCTGACTACTACCAGGTGCAGAAATATTGTTTTGGTTGGTGGAATTTATGATTTTGTCTGTCTAACTGTCCTTATTGCTGTGTCCATGTGGTTGTATGGCTAAAAAAACAATAATTTGCTGTATTCTATTGACATATCTTGCTAGTGCACTGAAAGATCCATTCAAAATTCTATTCTGTTTCTTATTTCTCTCGAAATACATAAGGGCAATGACCTGGACCAGACGTCTGTCACCATGGTAACCAGTGCTTCTGAGACACCCTGTGGTGTTGGATTACATTATGTAGCAATAGCTGAACAGACTTGGAGGGGCTGGTCAACAAATGTATGAATGTGTTTGAGTAATAAACAGTTAGTTTATAAAGTTTTGGCTTTGCAAATTTTACCTTTCTAGTTATTTCTACCTTCCTCACACCATGTAAAAAACTTGAAAGTATTCGAAGAATTGGCAATGTTAGCCACTGATAAGCAAGTCCATATAGTAGTCATTGGTTTTGTCAAATGTTTCCTACATTTTGTTCACCATAGCATGATAAAGAAAGAGGGATCAGAATACGTGTATTTTTGGCAGGCGAGTTTCCTCCAACATTAAGTGTACGGACTAGTCGGTCAGAGTTAAACCATCTTAGGGACTACGACCCTTGCCTACTCTTCTGTCCACCAGCGTGAGTCACGGCATACCGGAGCAGTCTACAGTACTATGGTCCTTACCTGTGGAACACTCTTCCGCTACAGCAACGACAGCTCCTTAGTCTCAGGACTTTTAAACAGTTCATTAGGAGCAGGACTTCTCAGGACTTTTATACAGAGTATTAGGTGCAGGACTTGACACTGTTGATGTTTAGGATGTTGTAATTAGTAATAGTTTATGTACTGTGTATTTGTGTGTGTATTTTTATGTGTATCCAGGATTACCTGAAAAATAGGCCAAAATGGCCTGAGCTGTAATTACTGGTTAGATATTATTAAATAAATTGAAATTGAATTGAAATTGAAGTTTTGTGAGCGTACCGATGCAGTTGTTGTCCTGGTCCAGCTGGTAGCCCGGGAAGCAGTGACAGGTGAAGCCACCTGCTTTATTCCTGCACACCTGGCTGCAGTTGTGTTCACCTGTTTCACACTCACTGACATCTGAAGATGGACAACAGTTACTAAGTGTTAAGTCTTGCATGTATGTAACAGTTTAGTTGATGCTGAGTCTTGAGTTATACAAACTCTATCAGCTAGTCATGATTAAGTCAAAATTGAATACAGTGTAATATGTATGATACATTATTAGTTAGTCAAGATAGATGACCTGAACTGAACTGAACTGATAGATAGATAGTCAAAGTTTAGTGCACAATGATTGTCACGGGTACAATGTATGGCAAATAATAAAGTTACTAGTTGGTATGTGTCTATCATAATGCTACACAATATAGTCAAGGGTTACTGTGTCTGACAGAGTGTTATAAAGAACTACTGGTTAGAAAATATGACTCTACATGATTGTACGTTCTACATTACGCTAAACTATACTCATGAAGGGTACAGTGAGCACTTGTACCTAATTATACAAAACATGTTCTATCACTAGTAGACAAAGTTATTTGCCAGGAATGTTATAATTCTACATATGAATGCTACGATACGCTACACTATATACATGTAGATGATAATAAGTTATCAACTACATGTATTCGATCAGTTATGCTAAATAATAAATGATAAACTGTAATATTTCTATTCATGCTTTCTCTGTATCAGAAAATGACTACATGTCTATAACTCACTAATGGTGATTCTTACTGAACAAACAAATATCACAGAAATGTTATTGAGTATATTGATTACGTGCATATACATGAACATACATTCTACTACCACAACTACTACTACGTAATATGTACCTTCACATGTCTCTCCATTTCCCACTAGTCCAGGTGGACAGCTGCCGCACATGTAGCCCTTCTGTGCCAGGGTGTTATTTGTGCATTCAACACCTGAAAAAACAACAACATCCAAATGTAATATAACATCATCCACATGCTGTAGAGGTTAATGATTGTGAAGTACACCCATTCTTTCAGCACCAAGGACAGAGATGAAAATTGCCTTTATTTGGTGTTGACTTAAAGGGACAAATAAACTAATTTCAGTTTTGGTGTCTTTCAACCCAAAATGCTACTTGCAAATGGTGATCCATTGGTTTCTACCAGTCCCGCACACATAGGGGTGATATTAGACCTAAATCCATGTTCATGTGTGATGACTGCCTATTCCATCATGAGGCTGCGGTGACGTAATGGGTCCTCTTAATCTGATTAACTGGCCAGGACATCACTACTTTGTTAGAAATAGCAAAGTTCTTTGATCACAACCATTTTTTTTCACGAGCCGACGTTTCGATGACCGTCTGTCATTTTCATCAGGGCAATTCTGACTGGTTTACTGTGCACTGACGCTAGATGTTACTTGGTGCATAGTGCACTAAAGGTGTTACATAGTTCACAGTGCACTTAGGCTAGTTTTTACGGTTAACAAATGCATTTCTGAACATAGTGCAATTCTGACATACATACTAGGTATGTCACTATTGCACTACGTTCGGAAATGCATTGAAAAATAAATGGTTGTGATCGAAGAACTTTGCTTTTTAGATCATAGAGTATCTCTGATGTAGCCCTAACCTGGGAAGCAGGGGTGGTAGGAGCATGGGTCCTCCTCTTCCTCACAGTAGTCACCCTTGTACTGGTCAGTACAGTGACAGATAGACCGGACAAATGTCCCGTCTGTTTGGACGCTGCCCTCGAAGTTGCACGTGCCGCCATTCTCGCACCGACACAGCTTGACCAATGGGGTGTAAGCAGTGATGAAACCCTGGCTGTCAGTTGCTGTACATGCAAAACACAACAAAACATCAGAGATGTTTTTTGCCCATACAACTTTTCATAACTGTTATGGTGGTCAACTAGGATGTTAAGTCTTTCAACTGCAGCTACATGTTGTACAGTAGAAGTGTTATCAGACTTCCCAAACATTGTAAATAAAGAACTTTGTGAAGGCCTTGGTCACTTTTGGTGTCCTACTGTCAGGAGATTGAAAACTGAGAACGTAATCCCATTCTTGGGATTATCGTGCATGTGTCATACACAAAATCTATCTGCATTGCTATGGAAAAGGCTGTTTGTCAGCAGTTTTTGAAAAAATCATGCATTTTGGTCCAAACATTAAAATCATGCATTTTGGTCCAAACATTAAAATTTTCTAAGTTCTATGTTTAATTACACTTCCTTTTTAACATAAATAACATCCTATATAATTTTATATGATTCATGCTCATCAGTCAAAATCCAAGATGGCGGACCATATAATTAGCTCTTGTGTAACCATGTTTTTTTCACTAATTTTTCGTCTCAACTCCATATTTAAAACGTCCTGTACTAGATTGTTTGAAAATCCCATGGCACCAAAACCAAACAATGACCTACAAAAAAGTGACCACACTGTAACCATACATAGTCAGTCCTTGACCTGACCTTGGAACTGAACTGTGACCTCGCTGGTGTCATTAGGAGTCCAGCTGTAGGTTGTCAGGTACGTGTTGGTATCAGGGTGGTAGAGAGAGTTGTTGTTCAGGGTGCCTGGACCCTGAAGGTGGAGGGTCACAGACTCAGACACATTCCTCTCAGTAGCCACCAGTAGGAAGGTGTAGTCTGACCCCACGGTGACCTCCATAACATCAGGTACGATGAAGGACGGCACCAGATTACCTGATGTGAGAAAAGATGTAGACAATTGGTACATTTTATTTCAAACTGTTCATTCCATAACAGCGTTCGAAATGAGTTGACTATTCAAACTTCTACAATTTATCCCAATTTCACTAAACTTACAAAGAAAAAATTGTTCTTGTTTCAACTTCCCAAAACCCACAAATTTTGGAAAAGGTGGGACATTACGTCTTCCATAGTTTACAGAAGAGAAGTCAAACCATGCAGACATAGTTTTAAAAATAGTTACAGTTCTAGACAGCTCATGTAGACTTAAGTTATTTTATACTCTAGATCTGTTTCAATGTTCTTTTATGTTTTGTTATTTGCAATTAGCCTCCGGGCACGAATTTGCAATAAACTTTTCAATTAAACAAAAATGTAAATTTGCATGCACCAGGCATACTTTGCAGGAAAAAGAGATTTTAGAAACTAGTGAATCAAACCAAGAAACTATAATTTTAATTCTTTGTTTGACTTTCACAAGTGCTAGCTAATAATAATTGTTTATTGCAAATTCTTGCCCGAGGGCTAATTGCAGGAACAGAAGAAACATGGTATAAAAAAACAATTAGTACATATAGAACTACTGATAACTACTAAGAAACTACGAGTAAAAACTACTGGGTTTGACTTCTTTTATGAAGACAAAGGATCCCACTTTTTATGTAATATAAGGGTTTTCGGATGTTAAGAGGAGAGTAGTTTTCTTTTCATTTATGTGTGAAAGTTTGGGTAGAATTTGGAGGCTATGTCAAAGAGTTCATTTCGTTCATTGCTATAGAGGGTACAATTTGATATAAAATGCGTTTATATAATATATATAATAATATATCAAACAAAAAGAAAACTAAAACTTGTATATGACCAGTACATACAGGACTGGTGCAGGTTAGATCAGAAATTTTACCAGCACAAAACCATATACGGAGCTGCTTTTTTTTAAAGGCCATAGTGTACTGAATGGTCGAGTATTGCATATAGGAATGTGTGTAAAAAATACTATACACATACCAAGGAAGGCCTCCTGCTCCAGGATTTGCTGCAGTGTCTGCATGGTTTTCATGCCGATCTCTGTGTTGCCAGTGACTGACACGTCGTACATACAGAACTCATCCACTCTGCCACTCATGTCTGTGCAGGCTTCAAGTGCTGCTGCCTCCTCTTGAGCTGACTCAAAACTGTTAATCAGCAATATGAGATTTAAAGACCAAAATGACACAAAAAGATTTCTGTAAAATACATAAAAATATCAGAAGTGTACAAACAATATAGTCACATGATGACTGAGAAATTGAGCTTGTACGACCTTCTAAAAGTGAATTTTTTGGAAACTCTCCAGCAAGCTTCCCAATCACCTGCCTCGGGCATCTCTATTTGCATCAGATGTTTTATTTTTGCATTTCTGTGCTTTTTCCTGATGAGCTGACATCACTGAGTGACATCAGCTCAGGAAAAAATACAGAAATAAAATGTAGAGATGCAAATCGTCTGCCAGGACTGGCTTGTGCTGACTTTTCCAAGACGAGGCATTAAAATTTCGAATGTAACAGGAGAACCATGCATTGTAAATGTGTCTGTTAGCCAGGTAATACTAGGTATGTCAACTACAATCAGATAAGGTCGTATTTTGGTGTCATGACTATTTGCCCTGATGCTATCACGCATAATACTGGTGTATAAATCTATCATTTGTCACCTAACTGAGGGGAAGAATTTCTTTACTACTAAAAGAATTGGGAGAGTTCAGACTTCTGGGAAGTACTTTGGGTTTTTGTGAATGTATTAGATGATTCACGCAACTTGAAATTTGGTAGTACACCAATTCCTGAATTCCTCCACATAACATCCACTTACTTCCCACCCTGCACCCAAGAAAGTTTGTAAAACTTTCTGTGTGACATGAGGAGACATGCCTGTAAAATGTAAAAGTATTCTCTCTCTCTTTATTTTGATACCCTTTAGCCAGAAGGCTAATCTTCCGGGGTTCAAAAACATACATACAACATAACGATAGTAAAAACACACGCATATAACACAAAAGAAGATTTACACTAGTATATACAATGTAAAAATGAAGATACAAAATCTAAAAACTAAATCATGGAAAGTCTCACTGTTTGAACATTTGGCAGATAGCTTTCTTAAAATGGATGTGCTGCAAGGTACATGTACATGTATAACAAGGTTTGACTTACTGAGTTCTGAAGACCGGCTGGTAGGTTGGATCCCCGTACGTGGCAGCGGTGTAGGTGAGTTCTGAACCCTCGGGGGAGGGGTAAGATGAGAACAGGGACAGGTCGTACAGGTTAAAGTCATACTTCCTGCCCACCAACTCCAGGGACCCTGGAGAGGGATGCAGAGAAAGTTTTCATCACTTACACCCCGTTCAGACTGGAATTTGAATCGCGATTCAATTGAGGTCAAATCCCGATTGAATCACGATTGATTGTTCTGAATTTGAACGCTCCAATTGCGATTGAATCACGATTAATCAAATCCATCTCTGGGAGGTGGATTCAATCGCGATTGACGACCATTCCTGTGCGGAAGAAACGCAATCGCGGTTGGATGAGCCGACAAGTATGAACACCCAACGGGATCCAATCAAAGTCTCTTTACTCAGTATCTTACCAACCTGATGAAACTATTCAGGAATATACTTTGTAGTACTCACAAGACTGGCCGAACTCGTAGAGAGTCTGAGCCCAGGTGGGGTCCCTGTCTCCCAGTTCCACCAGACGACTGGTCCAGGAGGATGTTGTGAGGTAGTAACCTGATGACAGCTTAAAGTCATTGTTCCAGTCACCATCATAGTTACCAAGGAGACCCTCAACCTGCACAGTAGGGATGGGAGATTTTTACCTCCGGGGAAGGAGATATCCTTCCGCGAGGAGGTTTTACTATTGTTCGAAACATTTCTGTCAGCAGCTGTTTCTCGCGATCGGCTGGATGGATTTGTCTGTGGTTCGGTATACGTATTGCTATTGGGCTGCAGATGGTGCAGAACGTTTTTGTTTAATTGCATATGTGTTTATGGGCGTCGAAATAAAAGGTTTTTAAGGACACCCCCGTTATGCTGAAAATGGAATTTACCATGTTGTTAAGGAATGGGGAGGTTGCAGTTTTGGGTCTTAGCATTCAAAAGGGGTCAAACAGAGGGGTGTCTGGTTCCGATAAAAATTTTGGGTGACGGCGCAGCAATGACGGCGCAGGATGACGGCGGGGGTAATGGCGCGGGTGACGGTGCAGGCTGTCAGACTGAGAGACGTTAATCAACAGTCCATACCGAACCGTCAGTAGCCATCAAACTGGCATACAAACATATTACGCACATAACTTTCATACTACACACAAACAAATAACCTAAACCAATAGAAAAAAAAACCCGGAGGTTTGAAATCTACGATTTCCCTTGTTTGAATTAGAACTTCTCTCTGATTCTCTCTAGTATGTATGCATTTAGTAGTACATTGTATGCATTTAGTATATAGAAGAAGAACTTTATTGCGCAACAGATGTAGCGGGTACAACGTATGGCAAAATATACATATTACATAGTTTGTGGTGTTAACATACACATATGATGGTGTTGAGAATATCTAACAGTTCTACTAACTGTAATAGGAATCTGGTCTGCTTTATAAACAATGTATAACAAAAGAGAGACACTAATTATACTAATCTAATTCTATTAATACAATGTAGTAATAAATTGTGTCAGGAATTAATTACGTTTTCTCGTTTTGTCATTGAATTGTGTACAAATTAGCTAGCCCTACATAAGTGGAAAATATTATATGCCTAACTAACATGACTCAATAGAGAAGCCGATAGCCCGAAATTGAAGACTGGAATGGGAGATTTTGCGAATTAGAATTTCTCTCTGATTTTCTTTAACCCTTGTCCTGCGGAACCCAACAATTGTTCTGCACATACAGTACCGTCTATACAGCACTCTGTATAGTTACGATTTGGGGGTATTTCTTGTGCGACGCATCACACCACAAGGAAATGCAACGAATACGAAAGTAACTATGCCAGCGAAGGGCAAAATAACTCGGGGGTCTATGACCTAATTATTGACAAATATTGTGTAAAAATATTGTAGGACAAGGGCTAGTATTTAGTATACTGTAACATATTTAGAATCATTTGGTGAAGCCAGAATCTGAACACCAATGTTTTCAGCACCAAGGACAGGCAACCGTTCTCAGATACTGTAGACCTGTTAATCTTGCCTGGGACCTGCTCATGGAATAGCCAAAATAACACCTGTAGTTAGATCTCCAGGGCTGGCTCCACAAAAAGTGGGATTTACCCGTCTGGGCCGGTCTTCCGCGTTGTCTGTCAGACGAGGTGGAAAGAGTTCAGAAGCGAAGTTCCCCATGGATACTTATAATAAACCAACTCTCGAGTCCAGGAGGAGGGATGCATCACTGAGAGAGCTAAAACGGATTCTACAAGACCCCACCAACCCCTGCAATGACTTTATCCCACCAAGAGAGAACACTGTATATAATCTTAGGAAGAACAGCAATCAGTTTAAGCTCCCATTAAGCCTATCGGACAGACACAAAAACTCCTTCATTGTGAGAGCCGTAAAAGACTTGTGATGTGTATTGGACATGTATATATATATATATATTGTATTTTAAACTGAAATTGTACTATTCTAATCTACGTGTTCTTGATGTTGATTTTTAAATGATGATGATGTTTTTAATCTATTGTGATGATCTTTGTATGATGTATAATTGTAAAATGTCAATGCAATTCAGACGTGCCCGAAGTACTTCGGCACGTCTGCTATGTTGATATTTAATAAAGATTTGATTTGATTTGATAATACAACAGGAAATCTGTACTTGGTATAGGGTATATAACCACACCCAACCATGACCAGACTTACTAGTACCTGGCCACTCCAATTTAATTTGTTGGTTCTCGGATTCGCCTCTTCGTTTTTTTCTGATTTGAAAAAAAAAAGATTGAATCAACTAAAAAATGCTCATATTTTACCCCAAGCAGTTGAGGAAAGTCCTGTTCTTCCTAATTGTTACAGATTTTCCATTAATGCAGTTATTTGATTCAAAATTCATGGTTTAAATATTGACCCATCCTTTGTGTTGACTTAATGGCTCCTATCATACATGTAGCATTTTGGGCTAGAATAGGATGCCTGGACCTGTTTTCATATTTTATTTTTTTGCCCTGTCACTTCATATTTTTTATGAAAAAATCCAAGAACCAATAAATTAAATTGGTGTGGCCTATTAGTGGTAAATTATGCAGTGTGAGATATTCTCTCACCTTGCCCTTCATGGTTGAAGGCAGGCCAACAGATATGTGTAGCATGTTGTTGGCTTCTTCTGCAGCGATGTAGACCCCAGAGGAGAAGACATACACATACTGGGTACCAGCTGGGAGAAGATGAAATAATTTAAAAGTACAACATGGCTTCAAAACAAGACTTGTACCTGGTGCAAGCACATCTAACCCTGGTTGGGGAAAAATGACGTTAAATTCGGTTTGGAAAAAAAAATGGTTGATTTTGAGCTATTCACCAATTTCACACTTCCCATAATGCCTAGTAAAAGTCACGGATATGACGAAAGACCATCCCCCTCCCCCTTCCTTGATGTAATATTTCCAACAAGTTCTATCCACAAACTGGTCAACTATTGTTTTGAATTATTTCTCTAGTATAAAGCGCATGCCATAATTGCATTTTTGTTGGCATTAGAGAAAATGACGTACCTTCTATCGTTCTACCTTCTACCGAAGACTCTCCTACTCGCACGGTTGCATTACGTATATTTGAATGATAGAAGGTACGTCATTTCCTCTAATTCCAACAAAAATGCAATTATGGCATGCGCTTTATACTTAGTCTAGAGAAATAATTCAAAACAATAGTTGACCAGTTTGTCGATAGAACTTGTTGGAAATATTACATCGAGGAAGGGGGAGGGGGGTAGTCTTACGTCATATCCATGACTTTTACTAGGCATTATGGGAAGTGTGAAATTGGTGAATGTTAAACCCTATCTCTATAAGAACCTATATGGACAGTGCGTCATTTATATGAGGTCGTAAGTCAGAGGTCACGTAACTGAGCATACAGTGTTCTGAACGTCTGTATCGGCGGAGCAGTTCTAACACCGGGTAGGAGTTTATTCCAGCCCACTGCACCTCAATAAGCAAACGTTTTCTTGCCGCATTCCAATCTAGCTTTAGGAAGTCGCAGGGACTGGTTCATACTGTGTCGGGTGGAGTAGAAATGTCAATTTGAACTCACAAAGTGTCAGGAAGCCACCGAAGAAAGCCCGTTTCCGGCCCCTGGCGATGTCCCTGGGAATGACCTCCTCCCCGTCAATCAAACACGTCACCCCTAGCGGGCTGTTCCTGTACTGCAGGTGAGTCTCCACTGCTGGGTTAGACTCGTTACCTTGACGGGCAGCCAGGGCTCTGGAAAGAGCAACGTGGTTAGGGCCAAGTAAAAAAAAAAGTTATCTCCAGTTTAGCTCATTGAAGAGCTAATCTTCCACTGGTTGTGACAGAGAAGACAGACGCTATGTACAGTATTTACAGGTTCATTGTACAGGGAAATTCCCCTAGCTCTTTTCGACAAGCACAATGAACAGTGGACCATAGCTTTACATCCCGTCCTAAGGACTGTGATCCTAAACAGTAGCCTGAATGTCGGGTGAGCGAACTCCCGACCTCTTAGTCCAGAGGCAGGATCACTAACCACTGGACTACGAACGCTACTAAACTGGACTATGCATGCCAGTCACATATGATGTAGGATTTTATAATTTCTGTGTGATTGCAAAACTGAATGCATTCTCGGGGTAGACATGCATGTGTACATCAAATCCCGCTGTCTTGTTATTAAAAGGCTCAGACTCAAGCACAGGAATAAAATCCTTGAAGTGAGTTGACTCTCTAAAAATCTTGGATTTTTAAAAAATAGGAATAACACCATGTAAAGACAGGGTGAGCCTGAGGGTGTATCCGTTTTCAACATACAATGTACTCAGAGAGAAGTTTTTTCTCAATACCCTAAATAACAAACTTTTAAGGCAATTTTGATAGCTACATGTAAAACTAAAAATGAAGATTATTGTAAGAAACTCAAACACTTAATCATTCTACTTTATGATCTTTCAAAATACATTAACAGGAAAACAAATTTAAATATCATAAAAGTTCATCTGTGTTGATAGTAATCATAGTAAAATGTTGAACTTTATTCCAACACACAGGTTAAACAGAGATCCAAATTTTCAGCGACCACTGTCGCCTTCATCAGGATAATTAATGACCAATCACTTCAAAACGGGATCTCGCGAGAGTTACTGTTACAGACACGTGACCTTATTCACACAAAACTTTACTGATACGTGCTGTAAGCAAAACGAAAGGAAAACAAAATTTCTTCTTTCCTATTGAGGTCCCTGAAGCCAATCAATTCACACAAAAATGCTGCAAGAATCTGACAGGGCTCGAAATTCATTTTTGGAAATACATTGTAGGTGCACTGGTGCACCCAACCTAAAAAAATAGGTGCACAAAAAAGTTTTTGGGTACACCATATAAAACAAAACCTAATTACTGCTCCTCTTATGAGCTTAAATGTGAAATGGGATCTAACTTCAAAATCTTACAAAACAAGTACTACAACAAAGATTTTATTATTTTTCTGATACTTAGATACCAAGAATATCCTATTTACATGCAATATGTACAAAAATACCTACAAAAAAATTTAAAAAATAGGGTGCATAGCTCCAAATTTGATTGCACTAAGGTGCACATGCACCCTGTATTTTGAGCCCTGTTCTGAGCAGTAAAAGTGATGGCTCACATGATGTTAGTAGATTTCTTGTTCTCGGTGAGCTGAGTGCGGATTTCCAAGAGGAACTGTTCAGGCGCATCAGGCGTCGTCAGAAGCACCACGTACTCTCCATAACCCCCGAACGTGTAGCCCTTCCCATCCAGGGTGCGCAAGTGAGGGTCACCAAACAGATTTCCTGTGTGAAGGCATGGATTAGTCACGTTTAGGACTACAGTCTTCTTACTAGTACCACAGTGCCACATAGCAGTGGGAAGTAGAACTGCAGTCAGTATAACATCTGTGTCCATAATATCACCAGGGTCCATATATACATGTAATATCGCCACCTTGAGAAATAATGTGCTTGAAGATATTTTTACTGCAACATACCCTACGTATGTACATTTGATGTGTGAATATAACCAATAACATATAACCAAAAGTATGTTGCAGTAAAATATCTTTAAGCACTCTATTTCTCAAGGTGGCAATATTATGGACCCTGGTGATATTATGGACACAGACGTTAGTGCTCAGGAAGGTAGCAAGATATATTTTGAAGTTCTTTTTTGCAAATTCATGCCAGAGGGCAAATTGCAAACATACATTGACAACAATGGGTACAGAGTGTGGTGATATAAAAATATAAGCTAACATGAAGTTTTACCATCTACTTGACGTGTGGATATCAATACATAAACAGGTAAGGGAAACATGGTAACTATCATAATTCTATTCTTAACGTTTTTAAACTTAACGTTTTTAAACTTAACGTTTTTAAACGTGAGTAAACTTTAAGTTTAAAAACTTAAAGTTTACTCATAATAATTTGTAATGTTAACAATAAAGTTTATAATAAACACAATATTGGAATTAAGTTCTATTAATGAAATACAATCCGAGTACACTGCAGCAGACCATGCTACAAAAATGCCTTTGACAAGAATTTTCAGATATTAGTAAGAGTGTTACAAATGTACATGTACATATACCTGTAGCTGTGGGAACATATTTCCTGTATGAAGCTAAGGGTCGTTTCTCCATGTACATGTCACAGTACTGCTTTGGAGACATCTCACAACACCAGTACAGAGGCTTCAGATCCTTCTCTATGTAGTCATCTCTGTCCTGTAAAATTAATACAATCATAACTTATCATGAAAGTTCATCTGTGTTGGTAGTAAACGTTAAACTTTATTCCAACACACAAGTTTAGAATACTGGACACTGAACAGGACTACTTTTTAAGAGGCATTAAGGTGGCCATGTATATCAGAGCATATATTCAGCCTTCACTTAATAGAGATGGTGGACGATATAAACTCCCTGGCACTTTTGATCAATTGCTTATGTCACGTATCAGTAAAATCTCGTGTGAATAAGGTCACGTGTTTGTAAACCGTAACTCTCGCGAGATCACGTTGTGAAGTGATTGGTCATAAATTACAAATGTATCCTGATGAAGGCAACAGTGGTCGCTGAAAATTTGATCTCTGTAAACTGTGTGTTGGAATAAAGTTTAACGTTTTCCTGCCATCAGAACTTGTTGTAGGTCACAGGCTGAACTAAGGGTCTGTTTATAGAGAAAGAGTAGGGAAAGAGTAGGTTGACAGCATGTGGGTAGGGGAAGATTGACAGACAGAATAACAGGGGCTCTAAAGATCAGACATGGGATATACATGTAGCTCTACAAATGCAGAAATGTTCATGTTGGTTTCATTTCGCTGTATTTAGTAAAAAGTGTTTTTGTTGCATTAATTTGAATTTTGGGTTTCAAACAATTCTGTAATGCTAGATTTGCTGTTAGTTTACACCAAGACTTGTTTGATATCCCTCCAAACTTTCTCAAACCCCTTTCTCACTTCTCTCTCTTGCTCTGACTACATGTATATTATAGCAATGACCTCATTATTAACATCATTAAGGTAACTGTAACTCAAGCAACTCAAGTGATGACAGGTGACCTCAACATACTGTAAATGCATTGGCGGGATTTTACTTTTGCCGTTTTTGCAATGACATCATACCATAAAATCAAAACACTGCAAATATGTGTTTTTCATTCAACCACCTCTACTCTCATCTGATATCAACACTCAAATTCTCACCATCACACACTTATTCCAAAGCTAATCCATTTCTTCACTGATTTATACCGTATTCAAATGACTTCACCTTAAGTTAACTCTGTTCCTGTACATTGGACCTTGCCCATTTGATATTTTTGTCGTGATGTAATTATCACAGTGACTCTATTCCAGTGGTGATGTTAATAAAGGCTGTTTTGCTTCAGTGTGTCACCTGTACATGAATGTTTTGTTTTGTTATATGTTGAAATAATTAAAAAAATTCCAACCTTGGGATATCGGTGGAAGAAGCCGGCAGTCTTCCACAGATGAGGTTCAGTAATCAGGGCCTCTGACTGGTCGTAGCAGCACTCAATGTTGGCACCTGTGGTTGGAAAAGAAAATGATTAATATATAATATCATAATTATCATTGTTTTTGTGGAAGGACAGTTGTTGCGTTTTTCATTTCATGCTTGCTTGGTTGAACGATTACAAATGAAGTAGTATATAATCACAATACAACTAAGGGGGCACACCCCAGTTTATTTTGGGTCTCAATTTTCTGCACACTCTCAACTCTAGAAACCGTCTCTTTCTGATAATTCTGCTGTCAAGTAAGCCATCCAAAACAATACTTTGAATCTGTACCAAGAAGTAAATATAGAGCTTGGTTATTATTGGCCACACCAACTTAATTTGTTGTTTCTCGGATTCGCCCTGTTCATTTTTTTCTGATTTGCAAAAAAAAATTTTTTTGTTCTAAATCAACTGCAAAATACTCAATGAAAGACATATTTTGGCCCCAACGGTTGAAGAAAGTCCTTTTCTTCCTAGTTGTTAAAGTTTTTCAAAGTAACAGTGCAATTTTGTTTCTTTAAAAGTTTAAAATCTATAATAATTGTTTTAATTATAAACCAGCCTAGTATGTTGACTTCATGGCTCATAGTAACAGTTCTGGCTATCATGGGGTGCCTTGGCCTGTTTTTTTTCGCCCTGTCGCTCCATATTTTTTCTGAAAAAATCTGAGAAACAACAAATTAAATTGTTAGGTTGAGGAAATATTTACCATGCATGTTCTCAAAGTGTCTGGTGTAGCAGTCTCTCCATGGACCGCGCTGTCCAGACACAGATATCCAGTCGTTTGTTCTCATCCAGTGAGTAGTCACTGTCCACACGTGATGGTCAGCAGCGGCCTGGCGCTTTGTGGGAGGGCAGCTCGCAACAATGTCTGAGGCATAGGTACTCGGGGCTGGTTGTTTCTAGTAGTGTAATGTAGGAGTGAGAGAGATGAGAATAGAGATTAATCTATTAGTAACAACATCTACTGAGACTCCAAATCTGTATACTTGCTCTTTAACTTTAACACTGAAGTAGTCATTTGGCAGCTTGCAACAACGTCTGAGGCATAGGTACTCGGGGCTGGTTGTTTCTAGTAGTGTAATGTAGGAGTGAGAGAGATGAGAATAGAGATTAATCTAATAACATCTACCTGGGATCCCAAATCTGTATACTTGATCTTTATAATAATCAATAATTGGTTTATTTCAATTGAACAACTGGCAACCCACAGGGCTAAATTGTGTGTTCGTACATATACATAGGAACAAGATAAAACACTCTTGCTCAGTATTATTGTCTAAAACCATGATCATCATATCCAATTAGTCAAGATCCATGGTAATATATGTAAAAAGTAAGGGCAGTAAAATCAGTAACGGTATTCTAGTCACAGTCAGATACATCTTATTTTATTAATAAGTTAAAACAAGTAAAATCTAATACATAAATGATTAAAGGATTCTTCTACACGCTGTTGTTTAGCAGACTGGTTAAGAATGGGATTGGACTGTTTCTGTACCGCTCTGTGTGTACTGGCAATCGGTCTAGTTGGTTTCTTTGTCCTGTTACCCTACCGCTGACATCAACCTCTGAGTTCGGGCAGCCAACCATGGTACTCTTCTGAGTTGAACAGTTTCTTACTGTGACAGTAGACATATAGAATACAACACGGTGTATTCCGTATCGCCCGAGGTATCGGCCCGACTCGCGGGAGGGCCGGGACTGAGGGCGATGCGGAATACACCATGTTGTATTTTATTTATGTCATACCCACCCAAGAAAACGCGCCTTTCAATGCAAGATTAGCCAAAAGTCGGTGCCCCTAAACCCTCAAATGCAACAACATCAGTTCAAATGTTTGGATTCTGTATTCGAATTTTCGAAAGCTGCACACGCGGTTAGTGCGAAACGCGTTGGAATTGTTCTATGAAAGCCATGGAGCCCGGGCCGTACCGTAAAGTACGGTCCGGTCCGGAACCCGTTATCGAACGTTATCGCGGCCCGGGTATGATATAATGTATTATATGTTTACGCACATGATACCAGGATGCACACTTGTCTCTGTTGCTCTCAAACCCGTCTGCATTGTCATCCAGTCTGAACAGGAAACGGCCCTTCTTCCCAAGCACCCTGTCAATCAAAAGGAAATCAAATCAACACAGCAAAAAGTGTCTGAATTAAGTTGATTATAAACTTGCAGTCATTATCATCTGTAAACCTGATGAACAAATAAATTTGCAGGCTATTAACTTGCAAACAACATAAAGTTCAACAAACCAAAGACTTTATATCGTCATACGTGTCTAGTACAATCCCCTGCCACCAATCGCTACTTCTCCGGTACGAACCGACCCGCCGATCCACATTTCCCGGCAATATATAGCCAGGCCGACGGCAGCACCGAACACTGGGTTCAAACCCAGAGTATTGCCCCACTCGGTACATGTGCCTCATACCCCTTCTTTGCTGGGCATCCTCAGGACAATGAGTTTACTTAGCAGAATAAAAACAATCTGCTGCAGCATGCCGAAAAAAGGGGTTCTCTCGCCATTTTGAATTGGCGCGCGGCATGCCATCCTGCGCTGCGGGTGTCCGCCACACTTCCTGGTCATGTGTCTAAAGCCAGCCGTCGCCCACAACAATTGTCGTGCTATCGTATACCATCGTCAGCCTAAAGTGGGCCTAAGTATGCAGCCTGACATGGGCAACAGCCTGACACACTTTGGGGGCTTTGAAAATTTTAAAAACTTTTATAACTTTTTACAGTACATGGGACGAAATCTGGAGGAATAGTCTTAAAGTGGCATTAAAGTATAGGTCTGGCGGGAAATTGAATTTGTTTGAGAAATACCTGTCCCTCTCTGATCCGTGTTTCTGGTCGACACGATACACGTTCGGGTCGGAGCTTACGATGGAGAAGCGGCCGGAGTTGTGGTCTTGTCCTTTGCAGAGGTCGCGGTGTTCTGCGGAGCACATGTCATCACGGATGGCGTAACCCATCTGTGCAGGGAAGCCGCCCATGTCCCACAGATTCTGTACATGCATAAAGAGTACATTAAGTCCGTAAATAATTTCATCAGGTTGGTAAACGACTGAATAGCAAAGTTCTTTTTCGTTATCACAACCATTTATTTTTCAAGCCGACATTTCGATGACCTTCTGTCATCTTCATCAGGGCAATTCTGACTGGTTTATTGTGCACTGACACTAGATGTTACTTGGTGGACATAGTGCACTAAAGGTGTTACTTACAGTTCATAGTGCACTTAAGCTAGTTTTTTCTGTTTACAATACATTCAATACAATACAATGAACTATACATATGAACTATGTAACACCTTTTCAACAATACAAACCATAACAAATTCAAATAAACAAATAAACAAACTGTAGATGCCCCACCTGAGAGGAGAATGCGGGATGCCATGTCATGCCTCCGTCCTTGTACAGGTACATCACATAGGAGTGGACACCACTGGTCATCAGCACGGCTTGGAACGTATTCCTCTGTGGGAAACAATATCCAATGGAAAGAACATGCATAGGGGAAGAAATTATTATGTAAAATTTCAAAATGATACGTCCTGCTACATGTATGCACAATACAATAATCTGCACCTCAAGAGACAATTGATTCCCAACTGAACCAAGTCTGAACCAGCACACCTAGCAAGATAATTATTAGACGTAAAACAACAAAAACAACAACATCAACAACAACAACAAAACAATACAGGTTTCTTGCAGGCACAGTATGTTCTGCTGTATATCCCCAGAACTATCGTAGACTGGAACTCATTGCCACCGAGCACAGTTGGGGCATCATCACTAGAATGCATAATTTTATTTAATTGCATGCAGGAGTTGTTTAAAGCTAAGACTGAGTCGTTCGGTGTGATATAGATATCTGCCACTGTGCCGCATGCCTGTGAAGCTGGTATGTTATGCCGAAGGTTGGTTATTATACTAGTCTGGCTATACTGATACAGATACAGATGCTGATGTGCTTCCTTGTACTAGGTTACCTGAGTCCAGACCATGCTTCTTCAGACACCAAGGATATACAATCAACACACGTTCAGTTCTAGCACGTTTCGGTCTAACCTGGTCTCCATTAGATGTCCAGTAAGGCACCATGTTGTCCCAGGTCACCACTAGGACATACTTGGGGGTGAAGTCTGCTCCAGAGTTCTCCTTCACTGCTGCTTCGGCCATGAGGAAAATGTTCTCAGCAGCAACGGAGTCATTGTACGCATGGTACCACACCTGCGAAATTTATTTGTTTATTAGGCCACACCAATTTAATTTCTTGGTTAATGGATTTTTCTAGAAAAATAATGGATCGGGCAGGCGAAAAAAAGACAGCAAAAAGAGTTTGCTACCCTGGGGAACTTTCGAGACACACTCTGTCTCCTCATCAACCTGGTTAAGTCAGATTTTGTCCTGGAGTTCTCTTGTCACGTGACTTATTGTTCTCTTTTGGTATTATTGAATGATTCTAAAATCCCTAATATTTTTTTTCTCTCTCTCTGGAGGTGTCACATTTGTTGAGAAAAGTGGCACAACATAAAATAACAACATAAAATTGTATAAGGCCACACCAATTTAATTTCTTGGTCAACGGATTTTTCTAGAAAAATAATGGAGCGGGAGGGCAAAATAAAAATAAAAACAGGCCTAGGCATCCTATTATGGCCCAAAATGGTACGATAGGAGTCATTAAGTCAAAACATCAGGCTGGTTCAAAATTTAAACAACGAATTTTGAACTTTTAATGATACAACACTTACTGCATTGACAGGTGGAATAACTGTATAACAATTAAGAAGAAAAGGACTGTTTTCAATTGTTCAGGGCAAAATATGAGTATTTTGCAGTTCGAAGCTGGCGAATCCATTAACCAAGAAAATTATGAGGTGGCCTTAGAATTCTCCACAAATATACACGTCAAGTGGAAGGAAGGGAAAAAAACCCTCTAACTCTTTAATATACAAGTTGCCCTCTCAGACACTACATAATTGTTCATGTAAACAAAGCATGTATGAGTCATAGTTGAAATTTGTAAGTTATACAAAATAAAATGTGCCACAAATGAAGAAAAATTAATAGTGAAGCTTCTGCAATGCCAAAATGTATTTATTGCATGCCTTGTGCCATAAGCAATTTTTTTCAAATCATAAAAGAATGAAGCAGTAAATCTAAGAACCATTAGAAGTTGAAAAGGCGTGGCCTTTTTGTTTTCAACGGAGTGGTTCAATGCAAAGCCTATACGACCACTTCTCGGCATTGAACTAGAAATTTGAGAGAAACATGGCTATGTCAAGAGATGGCGGTGAACGTTTGATTTGAAAGCCTGTAGGTTGTAGGTTGGTGAGAAACACTTGTCAGGGAGGGAATTCCAAAGCTTGGCCGTACGGGGAAAGAAACTGTCACCGTAAAATGATTTCGAACAAGGAAATTTGAACGGTGAAGTTGTGTGACCTAGTGGAGAACCTAGTGGAACGCTTAAAAGTTCTGAGTGGTGGAACTAGTTGGGTGAGTTCTGCAGAGCAATGATCATGAAAATATCTGTAAAAGATGGATAGAGAGGCAACATTTTGTCTTACTTCAGGGAAGGGCCTGGCAGGTAGGTCCTTAGACCTGACGTCAGCCCAGAAGGCAGCCAGGACGGCCACTGCCTCGTCCTGTGGGTCAAACGTCTGGAGCGGCTGGGGCTGGCGGAACGTCTGCTTGTGGTTGTGGTCCAGCTCCGGTGACAAGGTCGTGATGACAAGCACTCCATTCTCTGTCACCTGTACATGTATAATATACGCATGTAGTCAAGTCAATTTATTTATTTATTACCTCCGGGGGAGGAGATATCCTTCCGCGGAAGGGTTTTGTGAGAGATTTAGATTTTCATGTTCGCAGCTGTTTCTCGCGTTTGGGTGGACGGATTCTTTTGGGACTCTGTATATGTTTTGCTATTGGGCTGCAGATGATGCACGTTCTTTTGTTTTTATTGTATATGTGTTTTTGGGCATGAAAATGGTGCCTTTTGGTGGCGCCAAAACACCCTTTGAGCGTGAAAATGGTCGCGACCACGGTGGTAAAATCTGGGTTGCAAAGTTCCCACATGCCATAGAACCCGAACTGTGTTCGATCGTGTTCGATCTGGGCAATTCGAATCGAACCCGCGTTCTATTTCGGGGTCACCTGCGGTCATTTACAATAAAGCGGCAAAACAAGCCTGTCTGCCTCCGTGCCGTGCAACAGATAAAAAACAACACTTTTCTACAGATAAAAACAGTTTCCTGGACAGTACATGTCCGCTATCATTTTTTTGTGGACATGTAACATGTAGCGAAGATACTGTCGTATCCTTGGGTGACCTTGAATACTGTAATGATTCTTTACGCCAGTATGAATAACACAATGCAGACTTTTGGTCGACATGACATGTCTGCAAAACTCGTTTTAACCTGCAAGCATGGAAAGTCAAGCATACCCCATTCACGGCTCAAAATGACCGTTACGGTTGTCCCGAAAATCGTGTTTTAGGGATTTTTTAAAAATGGCCTCAATTTTGAATCATGGGTAATTTAGTGCGAAAAATGTAAAGAAAAATCATTTTTTCACCAATATGTCGACAAAAACTAGACTTAAAATCAGAAATTAAAAAATCCCTAAAACACGATTTTTGATCTTATTCCTAGTCGTCGAAAAATATAAAAATCGGGGATCTTGGGTGATATACGTAGCCAGGTTAAAACGATGTTTGCCTAAAAACATGACATGACTTGTGGTCGGAAATCCGAAAAAAATCGTCTTTCGGAGCGAAATTTTGAAAAATCAATGATTCAACATTAACAGCTAATATTGAAAGGATGTTAAGGCAATAATTTCATTTTAATTTGACGAAATTTACCATTAAATCCTTTTTGTTTATTTTCAAGTGTTTTACTGGTAGGCCAAACTCGGCCCAAATAGCGTCTTGTAATCCGATACCTTTTAGAACGCGGCTAGCAATGGGAAAGAATGCCGTAGTGGCAGACCGCCGTGGACTGTTGACCTTTGGCGTGTTAAGCTATTCTCGGTCTGGTCCACGTATATGACCCCTCACACAGAGGGGTGTCTGGTCTTGATAAATTCTTTGTTTAAAACCCTAGTGCTGTGGCGCACAACAATTGTTGTTGTGCACGAAATTCAATGCCATCAACTATACATAACAAACAACATATAAAAGTATACAAGAAAAAGCCCGGAGGTATAAAATCTCAGAATTTACTTGTTTATTTTATTAATTTAAAGATTTACCAGATTTGTGGAAGGATTGATATAACTGGTGACTATCACCTCTTCAAGATGTCAAACCCGAGAGCAGACTGTAAGGTCTGAACCACTCATACAGGGAAGGTCCCCTACTGTTTTCGATAAGTGCGGTTGGTTCTTTAACGTGCGTGATGGGGTGTGACTCTCCCCAAACACAGGACCTCCATTTAACGTCCTATCAGAGGGATGTCTCTAACCAAAGCTAGGTACTCATTTTCACTTGAGTGAAGTGAGGAAAGTTGTGTAAAGTGCCTTTCCCAAGGGCACAAGATCGGTGACAAGGTGGGGTTCAAACCCGGGACCTCTTGGTTCTGAGCCGAAGACGCTACCGCTACGCCACATGACCCTACCATTAATGAATTCAAGAGTAAAATTGCTCACCAATGATAGAGAACAAGAAATCAGAGATTCCAAACCTCCATGAGTTGTGAATCTGTTGTTTTATTCGTTAGTATAATTGTGAACGTCTTTCATTTTCCCACAGGTATCCGAACAACTGTAAGTAGGCCTAGGTGTAGATTGTTGTTATATATAAATATAATAAGATTGTTATTGTTAAACTGCTATTTAAGCTGTTTGTTGTTGTAGATAATAATTGTAGCTATTAAGTTTGTAATTGATTATATTTCATCTTTTAAATGTAAAGGACTCCAAGAAGACTAGTAAACAAACTTTGTATTACTAATGGAGATTCCTAATAAACATAAACAAACTTATAGCCAAATTCCTGCTTGCATGTGGCCATAGCATCTGGACCTAACTTCCTGTGCCTGACCTTTTGTGGTCTGTAGTTAGAGAATTCTCCCACCCTTCTGCAGCCACTCAACTGTTAAGCGAAGCTAAATCTGTCATGAAACAAACATTCAATAGTGCTTTTAAAAGTAACATATAAACTCACATAAACATGGTCGAACACTTTCCCTCCAAACAGGGGCAGTCCATTGTTGATGTTGATGACGGGGGAGACCAGCTCTGATTCCCACCCAGTAGCAGCTGTCACCTGGACGTCCCCTGCAACGCTCCCGTATGGGAACAGCCTCATTTCTGAAGGGAATTACAATTTGTGAGAAAGACGTCAAAACCACAAGGTCTGCTGCAGTACCTTAGAAAGTTGCAAGGGGGTGACATTGCGATATGTCCAATACCTTTTCAACTGCTCTGTCATCTTTATACCACTGCAAACTGAACTAGTATTTGTTAACTTAAAGTGTGACATTATATATGAATGGCCATGCCAAATGATGCCCTTCTTAACCGACTTCAAATACTCTGTGCATGATGTTATGGCAAACGTGATTAAGTGTATACTCGACTTGTCTCGACAGAGTCACTTCCTAATCCTTAGTAAAATATAAGTCTCAAACCATCCGCGTGCGCATGGTTTTTGCCTGTTCTGAAAAAAAAAAGATCACGTCCACCGATGCTCTGGCCTGGCTCTAGTCCACGGTAGTTAGCAACAATACGGAGCCGAGCACCATGCTACGGAAGCTCCACGGCTCAAGAACTAAGTACACGTACAGTGCTGATTCATAAATTCCGCAAAAAGTCAGCATGTGTCGGCTTGTCGTATACGTCGCTAAGTACTGCCGCAAATTCACAACACCAGCTTTGTATTCCTGTGATTTAGTAGCATTTTTATTTTTGGCTGGACTTTTTTTTATTCACCTGCGCGCACTAGTTGGGGGTCTTCAGAGGATGTCATCCGTAAAATCAAGTCAATGCCACCTGAGCAACAACAAAAAACCTACCCTGGCAGTCTCCAGCCTTGCCCTGTCCCAGGTCCCAGTACCACACATGACACTGGCAGCTGTAGGACCCAGCCAGGTTCACACAGTCCGCATGCTCATCACAGTCATGGGGGGTCTGACATTCATCCACATCTGCAGCAATCATGGATTCAACACAAGTCATCATCATCATGTGCAATAGCTCAATTGGTAGAGTGTTCGCTTTGTAACCGGGAGGTCGTGAGTTTAAACCCCGGCCGGGTCATACCGAAGACTTTAAAAATGCTGTGCATCAAACAAACTTTAGCTTACAGGACTGTTTGTCTTTCATTGTTGAGAGAAGTTCTTTTAGATTAGTTGCTATTTCTGTGAGTTTGTTTTAGACGTAGTGTTTGGACGACCGATCCTTCCCTACATGTGTCCTATATGTCATATGTCCTGAAGTCTTATTCAGTACCAATGGCAATGTAGCGGCTTGGAAGACTTATTCAGTACCAAGGACAGCATAACAGCTTGGAAGTCTTATTTAGTACCAAGGACAGTGTAGCACTGCAGAATTTATTTTTCAGTACCAAGTACAAAGTACGAAGGGCAGCATAACAGCTCAGAAGTCTTATTCAGTACGAAGCACAGTGTAACAGCTCAGAAGTTATATTCAGTACCAAGGACAACGAAACAGCTCAGAAGTCTTATTCAGTACCAAGGACAGTGTAACGGCTCGGAAGTCTTATTCAGTACCAAGGACAGCGTAACAGCTTGGAAGTCTTATTCAGTACCAAGGACAGTGTAACAGCTCAGAAGTCTTATTCAGTACCAAGGACAGCGTAACAGCTCGGAAGTCTTATTCAGAACCAAGGACAGCGTAACAGCTCGGAAGTCTTATTTAGTACGAAGGACAGCGTAACAGCTAGGAAGTCTTATTCAGAACCAAGGACAGCGAAACAGCTCAGAAGTCTTATTCAGTACCAAGGACAGCGTAACAGCTCGGAAGTCTTATTCAGTACCAAGGACAGAGTAACAGCTTGGAAGTCTTATTCAGTACCAAGGACAGCATAACAGCTCGGAAGTCTTATTCAGTACCAAGGACAGCGTAACAGCTTGGAAGTCTTATTCAGTACCAAGGACAGCGTAACAGCTCGGAAGTCTTATTCAGTACCAAGGACAGCGTAATAGCTCGGAAGTCTTATTCAGTACCAAGGACAGCGTAACAGCTTGGAAGCCTTATTCAGTACTAAGGACAGCATAACAGCTTGAAAGTCTTATTCAGTACCAAGGACAGCGTAACAGCTTGGAAGTCTTATTCAGTACCAAGGACAGCATAACAGCTTGGAAGTCTTATTCAGTACCAAGGACCGCATAACAGCTCAGATGTCTTATTCAGTACCAAGGACAGCGTAACAGCTCATAAGTCTTATTCAGTACCAAGGACCGCATAACAGCTCGGAAGTCTTATTCAGTACCTAGGACAGCATAACAGCTCATAAGTCTTATTCAGTACCAAGGACAGCGTAACAGCTCGGAAGTCTTATTCAGTACCAAGAGCAGCATAATAGCTTAGAAGTCTTATTCAGTACCAAGGAAAGTTTAACAGCTTGAAAGTCTTATTCAATACCAAGGATAGTGTACCAGCTCAGAAGTTGTATTCAGTATCAAGGAAATCAAGGAAATCTTGTTCAATGCCCAGAACACACAGCAACAATGTCACATATTAACATATGTACAGACTATTGAGCCAGTAAGCTGCTTTATGGAGGTTAAGCCTATCCGATGAATGTTCTGTTGAGCAGAGCCTTACCCACACACACGTTGGACGTTGTGTCTAAGGTGTAGCCTGCATCACACCTGCAGATGTAGCTGCCCCAGGTGTTGACACATGTGGTGCCTGATGGACAGGGCTGCAGCATGGTGGAACACTCATCCACATCTGAAGTACAAAGACACAGTTCAAATGTTGACTTCAAGTTCAGCTACATGTTGTGTATTGTTATTTCTATCTATTGTTTTTTATGTTTACCAAAGGAAAACATTGTTTTTGCTCTCTTCTTCTTCTTCTCCAAACAGTGACCTCTGACCTGGCCAATGGCCTCTTTTGTTGACGTCTGTCACAATGGTGACTGGTGTTGGGTTACATAATGTTGCAATTTCATGGTCTGCTCTGCTCCTATCACCATATGCTAGTAGTACGTGTATGTGAATTTGAGTAAGAATTAACAGAGCAGACCATGTCCGAAGGTAAACATTATGCATTTGCTTTGCAAATGTTAATCTCTAGTGTTAGTTATTCACTTGCTTGACTTTGTTTAGTTGTGTGGAAGGTCTCGGATAGACCAAACTGGTCTCTGCTAAAAAATACGAACGCAGTTCAGGTCTACAGTCAAAATTCCTAGAAAACTATTGAGTGGGCCAAAAATATCTGGTCTATGTCGTCACTAAAGACAGGATTCTTAATGCTTGCGTCAATATGGGCAATGGGAAAAATACAGTGATATTGGCTGCATTATAGATTTTATTGACTTGACATGTACATGTAGATCTCTGAATAATGAATGCTATGATTAAATCATGGAGGTAAACCTCCATGATTAAATCAACAACGTACGTAGGTGTCAAATTGTTTAATTTCAGCACCTGAAAATACAGATACAATGTGAAAAACCAACCTGGTGTGTGTGCATCATTTGAAACCCAAAAGCTAAGAATAATCATACACCGAAGATCAAAGTAATCTGTCAAGTCAGTATGCGGAAAAGCGCCACTGACAGTACATGTCAACACTGTTCAAATGGGTGTCACCTCCATCCTTAAGGGCTAACACACGTTCAGCAGCTAAACGTTTATGGGACTATGACCCCCAGCAGCTGCATTGTCCAGCAGCAAGAGTGGCGGCATATCGTGGTAGCCTACAGTACTACGGCGCACAGCTGTGGAACACTGAGTTCAGGACATTTAAACGAGTCGCTTAAAGAAGGTTTAAACTTGATACATGATATGTAAAATGTATTTGTTAGAATAACTGTATATGCTGTTATTGTTATTATTCACTCACTCACTCACTCACTCACTCACTCACTCACTCACTCACTCACTCACTCACTCACTCACTCACTCACTCACTCACACTCACTGCATGGCTTAATGTCCGTTGTTCCCCGTCATGCAAGGGTTGCATTTTCAAACTTAAGGTATATCATGATTGTCTAAAGAAAACCACCTGAGTGCATTATCCTGTATATATATCAAATAAAGTTAAAGTGAAAAATGAAAGTCAAACCCACTGTGAGGCATAGCATGTCACTGTGACACATAATAAGCAAACAAAAACATTGGGTATCTCTGGCCCTTGGTGTAAGGCCACACCGACTTAATTTTATGGATGACATCTGCGCGCGCATTGATTTTTGCCTGTTCTAAAAAAAAAGATCACATCCACCGAGGCTCTGGCCTGGCTCTAGGCCTGGGTAGTCCATGGCAGGTAGCGACAATATGGAGCCAGGCACTCAGGCTACTGAAGCTCCACGACTCAAGAACTCAGTACATACGTACAGTGCCGATTCATAAATTCCGCAAAAAGCCAGCATGTGCCGGCTAGTTGTATTCGTCGCTATGCCGCAAATTCACAATACCAGCTTTGTATTCCTGTGGTTTAGTAGCATTTCTATTTTTGGCCAGAATTTTTTTTTATTCGCCCGCGCGCACTAGTTTGGGGGTTTTCAGAGGATGTCATCCATAAAATTAAGTCAGTGTGGCCTAAAGAAAATCTTGGAAAGATGTACAAGTCTTACCGTCACATCTGAGGAACTTGCGGTCCCTGTCCCTGACCTCCTGGTACCCGGGGTTACAGGAGCAGCGATACAGTGCGCCCTCCCGACTACACACCCCCGCACCGCTCCGCTGGTCACAACGGTTCGACACAGGGGAACAGAAGTCCTCATCTGATGGTGCAAATAATGAATGAATGAATGAAAGACATTTATTGTACGTTTGTGCACTAACAAGCTAAGTACAGGTCATGAAATAGACAAGGAAAAGGATACAGCAATCACTTAAACTATACATACTAATGTGGTCTACTATTTACATGTTCAACTTCTTCTCGCTTCTTGACGAAGTTATAGATATACGAGCATATAGAACTAATGATACATGGTTTGTCAAGTTTCATAACTTTCTAATTCATTTAAGAGTCATTGCACGAGAAAACCAGGCAGAGGTCGGAAGATGGGGGTCGGCCAAATCGACTCAAACTTTGTATGTGAGATAGGTATGGGGAACTATGAACAGCCATATATTTAAAACCCTCCAGATATTTTTCGTTATGGAGATCTGGGACCCCCCTCCGAGAGCCTCCGAAATCAGGTAATTTATGGCTGAAAATTACTGAACTTGCGATGGCTGCACTGATGACTCTGATAAAGATATGGATAAAACGTTTATATTACCACATAGCATAGCTTTTCTAGTTTTACAGACCCAAAGTTCAAGAGTACACCTTAAAGTTAAGAGGGTGTGACAGGGGGTTACCGGAACCATTAAAAGCAGAATTTTCATCTCTATGCATTTTAGTCATCTTTAAGGCGCATTATCTCATATGGGCAGTGGCTTTGGTGAATGGTTTTACTGTGGTTTGAGAGAGGAACATCTACTGATTCAAAAACAAGCGTCGTTGGTTTGGGCCATACATAACGCGAGCCGTGACTGGGGGGTCTTTATGGGGAATTTTCGGGTTTGGGACTGTACTAAATCGGGCAATGACTTCTCCGTACTGGGCACGTTTGGGACAATGTGGGCATGTCGACGTATGATAATCATCAGACAATTATCGAAGAAGCTTTAATGAATTAAGGATGTTGATTTGGGCTCTATATGGGGGATACGGGGATACCTGTAAATGGAAGTAGGCTAATTTTACACATTTTTATTGCTTTCTGTTAGCTGAAGATAGCAAGTAAGTTCCTTGGTAAATTATTATGTGCATTAACTTTGTGCTAGATAATGAAAAGGCTCTGCATGGGGGTTATGAGGACTCCACGAATGGAGATGCCATTTACATGCCGCGTGGAAGTAATGGTACTTCGATCATACTGTTATTTCACTCAGAAAAAAGATAACAATAAACAATCGTGTGCTTAAGACTAGTACTTGTACTTTTCTTCATCAATCTTGATCAGTAGAGATATGCTGGTATAGACATTTACTACATAGTAGTACACTGATGGTGTGTTACTATGCTTGACCATTTTTCATACCTAACCCAAAAACATTTTTTAACCTGTATAATATTAATAATGAAAGTTTGTTGCAAATCCATGCCCGATGGCTAATTGAAAGAACAGGATAACAAAAATAAACATTAAAATGATAATGAGTAATGCTAATACTACTTTAGATATACATTTGTAGTTATTGTTGGTTTCTTTTCCGTGTACAGTGGAGTATGAAATGACTGACATTTTGCGAGATATATGAATTGGGAGGTGTTATTAGAAATGCAGTTTTTTGAAGGCTGGGAATGTAAATAAATCTAGGGAACATTTTGGTGACCATTTAGAATAACTTATCTCTTTAAGTGCTATAATTAATGAGGGCAATGGCAAATAAAGTGCATTTCATCCTCCACTGCATTTCCTGTGAATATTTACATATTCTGTTGTTTACAGACAGTTGTTTGTATGTACCCTTTTCTATTTCTAATGTATGTGCGCTAACTCTAACCTTACATATGGCTGATCTAACATCGAAGTCTCTGATGCGAAGATAACGTTTTATTGTGTATACAGGTTTCAGATGTCTATAAAATCTTAGCTTACCGACATCAACAGAGAGATTGTAAAGAAAGGTTTGGATATACATGTAAAAGAGTCTACTTCTAAATAATGTACATATGTGTTGCTTATCGAGATCGACGTTGCCGTTATGCCAGATATATGAGAAACCACTGCGGTCAAGTATTTCTTTCACATGGTGTAGCAGATTTTCTTGTGACCATGCATTAACATATGTTGTCTCAGTCTTAACCAATACTTGACTAGGCGTACAGATACGTCTGTGTCTAGTGACAATCTACCAAGTTCTGCTTTGCATGCTCCGTTGCTAGCGTTTCTGTGTACACAATGAATTTTTTTACAGAAGCGATTTATGGACAGTTTCAATAGGACAGTTGTCATTTGAAAAATCTTTTCCCCAGATTTCGCAACCACATAACATAATATTGATTTGATGCACACGTCAAAAATCCTTCATAAAAATCCTCCTTTCAATGAGATTTGTGAGCGGATAAGAGATTTGATGCTAAAATAGATTTGCGGGCTTTTAAAGCAAGTTGTTTCTTAGTGAGCTAGTGAGAAACTGCCAGATGAGGACAATATAGACCTAGATAGCAGTACGACGTAGTAATTTCTATATTTTCGAATTCGAGCAGGAATTTTGTATTTATGTACTAGTATATGCGCCCTGTTTTGTTAAAAATCACAACTTTGGTCTTTTTAGGTAAACTTGGAGTTTCCATTTTGTACAAGTGTTTAGTTTGTCAAGGGCACATTGAAGTCCTTTCTCAGTTTCCGAGAAAATTACGACATCAACTCCATAGAGTAAGCAGGAAATGGATAAATTCTGTAGGGAGGGTGGCACGCATTCTGGACTATCTAACATCTTGACTACATCATTTATGAACAGGTTGAAGAGAGTCGGGCAGAGGTTACAGCCCTGCCTCACACCTTTGTCCGTGTCGAAGGGTGGTGTTAGACCAGAGGAGGTTTTGATGCATGTTTGCGGGTTAGAATACATTGATTATATAAGACTGTAAAATTTGCCGCCTACTCCCGAGCTGAGTAGATTCTTTATGTCAATCATTAAATTTCCAAAACAATGTTTTGCTGACAATCCATTCGCCTGCCGTAACTTCTAACACGCTTGAAGAAGACAAAAATGGTTGCCATTATTTTGTACATTAATTGAAAATGAGATACCAATGTGTGGTCAGATATATTGTGCATGCTACGCAACAGTCCATCGGCACATCGCAGGTTGGTAATAGCAGCATACCTGTACTAACCCCTCATTATTCAAGAAACACACATGTAACTACTAATAGCATTCAAACATTGCTTTTGCTATGGTCTTGTTCATCTGTATCCAGCCCTCTTCTTCTGGTCTTCCTTTTAGATTTAGTAAGTGCCAATATGTACAACTTAGCTCAGAGGTCTGCTTCATTTGGCACCTGTATTTACCGGAATCTCCATTTCTGGAGTCCTCATAACCCCCATGTAGATCCTTTTAATATCTACCACAAATTTGATGTAGACAATATTTTAGTAAGGAACTTATTTGCTCTACAGCTAAGAGAAGAACAATAAAATGTGTAAAATTAGCCTACTTCCATTTACAGGTATCCCCGTATCCCCCATATAGAGCCCAAATCAACATCCTTAATTCATTAAAGCTTCTTCGATAATTGTCTGATGATTATCATACGTCGACATGCCCACATTGTCCCAAACGTGCCCAGTACGGAGAAGTCATTGCCCGATTTAGTACAGTCCCAAACCCGAAAATTCCCCATAAAGACCCCCCAGTCACGGCTCGCGTTATGTATGGCCCAAACCAACGACGCTTGTTTTTGAATCAGTAGATGTTCCTCTCTCAAACCACAGTAAAACCATTTACCAAAGCCACTGCCCATATGAGATAATGCGCCTTAAAGATGACTAAAATGCATAGAGATGAAAATTCTGCTTTCAATGGTTCCGGTAACCCCCTGTCACACCCTCTTAACTTTAAGGTGTACTCTTGAACTTTGGGTCTGTAAAAACTAGAAAAGCTATGCTATGTGGTAATATAAACGTTTTATCCATATCTTTATCAGAATCATCAGTGCAGCCATCGCAAGTTCAGTAATTTTCAGCCATAAATTACCTGATTTCGGAGGCTCTCGGAGGGGGGTCCCAGATCACCATAACGAAAAATATCTGGAGGGTTTTAAATATATGGCTGTTCATAGTTCCCCATACCTATCTCACATACAAAGTTTGAGTCGATTTGGCCGACCCCCATCTTCCGACCTCTGCCTGGTTTTGCCTGGTTTTCTCCTACAATGACTCCAAAGCTGGGGAACTTATCTATTATATAAGAATATAGGAAATCTCTCTCATTACTACATATAACGTACAATCGACTACGAAATGATACTCATCCTCAATCTTATCTAAATCGCAAAATTGGCAAATCCTTTGCTCTAGAGGAATGCAGTCAGTACACTACCTTATTGTGTCTGCCTGCAAAATGATAGTAATGTTATTATAATAATAGCAGAATTGTAAGTCATGATAGTAGTGATCTTATAATATTTATCAGAAAAAAATGGACAGGGCAAATCTGAGATTGGTGTGGCCTAATAAACAAAATGCTGTGTCATATGTCACTTTATTGTTGTGTCAATAAAGTTCTTCATATAATAAGTAGTAAAAGTTCTTACACTGCCGGTTGCAGTCCTTCAGTTTGCAGGTCATGGTGTGGTTTGCGATGCCGTGGCAGTATTCTCCTCCCTGCTCAGGGCTGGGGCGGTCACACACGCGCGTGCGGAAACGCTGTCCGGGCCCGCACTCAGCTGAACAGCTGCTCCACTCACTCCAGAAGCTCCAGCCACCATTTACTGCACAAATACAGTTGCATTTATAGTAAAACGTTAAACTTTATTCCAACACACAGTTTACAGGGAGGTCACGTGTTTGTAAACCGTAACTCTCGCGAGATCACGTTGTGAAGTGATTGGTCATTAATTATCCTGATGAAGGCGACAGTGGTCGCTGAAAATTTGATCTCCCTGTAAACTGTGTGTTTAAACGTTTTACTATGATTACTACCAACACAGATGAACTTTCATGATAAATACAGTATTTGTCTTACTTGCCTTGCACCCTCCTCTTAATGCTGTATCAAGAGATAAAGGGCTGACCTAAGGCTTAAGGGGGCACACCAAAATTTATTTCGCGTTTCAATTTGATGCTGCACACCCTTAAGTCTAGCAGCCGTCTCTGCCGTGGAATAACTCGGAAGGAAAATAACACAGTGACTGTATATGGGACAAAAGGATATCTCTTCAGCTACAAAAAACCAACTGAATTTGGTTTCTTCAACCTCTTTAATTTTGGTAAAATCGACAGAAAAATCATTATTTTCACTCCAGAATTAATGAACAAAATTGTGAATTTTTGCGTGGGATAATCCCATGGAAAAAATTTTTCCGGTAGAAATGACTGATGCTGGCAGAAAGACACAAACCTTGACTATACTCGAGTAAATTATAAAGAAAATCCTTAGTACTCCAATTTTTTAAATCGTCCACAGTGCAAGGGGTTGCAACTTGAGGAAGGTGCAGAGCGAAATCTAGATCAAATGGGCTGATTACAGTTGGCGCGCAGGAATACCTGGAAGTAAGGTTCAGAGCCAAAATCAATTTTCACCCCCAAATCACCGTTTCTTACACTCTTCAGCGATGTTAATGTTTAATGATGTTTCGTGGCAATTAATGAGAAAATGTCACCCCAAAGTTGCTCTCAAAACCCTTCCGTCACCTTTTAACGCGCACTACCACGGATCCCAGCCGCGGAAGAATTGGGCTACAGTACATACACACATTATGTATAACGAAATATATTTTATTAAGAAGCCAGTGTACCTTTCTCACAGCTGTCTCCACCAAAGTACCCCGGACAGCTGCACCTGGCCCCAGGTGTCAGCTCCTCACACTCCCCATGGTTCAGACAGGTGAGGTTGGCGCAGCTGATGGGGTCGTCACAGGTGAGTCCGTCCCCAACAAAGCCGGCCTTGCAGGTGCAGTAGAAGCTCCCGGCAGTGTTGATACAGTCAGCATGCTCATGACAGTCATGGCTGTCTGCTGTACACTCATCTATGTCTGGTGAGGTTTGAGAGAACAAATAATTGATTAGGCCACACCAATTTAATTTGTTGTTTCTCAGAGTTTTTCAGAAAAAAATTGAAGCAACAGGGAAAAAAAAAAAAACAGGCCAAGGCACCCCATAATAGCCGGAAATGTTACGATATGAGCCTTGAAGTCAACATACCAGGCTGGTTTATAATCAAAACAATTATATAGTTCTTGAACTTTAATGAAACAAAAATGCAAAATTTTAACAACTAGGAGGAAAAGGACTTTCTTCAACTGTTGGGGTCAAAATATGTCTTTCATTTAGCATTTTGCAGTTGCCTAAAATCTTTTTTTTTTGCAAATCAGAAAAAAAGGGACATTTTGACCAATCTAAATTGAGATAAACAGCCTCCAGTTTAATTTCGGACAACCTCCCATATCTCAGCAACCTTAAACCCAGATGGGCTACATGCATGTAATATCGCAAACCAAAGGTAAAAATGATGTAAGAAATATGTAGCAGCTATTCGCGACCCCCAGGGGGTTCGTCCAATAAATTATTATTTTACGTATTATAACCCATGAGCATTATGCATAATTATGCATAACCCCACAAAGCATTATGCATAATTATGCACAATTATGCACAATTATGCACAATTATGCATAATTATGCATAATTGGACGAACCCCCAGCGAATAGCTGCTACATATTTCTTACATCATTTTTACCTATGGTTTGCGATATTAGCCCATCTGGGTTTAAGATTGCTGAGATATGGGAGGTTGTCTGGAATTTGTCTGGATGTCCAGAATTAAACTGGAGGCTGTTGATATAATCTTGTTCACACTTAAACTGCACGATCATGTGTAAGGTCAAAGTTGAGGAGTAGTACTTGTAAAGAGTTCTTGTCTGGCATGTGGCTAGATAGATTTTGTTTATGTCTCAGAGGTCTTTAACTTTGGTAACTAATATGACATTGTGAAAGTACTATTAGTATACCCACAATGCGTAATGCTGTGCATGCACAAAGGCATCCATTGGTACATACTAGTATTTTCTTGTCTTTGCATGTGTTTTACTGGACAAAATAGGTTTGGATACACTCATGAGGCTATCTTGCCGTATTCTTAAGGAATACGAGCATATACGAGCAGATGTGTCAAGAATCTGGACCTATTTCGTCCAGTGTTTCGTTACAGTATTCGACGATGGAATACAAGGCTGGTCCTTGGTACTGAATACTTCAGAAAAGGCAGAAATTTCCTCATAATTCAAGAAAGTAACCTGGGATGGAAATCACTCCAACACCGCCGAAAAATGGCCAGGCTTACTACAATGTTTAAAGTTCTGCACAACACCATCTCTGTCCCCCACACCTCGTGTCTTGTCCCGGCAGCTCGATGCTCCCGCCGCACTAATCACACTTTAAAGCTGCAGACCATCGCGAGTAAGAACAACTATTACAGGCTCTTCCTTCGCACCATCAAGGAGTGGAATAAACTTGAGCCTTGTGTTGCGGAGGCGAAGTCCATCTCCCAGTTCAAAGCAGAGCTGGGACGGGCTTCGCTACATTGAGCTGCCTCCCTGTCCTTGTACATATGTAAACATGTGTAATGCTAGCACCATTGACTTCACTTGTCCTGTCCTTGCACTTGTCTACGTCCACCCCTACCCTACCCTTTGTTTGCACACAGTCACTAATCTGCGCAGCTGCTAATAATCCTCTTTTTAGAGGGTTGAGCAGTATCAAAGATGATGAAGAGTTGTGAGTCTTACCGACACAGCCTCCCTCACTCTCCATGTACCCCACAGCACAGCCACAGTAGTACGAGCCGGGAGTGTTCACACAGGTGTGCTCCAGGGTCTCATTACACTGGGAGAAGTGCCTCCAGTCTTCACACTCATCCACATCTACATGTACAAGGCAATATCATTTGCAGATGATAAAATGAATGTTTAAATTCATAGTTAGCCACAAAATCACATACACGTACTTGCTGCATTGTATCCAAGCCTAGATCATACTGCTGTAGGTGTCCCTATAACACAGGCAGTAGTCAGCAACAGTGGAATAGATTTCTCATAATTCTTGAAAATACAGTCATACCTGGGCCACAATTATGTTTGATACGGATGTTCCAGACCGGGCCGTACTTTACAGTATTGCCCAGGCTTCTTTATGCGTACGGCCCCGGCTTCCATGGCTTCCATAGACAATTCAAATGCATTTCACCCTAACTGCATGCACTGCTTTCGAAAATTCGAATGCAGAATTTGGACGTTGGAATTGATGTTGTTGCATTTTTTTTGGTTTAGGGACACCAAATTTTCACCCATTTCGCATTCAATTTGAAAGGCGTGTTTTCTTGGGTGGGTATGACATAAATAAAATACTACACAGTGTATTCCGCATCACCCTCGGTCCCAGCCCTCCCGCAGATTGGATCTCCCTCCAGCCTTTGGGCGATCCGACACGCGGTCGGGCTGATACCTCGGGCGATATCGATTACCCTGTGTAGTATTCTATAATTATATCATGTGTATTCTATAATTTCTATTTGTGTCACTCAGGATTTACAACTCATACTTGTCATCTGTTTTTCAGGTAACTCTAAAAATAACTAGTCATGAATATATGAATATTGTGAGTTTGTCATATTCATTATTTTTGTAAATTTTACTGCTTTTGTCTCAATAGTATGCATTCTGGTTCACTGTACTGCAGAATTTTAATACCCTTGCATAACTGCACATTTGTCTGGGACATTGATTTGAAAGAGAATTAACCTTCTCCATGCTGTCCAACCCAATAAATGAATCCCATGACATACTCGATGATGTGCCCTTGCGAAAGGCACTTACATTTTGTAACAACTGTTACAACTTCCCTCCCTGTATGGTGAAGTGACGCTCACTGGGCCTTTTAGCTAATTCTTGATAGTATGTCCAAACACTGATGAGCACATATGTTAGACGGATTTGGCATTGCCAATGTGCTACGATCGGCACATTTGCCACTAAGGCCACACCAATTTAATTTGTTGCTTCTCGGATCGCCCTGTCCATTTTTTTCCGATTAGCAAAAAAAACAAACAAATTTTTTGTTCTAAATTAAAAGTTACTGCAAAATGCTCAATGAAGGACATATTTTGTCCCAACGATTGAAAAAAGTTCTTAAGTTTTTCAACGTAACAATGCAATTTTGTTTCATTACAAGTTCAAAATCTATTGTTTTAATGATCATAAACCAACCTGGTATGTTCACTTCATGGCTCATATTGTAACATTTCCGGCTATCATGGGGTGCCTTGGCCTGTTTTTTTTATTTTTATTTCGCCCTGTCGCTCCTGATTTTTTCTGAAAAAATCCGAGAAACAATAAATTGAATTGGTGTGGCCTAAGAACGGTTAAATTTTTTTGAACTCACCATCACACAATCCTGTCTCCATGTTCTGTTGGTACCCCTGTGTGCAGTTGCAGCTGAACTTGTACTTCCTGTCCACACAGACAGACCGGGTTTCATCACAGGTGTCCATCTTGTGCCGACACTCGTTGATCTGTGGATCTAGAACGTATAGCAAACAACGCAATTTAAAAGCTTATCAATGCATTCATACAACGATCATACAATGTTTGTGACCTTTCAAAAACAGTTTCATCAGGTTGGTAAAGTATAGCATACAAGAGATTTCTTTACACGACTAAGATTTCTCACTTAAAAGTGATGACGTTTCAGCGAGAAGCAGAACTCCAGTCAGAAGCTCTGAGGATGGTGTCTGATAGACACTGAAACGTCAGCACTTAGGTGAGAAATCTTGGTTCTGTAAAAGAAAACTCTTGCATCCAATGTATTATTTGCACTCTTACACATTAAAGGTGAAGAGGCTGCTTGGGCTTGGTAGAGAAAAACTTTAATGTCAGTAAGAACGTGGAAAATCACTCGCTAAGCATCTATTGGTCTAGAAACTCTCTGTGAAACTCTCTGTGCACCTCTACAATACAACAATGAGAAGTTATGAAGTCACGTGGTGATGACGCGCAGGTCAAAGTTCAGAGGTAGCTAATAAACTGATTTGATCTACCGCCCAAATAATTCCTTTGTGACCGGCTCTGAATCACACACCAATGGCAAAGGTAATACTCAGACCCTGTTCTACACTGACCTCCGCAGTGGAAGCTGACTTTTGTGTACTTCACGTTGTTCTCCAAACCAGAGTCCACCAGTGGTTCCAGGAAGGTGTAGTTAGTGAAGATGTAGGGTGTTGTCCAGCAGTACGGGATGGTCTCCTTGTTCAGCTCCACCATGAAGTCTGCCTCTCCCATGGAGACAGACTTTCTCTTTCCAAACTTGATGTTTTTGACGGAGAACGCCTTCCTCTCTATCAGATAGTCGTCATGACTGGGAACGAGAGGAATAATAATAGTAGTTTATTGACAACACTCCAGGCAACATCCGTGTCCATAATATCACCAGGGTCCAGAGCCTGGGGTCCATAGTATCGCCACCTTGGGAAATAGTGTGCTTTAATAAGATATTTTTACTGCAACATACTTTTGGTATGCACTACTGCACACCTCAAATGTACATACCTAGGGTATGTTGCAGTAAAAATATCTTTAAGCACACTATTTCTCAAGGTGGCGATATTATGGACCCTGGTGATATTATGGACACAGATGTTACATGGCAGCGTATAAAACTGCTGAATTACGTACTCAGGATTTAAAAACAGGTTAAACGATAAGGTCAGCTAAACAAACAAAGGACATTGACAAACTAGGTACAAACATAAACAAATACAGGCTGTACACAGTTACACAGTTATGAATATAGATCAGAAGTATCTACTTAAATAGATTAAAAACTATTAATAATGGTCCGGTACTGGGAGATTTCAACCTGTTTGAATGTTTATTTAACAAATCAGTGAAATACAGGATTGGACTCGTTTTGTACCGCTTTGCTTTCGTCAAGGGAATGTCGAGTTGATTTGCCCCCTTCAGGCATCTGCCATGAATATCTCAGGAAAGACGTTCGTAAGGTCACACCAATTTTTTGGATTTTTTTTTAGATGAAATTTGACGCGACAGGGTAAAAAAAAACAGGCACCTCACGTTAGCTGGAAATGTTACAATATGAGCCTTGAAGTTAACATACCAGGCTGGTTTATAATGAAAACAATAGTATCAAAGGTATCTGGTAGACAATGTCGACCCCCGTCACGGTTCAATGTAGGGTGAAGGAAGCCATATACATCAGGGCCCATCACCCTACATTGAACCGCGACGGGGGTCGACATCATCTACCAGATACCTTTGACCCAGTGTTGACGTCACACTTCAAAGAAGCCACGTGACAAGCTTCACTGGATCAGTCTACTGAGGAAGACCAGAGTGACTGGTTGAAAGCTCTAGGTGAGAGAATTTTTTGTGTTGGAACAAAAGTTTTAACTTTAAATAGGTGTAGAGTCAGTTTCCCAAGAGCACAACATTGGGCCTGCCTGGGATTCAAAACCATGAGAATCTTAAAGTTGGATTCTACAAATCTATCCTCTAGAAAACCTTGCCAACATTGATTACCTGATGACTGCATCCTTAGACATGTAGAACTCCTGAGTGAATCTGCCATGTAAGGTGGGGAAAGCTGGAGTTGCGATCATGTCCACATCCAGGACATACCGGTTGAAGACATCAGCATGCAGTATACTGTTGTCGCCTCCAATGTTGAACTTTGTAATCATCATATCCATGTGTTCTGTGGGGAAATAAATTTTGTTTGGAAACATTGGGAACATCCTTCTATAAACCAGGAAATCAAAGCTCACATACATGTAACATCTGTGTTGGACTCCATAATATCACCAGGGTCCATAATATCGCCACCTTGAGAAATAGTGTGCTTAAAGATATTTTTACTGCAACATACCCTAGGTATGTACATTTGATGTGCATACCAAAAGTACATGTATGTTGCAGTAAAAATATCTTAAAACACACTATTTCTGAAGGTGGCGATATTGTGGACCCTGGTGATATTATGGACACGGATGTTACATCTGGCGTAAAATATTTAGAGCATTGTGAAATATCTTCAGAGCTGTTATACTGTGCTTTGAAGTTAATTACACTTTAATACAACTATCCTGGTCTTGGTATTGAATAGAACACAAAAATGTGCTACTGTGCTCAGTACCGAACAAGGGTTTAAGAACTTCAGAATCTATATGTCTCTGATACTGAAAAATCCACTGAGAACTGACACTGAATGTTGATGGTGGTTGTGAGAAATTTTGATGTTTGATGCTGATCTTCTATATAATTGTTAGTGTAGTATCTTAAAAGTCTTGCTCTGTCAATCTTTTTGTGTTACTTGAGAGTGCTTTAGGCCACACCAAGTAAATTTTATGGATGACCCTAAATCTAATGCGAGAGGGCGAAAAAAAAACAAGAAGGGCCCTAAAAAACAAGATGCCTAGATTAGAAATATACTAAGAGACGACAAATGTTAGGACACAAATTGAATGAAGTGACACAGTGTAACAAGCAAGAAGTCTTTTATCATCAAAACAGCAATAAATCAGGTGGAACAGCAGTTGTCGTCCTGTCCTGTTTCTTTCATATTTTGCAGGCCTGCAGAAACAAAGCATGTGCTCTTTACCCATTTCGCGTTATGGGTTTCACGTCAATCTAACGATTTGCGGCACTGTAGTGACTCTTTGGTCATAGTTACAGGAAGCAAAATTTCTTGTTTTTTTTTTCTAGAAACAGGCCAAAATCAATGCGCGTGCGGACGTCATCCATAAAATTTACTTGGTGTGGCCTTATATGTACAGCAATTATGGTGCTGACAATAATGAATTATTATATCATACTACTTCTGTCCATGTATCTGTATCTGTATCCGTATAGCCGGTATACATGTAACTGCCCATTGGCATAACACACCAGCTTTGCAGGCACGCGGCGCGGCGGCAGCTGACTACATTACAACGACGTTGACTTACCTCCACAACCTGTGACCTGAAGGTCAGAGATGGTGGCCATGTTGTTTATCTCCACTGTCTCCTTGATGATGTCATCAGGATCCAGCATGACCTCAAGGGTCTTGACCCTGCCCAGACACATGCTAATGTGATCCTTCAGGGTTGCTCGAAACATTCCCTCTGTAGAACAAGAAATCAAACGTTTCAACTAGTGATGCATACCTAAACTCAATTTTAGGTTCAGGTCCGGATTCAAGTCCAGAGGTTTAGGTTCAGTTCTGGACTTGGAAGTCTGGACCTAAACACATGACATATACAAAATTGCATGTTGGCAACCTTGCAATGTTGTCTGGGTGAAACTTTGGCCACATAACATATGCATGGAGGCCGGTACTTGACGATGCCTGATGGCAATGTTTTCTTCATTTTGCAAGCAAAGATTTTGCAATGTACGGAAGGTTTTAGGTGGTTTGGAGAGAAAAGGGGAATGTGAAATGGTCTTTAATGGTAATAAGTCCGGACTCGGTTCTTGACTTTTAGGTTTTTTTGGACTTGAACCTAAACATTCTTACAAGTCCGGATCCAAGTCCAGTGAACCGGTATGCAGCACTAGTTTCAACTCTACAGGAAGTATCTAGGGTTTTTTTTCCAGCCCCCAACTCAGCAGATTCTCACAGAATGTTAGCGCAATACTCCAGATCAATAAAAACATAACTGCATCAAAAAGGAGCATTCAAAGACATGACAAGATGGATGAAAAAAAACATGTAACCAACAGAATTAATACACAAAACACACATCTTCCCAATACCTACCCCTCAACTCTTTCCTACAACTAAACATATATGACTGTATAATATTCTTAGAAGCTTTGATACACTGTGCACAATGCATTGCACAACACACCTGTATCTGTATCTCTATCTGTAAAGCTAAGCCTTGTATAAATGCACTTTAGTGCAACACATCAGCTTCGCAGGCATGTGGCATGGTGGAAGCTGGCTACATTACACCGATCATCTAACTCTAAACATTGTTTAAAGCTATCTAATGATGATGCCCCAACTGTACATGGTGACAGCGAGTTCCATTCTGCAATAATTCTAGGAAAGCAGGAGTTGAAACCATAGAAGACTTAGTCCCACCTGCTTATTGGTTGCTTAACTCACCTATCATGTACGTCCCTGGAGTGGCCATGGGTGTTACAAGGAGGTTGGAATACGGCACCACCACACGAGGCTGTGTGTCTGTGTACATGTACAGTCTCAGGTCATCAGGAGAAACTGCTATACCATCTGGGGAAAAAAACAGTAATATGTCATTTCTACTGTAGTGCTGGGAAAACCTTTGACATACTAGGGCCACACCAATTTAATTTCTTGGTTAACGGATTCGCCCGCTTCATTTTTTTCTGATTTGCAAAAAAAAAATAAAAAAATTCAGAATCAACTGCAAAATGGTCATATTTTGCCCTGAACAGTTGAAAACAGTCCTTTTCTTCCTAGTTGTTACAGCTATTCCATCTTTCAATGCAGTGGTATCATTAAAAGTTCAAAATTCATTGTTTAAATTTTGAACCAGCCTGGTGTGTTGACTTCATGGCTCCTATCGTACCATTTTGGGCCATAATAGGATGCCTAGGCCTGTTTTTATTCTTATTTTTTTTTCGCCCGCCCACTCCATTATTTTTCTAGAAAAATCCGTTAACCAAGAAATCAAATTGGTATGGCCTGGTAAAAGTTACCAGGGTTACCAAACTGTTATTACTGCCCAATGTGATTTGAAATGTGCATATTGACTGCCAAACTAATTACAACTCCAGAACTGTCTAAAGCACTGTCTAATGTCTAAAGCAGAGGAATATTTATAATTAATACAGATTTTATGTGTAATTAATAATGTGTTAACAATAATACCTTTTGACAGCATAATTTTTTGCGTTGACTACAGAGCAATTCAGGCATCCAGTATGGTTGCCTGCGAGTCTGTTGTCAGAGTGTATAATATAATAGAATATGTTTGAGTTTCTAAATAAACCATTCTAGTACTTTAGTGTGCTAAAGGTTAAGAGTTTCTCACCACTGGCATTGACTGTTACATGTACAGTAAAGGCCTGGTCCTTGTCCAATGGCAGGGTTCCGGCCTCAAAACTGTTGTCATAGTGGAGGATGAAGTTCCTGGGCTTGTCTGTCACAAGCAGGTCAACTTGTTCTGCAAATAAAGATTAATATATATCATATACATATATAAATATATAAATATATATATATATGATTAGTAATGATAATAAACAATAAATAAAGATTCATAGGATTAATTTCTCATTATTACCTCCATGAAAAATGGAGGTATTGTTTTTGGCATGTGTGTGTGTCTGTCTGTGTGTGTGTTTGTGTTTCCGCACATTTGTACATGTAGTCAGAATATCTTCAGAATGCCTTCATGAAATGTGATGATATTTGGTATGCTGGTAGGTCTAAGAAAGCCAAAGGTCAAGGTCAAATATGGGCCTCCTGGTGGCTGACCTTGGTACTGCAGTAGAACTTTTGTATTTTGAGGAAAAACAGATGTGCCGGTTAAAGACTCCCTCTAACGCAAAACACGTATGGTCAGGCAGCGCGCCTACCAGGTTTGATTGATGATGTTCTCCCTCGGGAATAGACTAAATGTTGACTGCCTGACCTATTTTAGGACAAAAACCTGTGTTATTTTGTTCTGTACTGTAGTGTAGTGTAGTGTACCGTGTAAAAGCATTACAAAAACTCATATATTTTATGGAGGTTTGAGATCTCCGAATTCTTGTTTCTATTGTCCTTATTGCCTACTGGTTTTATGTAATAAAGTTTTGTTGTCATGCATGTGTGTCATGGATTTTGTTGTGCCATGATTTTGTTTTTCTATCTTGAAATGAATAAAAACAAAGAACTTAAAAAAAAAGATTTGTAGGAACCAATGAAGGGGCATCTTGAGAGTCAACTTGTATAACACATAATGAGTGTCATTAAATCTGCATAAATTAGTTGTGTATGGAAATATTTAGGGATTAAGAGCAGGGTAAATAAAAGTTGGGAATGAATGGGGTAGTGATACTGATATCACTTTATAACATACACATTGCAGAAGTAGGATTCTACAAAAGTTCTGCTGATTATTCATTACTTATCACTTATTATTAAAGTGATTGAACAAAATACTCTCTTGCCAACTTAAGAGTGCAGCAGCTACACAACAACAGCTACAAGAACCACAACACTGTCCTTGGTACTGAAACTTTAAGAACTGCTATCATTCATTGCAGAAGTAGGATTCTATGAAAGGTCTGCTGATTATTCATTACTAAATAATGGATTAAACAAAACACCCTCTTGCTAACTTAAGAGAGCAGCAGCTACACAACAACAGCTGCAAGAACTGCAACACTGTCCTTGGTACTGAAACTTTAAGAACTGCTATGATCATTCATTGCAGAAGAAGGATTCTACAAAAGGTCTGCTGATTATTCATTACTTTTAGTAAATAAGTGATTGAACAAAACACCCTCTTGCCAACTTAAGAGAGCAGCAGCTACACAACAACAGGTACAAGAAACGCAGCACTGTCCTTGGTACTGAAACTTTAAGAACTGTTATCATAATAATCATATATATATATTAACTGTTCATTTGATACAGAAGAAAACTCTGTGATGAACTTCTTTGGATAGGCCACACCAATTCAATTTGTTGTTTCTCGAATTCGCCCTGTCCATTTTTTTCTGGTTTGTAAAAAAACAAAGATTTTAGGTTCTAAATCAACTGCAAAATGCTCAATGAAAGACATATTATGGCCCCAACGGTTGAAGAAAGGCATTTTCTTCCTAGTTGTTAAAGTTTTTCAATGTAACAGTGCAACTTTGTTTCGTTAAAAGTTCAAAATCTATTGTTTTAATTATAAATCCAGCCTGGTACATGTATGTTGACCTCATAGCTCCTATTGTAACATTTCTGGCCTTCATGGGGTGCCTTGACCTGTTTTTATTTCATTCTTATTTCGCCCTGTCACTTTATATTTTTTCTGAAAACATCTGAGAAACAACAAATGAAATTGGTGTGGCCTTAACATCTTACCTTCACTGCAGTTCATCTTGAGATCAAACACCCTGTAGTTGTTGCCAGGGATTCGGTCGTGTTTCCCTCTCAGATAGGGGTTGTCTCCTGTGACCACCATGGCGATAAGTCTGTTTGCTGCTGAAGTCTGGCACAGCTCAGGGGTAATGACTATGGTGCTGGTTGCCTATGAGGGGGGAGTGATAAATATAAAGTGATCTCAAACCATTATGAAACAAGTAAAATCTGAGATGTAATACCTCCGGGCTTTTTATTGTATATGTAATTTGTTATGTATATAGTTGATGGTGTTGAATTTTATGTGTTAGAGAAGATGCATGTGCACAACAACAATTGTTGCGCGCCACAGAACTAGGGGTTTAAACAAAGAATTTATCGAGACCGGACACCCCTCTTTGCGAGGGGTCGTATACGTGGACCAGGCCGAGAATTTCCTAAACACGCCAAAGGTCAATGGTCGCGACCATTTTCACGCTCAAAGGCACCATTTTCACGCCCGAAAACACATATACAATAAAAACAAAAGAATGTGCACCATCTACAGCCCAATAGCAAAACATACACCGAGTCCCCAAAAAATCCGTCCACCCAAATGCGAGAAACAGCTGCGAACATGAAAATCTAAATCTCTCACAAAACCCTTCCACGGAAGGATGTCTCCTCCCCTGGAGGTAATAAAAACTATTAGTAAGCTTTTTTTCCAACACTGGAATGAATTGGGACTTAACCCAAAATTTCGGCTGACTCCTTCAACCTTGTTCAAGGAATGGACCCGTCTACTCTTGGAACATGATGTCAGAGACACGTGACCGTAGTAGGACGTCATACGTGCCAGATAACTTGTGTCGCCCCCCGTCTCTGTTCAGGGTAGGTCTGTGAGCTCTTATGTAGACTGCCTCCTTCACTCTTCTTGCAAAGAAGTCAGGTTCAGAATTGAGGATTTTGACCCCTTCTAAAGAACACCCCTTCAAGTGTCTCTGACGTCACATTACAAGACTAGACAGGTCCATTTCGTGAACAAGGTTGAAGGAGTCAGCCGAAAATTTGGGGTAAGTCCCAGTTCATTCCAGTGTTGGAAGAAAACCGTAAACTTGTACCAACACAGATGAACTTTCATGCCATGATCCCAAACCAGTTTAGCTACTGGTTTTGGTTTTTTTAGTTGTGACATTGAATACAGACCCTATGAACAGTGTGTACAGGTTCATTGTACTAGGGAAATTCCTCTTTTTGACGAGCTCAACTTATACTGGCTGAATGTCCTGTCCAAAAGACTGTAACCCTTTTCAGTGTGAATGTCAGTTGAGTGACAACAGATGGGATTTGAACTCCAAAGGAATTGGGTTTGTTAACGACTTGAGTATGAACATTACAACAATTTGAGTGCAGACTCCGAACTCCTCTATCCACCATCTTTTGCATATGTTATATACATTTTTGTACTTCTGCAAACTACGTCAGGTATCCATATCACACCTGGGTGGAGTGAGGAAAATTCAGGAACACGAGGTCTTGCCAGGAATGCCTGTAGTTGGACCTGCAACCTCTCAAACAAATGGTTTCTGCTAGCCTAACCATTCAGTCATTCAACATTTGCTGACAAATGTTGAATGACTGAATGGTTAGGCCATGTTGATTGGATTATAATATATATAGATGACATCCGCGCGCGCATGAATTTTCGGCCGTTTCCAAAAAAAAAAAGGTTTCAACCATACAGTAACTGTAAATCGTACAAAACAGTTGCAAAATGAGAAAATGTATACCATAAGTAGAAACAAAAAACACCGGAAAACGATACCAATGTCAAAATCAAACAAAAAAGACGAATATGTAAAGAAATGAATTTGAAGACTAGATTACAAACCATACTCTGTGTCATTTGTTCAACCTTCAAAATCGCGTAGATTTCATAATGCAAGCAACTTTTTTTTGGCCAAACTTTTTTTTTATTTGCACGCTCACATCAGTTTTAGGGTTCCCAGAGGATGTCTTCTTCTTCTTTCATTTGAGGCAGCCGCCTTCAACTAGCTGAAGATTCTGTGGCTAGTACAAGATGAGGTTCGCCAGGCCTCCATCCGGGTGATTTGTAGTTATTAATAACCAACTTCCAGACAGTATTTAGTTTTTGTACCATCGCACACCGGGGCATGCCCCTACTCTTTTTCGAAAGATGTGGTGGTTTTTTTTACGTGCGCGGGGTATGGCTCTCCCCAAACAAGGGACCTCCATTTAACGTCCTATCCGAGGGACGTCCCTAACCGAGGCTAGGTACTCATTGACATGTATACCTGAGTGAAGTGAGGAAAGTCGTGTAAAGTGCCTTTCCCAAGGGCACAAGATCGGTGACGTGTAGGGATCGAACCCAGGACCTCTAGGTCCTGAGCCGAAAGCGCTACCTCTGCGGCACATGATCCCACAGATGTCATCCATATAATCAAATCAACATAATGTACATTGTATTGCACATGAAATGAGCTGATGACTGACTGAGAAGGACAGTTGGACAGCATCTCTCCAGGTCCTGCTCAGACTGGAGGCCCCGGCTGTGAACTCCCAGGGTCGACTGGTCTCCACTGGGACGGGGTAACCCTGGAACGGGTCGTCTGACGTGTGGGCATACAGCTACACGAGGAGGGAAAAAATAAGAAAACTTAGTTCTGTGAATAGTTTCATCAGGTTGGTAAGACAGTGAGTAAAGAGACTCTTTTTACACAACCATGTGAACCATTCAGAATTGAGAAAGGTGACAGACGGTCACTGAAAAGTCGGCTGAATAAAAGACTTGGTTGTGTAAAAAGAGTCTCTTTACTCAAGAAAACTTAGTGTGAGGAAGAAACAGGGCTCGAAATTTGTTTGGTTATTTTATCGCTGTACAAGTTGTAGCTAACAGGCATCATCCTACACTAAGAACAACAAATAGAATCAAGTACAGACTCATTCAATGCTGTAATTAAAAGGATATTGACGAATTTCAAAACACAACAAAATTAAACTTTAAACGATTAAATGTTTAAGTAGAAAAAATTAGGGTAACATTTGCAAAGCAAATGCATATTATTAATGTTTACCTTCGCATATGCAATAAAATGTATGTTGACGGGAGTATAAATCCCTCCTGCTATAAAATTGCAACATGTGTAACCCAACACTAGTAAACATGGTAACAGACACAACATTGGTCCAGGTTATTGAGGTCACTGTTTGGAGAAGAAGAAGAAACTTAGCAAATACAATATGTTTTCCTTTGGTAAACATAATAACTAAAACCACATTAAATTTTGTCATACCTGTATGTCAAAGTGTTGAGTTCTGGAGGCGCCCCTGATGTCCAGTCCATGGACATTATACACCTGAAGGTTGGTGATGACCACTGGTGTGGGGATGTTCTGGAACAGGGTGGACATCGGCAACATCTCCAACTCCGAAACAGCAAACAGGTCTGCCAATGACATAGCATTACTGAGTGAAGAGACTCTTTTACACAACCAAGTCTTTTATTCAGCCGATGTTTCGGTGACCGTCTGTCACCTTCCTCAGGGCAATTCTGACTGGTTCACATTGCACTGCAGCACAGGTGTCACTGCTACAGATGCATTCCCAAATGTACAATATTTAGTAATACATACATGTATCTACTGTAGATATGCGTGATTGGATTACAGGGAAATGTAATAATAAAAACTATCCACAATGCATTTCCAGTCAGAATTGCCCTGAGGAAGGTGACAGACGGTCACCGAAACGTCGGCTGAATAAAAGACTTGGTTGTGTAAAAAGAGTCTCTTCACTCAGTGTCTTACCAACCGGATGAAACTATTCACAGACATAGCATTACTGTTCACCTATGTTCAACTTGGTAGAAATCATTCTAAAAGCAATGGTGATGAAGGTTAGACATCCAGGCAGAACTTAACATAACACAATAATAATTTTAGATTCAAGAAGTATGCATTATCCAGTTTCTTGATTAATTTTGGATTGAAAGGTCAACAATTTGGGTCCAATTTTTGTGTTTGAAATTACAACTTAAGGCCACACCAATTTAATTTCTTTGTTCTTGGATTTTTCACAAACAATATGAAGCGACAGGGCGAAAAAAAAATAAAAACAGGTCTAGGCATCCTATTATAGCCCCAAATGCAACAATAGGAGCCATAAAGTCAACACAAAAGGCTGAGTTAATATTTAAACAATGAATTTGAACTTTTAATCAAACCAACACATTCATATATAGATGGAAAACTGTAACAACTAAGAAGAAAAGGACTTTCCTCAACGGTTGGGGGCAAAATATAAGCATTTTTGACCTGATTCAGTACCAAAATCTTTTTTTTCTTTGGAAATCAGAAAAAATGAACAGGCAAATCTGAGAACCAACAAATTAAATTGGTGTGGCCTAAACTTGCTTTAAAAACATCAATAAAACATTTAAAGGAGAAGTTCATCAGCTCACCCCCGCTGCAGACCAGGGTGATGGGTGCAGCCCTGACGTTGTTGTCTTCCACCAGTTCAGGGATGCTGTTCTCCACATCCACCACAGCGATGACGTAAGCAGAACCACAGAACCTCGGGCTCACACCCCGGGGGATTATCTGTGCAACAGCCAGTGGATTTTATAGTAAAACGTTAAACTTTATTCCAACACACTATTTACAGGGATCAAATTTTCAGCGACCACTGTCACCTTCATCAGGATAATGAATGACCAATCACTTCACAACGTGATCTCACGAGAGTTACGGTTTACAGACACGTGACCTTATTCACACGAGACTTTACTGATACGTGACGTGTTGGAATAAAGTTTAACGTTTTACTATGATTACTACCAACACAGATGAACTATCATGATAGCCAGTGGATTTGTTTGTTTGTTTGTTTTCACGTAACCGGTAAGCTGCCTTTTTAGTTACTTAGTTTTTGAACAATCTTATTCACAGAAAAATATTTTTTAGCAACAGGACATTGTATTATGTTCTACCTTGGTTCTACGTTATATGATGTTAAGGTTACAATTATCATGATATTGTTTCTCTTATCTTGATAGTATGATGTTATGTATCATCTATGTTTTTTTAAGTTACTTTGATTTTGTATCAATTTGTAATCTGCATAACTTTATTAGATACCTTTGTTAATCTTGAGTTCATTTTGTTAATACAAGGCTTTGTTTGGGGTTTTCCCCCCAGGAACCAGTGAAAAACGCCATCAGGCAATATGTATTTCCTGGATAAATGAATACAACAAAACAAAACAAACAAACAAACAAAACATGGGGCAACAATTTACATCTGACTACATTCACTCTGGAACTCTGTACAGACACTGCTTTCATGGTGAAAATTTAAATAATAAGCATTTTTTATTCAAATCAAAGAATGAAGAAAATCTTACAAGAGAGTTCTCTTCAGTGCTGAAGTCCATCAGCTGTGACTGGTACACAGAGTCATGGTTCAGCAGGAACAGCTGCTGATCACTGTTGTAGGGCAGCTCGTAGTCCGTGCTGTCCAGCTGGTCATCCTCCGACAGGTACAGCAGGAGGCTGAACACAGGCCGGCTGTCCAGGACCTTCTCCTCAAGGTCAACCTGAGGGTCAAATTACCTGTCAGTTCTAAAGAAGAATTAGAATACTGACCTTTGAACTGCTTTTAAGGCAAAATCTATGTCTCTACATTCATAGGTTGAGCAATAATATCAATAGGACCAAGTTAACTTCTACAAAAAGGTCTTGATTTTTAATGCTAATTTAAAGTTCGACTGATTCAAAAGACTTTGCAGCTTGATTTCAACATTTGAATGTATGACATTCATGGCCATGGCCTCAGCTTTTCAGTTCAATTCAGCTAAGCTAGTAAACGTAAGAGGTTCTAAGATCATGGCCACCTTGTTCATAAATTAAAATCTCGGGGCAAAGGCTTAGGCCACAGCAAGCAATTTTTATGGATGACAAATTTTGTTGCCTTCTGACAGTGGTCAACATGCCGAAAATGGGCAAAGATGTCTGTTGCCATGCCGGAAGGTGGATGGCAGATAACTATGAAGAGAGGAGACAAGAAAAGGCTCTGATTTAATGTTTTGTTTCTTACTTTGATGCAGTGATATGTGATGCTGGCTGTGTATATGTGATGTTCCCACTGAATCAAAACCATTTGTACAATGATTGAGTCAAAATTCTAAAATGTGCAGGAACCTTGTTTTTTCGGCCCGCCTTGTTTTGTTTTCGCCCGCTCGCATTAGATTTGGAGTCTGCGGAGGATGTCATCCATAAAATTTACTTGCTGTGGCCTAAGTTCTAATCTCTGACCTGTACAGTCAGGCTGAAGCCAGCTGCCACACCAGGCTCAACCTTCCCTCTGTCATTAAAGCTGAAAGACTCCACTGACAGTTCAGCTGTTTCTGTGATAGGAAAGGAGACAAAAAATGTCATCAGCTACAAAAAGGAATTAAGATGAGGGGGGAGACAATCTTAGTCACGTATTGGGACTGCTTTCTTTCTGCTGCAGCATCACCTAGCAGTACATGATGGAAGTACAAATTGAATGTAGATCCAGCCTGAGGATGGTAGCATAACTGAAAACATTGGTCAGTTAATCACTTCAGTTGAATGTATAATATTGTATTGCAGAAATTCTAAGAAGCAAGATTACATCCTCTTTTATATTTCACTGACTTAGAGAAAAGTATTAGTCAAAGGATTGCTTTATCTTTTTTAGGCAATCCGAGGTGCGGACGGGCTGGTACCTCGGGCGATACGGAATACACCGTGTTGTATTTTATTTATGTCATACCCACCCACGAAAACACACCTTTCAATGCAAAATGAGCAAAAATTTGGTGTCCCTAAACCCCAAAAATGCAACAACATCAATTGCGACGTCCGAATTTTGTATTCGAATTTTCAAAAGCGGTGCACACGGTTAGGGAGAAACGCGTCCGAATCATTCTATGGAACATTTGGAAGCCCCGGGGCGTACGCGTTAAGAACCCCCGGGCCGTACCGCTAGTTATCACACGGGCCGGAACACCCGTACCGAACATAATCGCGGCCCAGGTATGACATAATACATGGTATATTCCATATTGCCCGAGGTACCAGCCTGATCCGCAGGAGGGCTGGGACCAAGGGTGATGTGGAATACACAATGTTGTATTTTTTTTTATATAATACCCACCCCAGAAAACAGAGTCATTTCAATGCAAAATGTGTCAAACGTTGGTGTATCTAACCAAAAAGTGTAACAGTGTCAATTCCAACATCCGAATTAGGTGTTTGAAGTTTTGAAAGCGGCGCACTCGGTGCGCATGAAACCTGTTCGAATCATTCTAAGGAACATTTGGAAGCCTGAGTGTGCGATAACAAAATAAAACCCGGGCCATACCCCTAGTTATCACACGGGCCGGAACACCTGTACCGAACATTATCGCAGCCCAGGTATGACATAACATAAGTTACCTGGTGAGCAGTAGAGGATGTCCTGAACATCAATGGCTCTGTAGTCATTCCCAGGAACTTTGTCATCATAGAAGTCCAGTGATGCGTAGTGAAGAGCTAAGATCAGGAACCTGGAATCAGATACGTAACTGTACATTAGCTGTATGCTTTAAAATAAGCAAAAGACTGCATAGTGGAACATGTGTTACTGAAAAGATCCTCCATAACAGCATGGTTGTAGACTTTGAATGGGCATTTACAAGTTTGTTCCTTGTTACTCTGCTTGTGAGAAAGGTTCAGTACCACCCCAAAAAAATTAATGACATAACAGCTACAGAGACAAACGGAGACAGATAGTCTGGAATTGAACAAGAACAGGGGTGCCAGAGTATACAGTGCAATTTTACGGAATAAAGTGCAATCGTAATAGTATACAGTACAACTTTACGGAATATAGTGCAATCGTATTAGTATACAGTGCAATTTTACGGAATACAGTGCAATCGTAATAGTATACAGTACAACTTTACGGAATATAGTGCAATCGTATTAGAATACAGTGCAATTTTACTAGTATACAGTGCAATTTTACGGAATACAATGTACAGTGTAATTTTACTAATGACGTTGAATCACGTGACTTGGACCCAGCTTTCCCTTGAGTTTCAAGATGGCGGACGCCGCTGACTCACATATTTCTGTTTTTTGAGCGAATTCGAAATGATCCCTGTGTAGTAATATGCCCTGTGTGTCGTATGTAGTGATTTGACTATAGGTCTATCTACGAGAACGGTCCAAATTCACTCGAAAAACACAGAAATATGTGAGTACGCTCCGTCAGCGGCGTCCCTGGAAAGCCGGGCCCAGGTTACTTCATAACAACGTCATTAGTAAAATTGCACTGTATTCCGAAAAATTGCACTGTATACTCCCCTGGCACCCCTGAAGAAATCCAGAATTAAACTGGAGGCTGTTACACATGTTTGTACCTGGGTTTTTCATCACAAGCTCTAGGGTCTGCTCTCAGGACAGCGTTCATGTTTGTCAGCTTCAGATCCCCCCCCACAGGGATGGTCTGTCCCAGCTGGTCCTTCCCTTCCTCCGACAGACTGATGTACGTCTCCAGACCCGCCCAGTCATCGTAGTCCAGGTAACGGTCACGGGACAGGTACACCTGGAAATACACAAAAAAAGGGTTATGTTTAAAGTTAAAACTATTGATCCAACACCAAAAATTCTCTCACCTAGAGCTTTCGACCAGTCACTCTAGTCTTCCTCAGTAGACTGACCCAGTGAAGCTTGTCACATGGCTTCTTTGAAGTGTGACGTCAACACTGGGTCAAAGGTATCTGGTAGACGATGTCGACCCCCGTCGCCGTCATCTGGATCAGTCTACTGACAGAGGAAGACCAGAGTGACTGATCGAAAGCTCTAGGTGAGAGAATTTTTGGTGTTGGATCAAAAGTTTTAACTTTAAACATGTAACTACCAACACAGATGAACTTTCATGATAATAAAATGGTTATTTAAGTTTGTCTGTTTGTGGTTGGTGTCCAGCACCGAGGACACATGTTTGTCTGTGTGTGGATGGCATGTTCACCCTTGTATGGATGGAGTTCAGCACCAAGGACAGGTATGTGTACCAGTGTATGGATGGTGTTCAACATAGAAGACAGATTATGTATATGAGTGTATGAATGGTGTTCAGTGCAAAGGATAAGTACATTTGTGTACGGTGTTCAGCACCAAGAACATGTACATGTATGTTTGCCTATGGGTGGATGGCATTCAGCACCAAAGACAGGTATGTTTGTGTGTGTGTGTATGTGTGTGTGTGTGTGTGTGTGTGTGGATGGTGTTCAGCACCAAGGACAGGCATGTTTGTATGTACAGATAGCATTCAGCCCCAAGGACAGGCATGTTTGCATGTGTTGATAGCGTTCAGCACCAAGGACAGGCATGTTTGCATGTGTGCTAATGGTTTTTAGAACCAAGGACAGGCATGTTTGCATGTGTTGATAGCGTTCAGCCCCAAGGACAGGCATGTTTGCATGTGTTGATGGCATTCAGCCCCAAGGACAGGCATGTTTGCATGTGTGCTAATGGTTTTTAGAACCAAGGACAGGCATGTTTGCATGTGTTGATGGCATTCAGCCCCAAGGACAGGCATGTTTGCATGTGTGCTAATGGTTTTTAGAACCAAGGACAGGCATGTTTGCATGTGTTGATGGCATTCAGCACCAAGGACAGGCATGTTTGCATGTGTATTAATGGTTTTCAGCACCAAGGACAGGCTTGTTTCTCTGTAGGGTGATGTGTTCAGCACCAAGGGCAGGTGTGTACATATGTATGGATGGTCTTCAGCACCAAGGACAGGTATGTTTCTCTGTAGGTTGATGTGTTCAGCACCATGGACAGGTGTTTGCCTGTGTGTGGTTGGTGTTCGGGGTTATTTCTAAAGCAGAGGATATATAGCAAACTCTTTGTTTCGAAGGATAACTACGTATTAACTTTGACTGGCCAGTATCAAGCAGGGCACGAAATACTGGGTACATGTGCACCTTAGTGCACCCAAATTTGGAGCTGTGCACCTAATTTTTTTCTGTGGGTGCACCCAAATATTTTTGTAGGAATTTTTAACATTAGAAGTGTATAATAGAGTACCGGATATTCTTGGTCTCTAAGTATCAGAGAGATAATAAAATCTTTGTTGTAGTAATGTTTCAGATTTTGAAGTTAGCTCTCATTTTAGATTCAAGCTCAGAAGAGGAGCAGTAAGAAGTACTATTTTGAAGTACCTGTAGGTAGAAGTTCCTTGTCCCATTCCTACTGATGACAGGTTGGCTGCCGTAGTTGGTGATGGTAGTGTTGATCCTGACCGGGGTATCCACACCTGCCCAGATGTGCTCCTGTGGCAGCACTATGCCCAGCTCAAATGCATCAACAGCTAGAATGTCTGTAGGATGCACAGGAATAAAGTCACGTTACAAGGAGTGTATTTTCATGTAACTGTATTACATGGCAGCTTTGATAGCACAAAATTGTATTAGACATATGGCACACAAAGAACATGAAAAACACAAAAATGGGGTTGCTCTAAAAACGTTTGTTTTTAAATGCAAACACTGTATTGTCAGTCCAGTCTTGGACTTATACAGATCTTCTATTTATGTAGTACTACATACTATGAAAAATGCTAAGATCAGGATAGAAAACAATGTATCCTTACTTTACTATTTATTTTTGCATTACTGTATAGCTTTTTGGTTTGATTTGTAATCCGTGACCCCACCCTCACCCACAACCTTGTGGAAAAGCGGTCATACATGTATGTATGTACCAAACAAGCTTTCGAGTTTAAATAAAGGCTTACTACTACTACTACTACTACTACTACTACTACTTACCGCCTGGACATTGTAGGTTAATGAGAATGGCCCTGACGTTATTGGCTGGCTCTGGGTCGACAGGATCGTGGGCATTTCTGTTGTCCGACAACACCACGCCCAGGTAAGCCTCTCCACAGTACTGCTCGTAGTGGCTGAGCTCATGGTCTATCACCAGGTCGTTGGCCCCCAGCTGGTAGAAAGAACTACTGTTTGTCTCAGAGAACAGAAGGGCCAAGACATCCTTCTTGAAGCTGTAGGCAAGCCATAGGTCTTCCGCAGGGTCTGGAGAACAAAAATTGAACAGGCAACACTTTAATTCCGGATTGACACTCTAATTACGCACTACCTTCAGTATTTGTGGCTAAGTTTAAGAAGGAACTTGATACTCTAGAATATGACATAGTACATGTTTACAACTACGTACTACTAGGTAACATTGGTTGGTCCCATAGGACTAGGTCAATTCACAGAATTGAACTGCATTTGGGTGCAGAATTCTGCAGAATCCTGCAATCCAAATGCAGAATTCTGCAACCTATTACAGAATTCTGCAACCTATTACAGAATTCTGCAACAAGATGCAAAATATGAAGCAATTTGCATTGCTTAAGGATAAAAGTTTGTCTCTTCTTTTGTACTGCTAAGTCCTATAAGATTGGTTAGAAGTTGCAAACTGCACAATTCAACATTTGTCTTCTTCAATGGACTGACCCAGTCTTGTCACATGGAGCTTCTCTGAAGTGTGATGTCAACATGTGACAAGTCTCGCTGGGTCAGTCTATTGAAGAAGACCAGAGTAACTGGTCAAAAGCTCTAGTTGAGAACAATTCTTTGCATTGGAATAGAATTTTTTTAAACATTTAAGTGCAGTTTTTAGGGCTTGGAAAGTTTTTAAAGTCAATATTCTAGTCACTTCTCTACATATTGCGTTAGAGCAACACTATCCCAATGTGAACTGACATTCATGGGGCAAAAATACCCAAATCCCTGGCAGAAAATAGTTACAGGAAGGGCCCTTGGCTGATTTTTAGGGTACCACCAATAAAATAAAGGTCTCGTCTTGTGGCTTGTTTCTGCAGTTTAAAGAACAGCCTTCTCACAAAAATTTAGAGTAGGTGGCTGAAATAAGAAAGCAGCAGGCGAGCCATGAAGGGGCTTGTATTGGAGACTACAATTTTTCTAAAATTTACACAAAAGTAGGTGGCGTAAAATTTGAGTAGGCGGTGATTTTCGCCTGTTGCCGGCTTGTTTTGAGAAGGCTGCTTAAAGAATCTCTAATCATCTGATGATATTTCTTGTATCCCCAGCCAGGTTAACTCACCGATGTTGCTGTCGTGTGACAGGTAGAACCTGTAGTCCCAGCTGGTTCTCTCCGGGTACTGCCGACCCACACGAGGGATGGCGGCACTGCCTGAGCTGCTGATCCTCACCTCCAGGGAGAACGTCTTCGCAACCCCAGACTGGAGCACGTTGTCTTCCACCAGCCGGAAGTCAGACACTTCCAGATCTACATAATCTATTAGACAATAAATTTAAACCTATTAGACAATAAATAAATAAATAAAGACAATAAATCTATTAGACATAATCTAGACAGCACGTCGGCAGAACGTACTGCGCCTGCGCAGAACCCCGTATTTCTGCGTTTTTCGTTGGGTTTTTGGTCAACGCTGCATCAGAATTTTGCCTGTTGCAGAGGATATTCTTTCCGACATAACATTTGGAAATGCTAACCTTATATGAGCGAACACAGCCTTATATGAGACATTCTGCCGAAATGCAATGTACAATACATGTACATTACGGGTTTCGCGCAGGTGCAGTACGTTCTGCCGACGTGCTAATCTAGACAATAAATGATGTTTAAAGTTAAAACTTTTGGTCCAACACAAAAAATTCTCTCACCTACACTGTAGAGCTTTCAACCAGTCACTCTGGTCTTCCAGAGTGAATTTTTTGTCTTGGACCAAAAGTTTTAACTTTAAACATGTAACAACCAACACAGATGAACTTTCATCATAGAACAATAAATGATATTGCAAAGTGATTACTAAAATACATGATACCATATATATTTGATTGTAAGTTTACAACGGCTACAATTTTTGTGTTCAGATAAATTTCTGTAGTCACTGTGTTATTTATGTCTTTTAACTTCTTCAGATTTTGAAGACTGCACTATTTAGAGCCATTCTGTGAGTGTATTGCATGCTTATATATTCTGGAGTTACTGTTTTCTGATTATCCAAACTTTTGATTACTTTAAGTTCATGGCTCTTGCTTCTTCAGCACACTTTTTTTTTACTTTCAAAGAAAACAGTCAAGAACAAAGTCGGCTATTGTGACCTTCACAACAAGGTCATGACTTTCGGCCACCATCTCCATATTCAAGGCCAAATGCAAACACCACCTCTTATCCTGATTACCCAAACACCAATTGTAAATAAAAATCCTCCAACCGTTCCATTTCAACTTCGATCATTTTATTGATTTGTATTGTACTTATATTGTATTGCTTCTGTATTGATTGAAATTGTATGTACTTTGTATGTATATTGCTATTGTATAATATTGAATTGAATTTGTACGTACTAAGTAATATTATATTATTATTATATTTTGATATGCTTGTATTTATGCACTTGTGTGTCAGTGGTAGCCGCTACCAGCCTTGTTGCTGTCTGGTTGACACTTGTTATGCACTGTTGCATTTAAATAAACAAACAAACAAACATGGCTGACCTGAGTTACAGTAGACGTTGATGGGGATGCCAGCCTGGTCATTGGTCAGATCTGACCCTGCCAACAGGCTTGCTGACGGGCGGATGAGCACAAACAGATAGGGACGGGACCGAGGGTCACACAGAGAGGATGGAACGTGCACCAGACCTGGAAACAACACTCAAATATAAATCTCAGCATCCTGGCCTTAGGCCACACCAATTTATTTCTTGGTTTATGGATTCGCCCGCTTCATTTTTTTCTGATTTTCAAAAAAAAAAAAAATTCAGAATCAACTGCAAATAAATGCTCATATTTTGCCCTGAACAGTCCTTTTCTTCCTAGTTGTTAGTTATATTCAATGGTATCATTAAAAGTTCAAAATTCATTCAATGTTAAAATTTTGAACCAGCCTGGTGTGTTGACTTCATAGCTCCTATCGTACCACTTTGGGCCATAATAGGATGCCTAGGCCTGTTTTTGTATTTTTTTTTGGCCCGCCCACTCCATTTTTTCTCTAGAAAAAAAATTTGTTAACCAAGAAATTAAATTGGTGTGGCCTTACTTCCAAACTTGAGAAGTGGGGTCCCATTGATAGAATACTCCTGTTACACTTTGAGTTACTGTAATACTTTTCACTCCAAATGTTTTTTTTGTCATTTTTATAAGATTCTTTATTGACACAACAAAAAGTACAGGGACTTTTGTATGGTCTTCTACAACTCAAGATCTAACAAAGCTAAATACATGTGTGGATAACGTTATCTTACGTACAGAGTATATGTACATGTATGCGGTAACCATAAAGGTTTAGCTATTCTCTAACACGTGGTCTCTAAGATCGAAACATTCTTTAATGTAGTTTCCTATTTGAACACTGTATTGGTTATCTCCCCTGAGAATGTTGATTTTATCTATAGAATCTAATGTATACATGGTTGCCCACTCACTGATAACAATGCTTTTCAGTGGAGCCCTGTATAATAAATATCTGATCAACTATCTCTTAACAGGGTGGCATAAAACTATTAAGGTGCACCTTTATAATAAAAATAAATACACATACAAACAGATCAGGAAAATACATTGTTCAGACAACAGCAGTTACCAAATTATACATGTGTACTATTAGGAAATTTCGATTACCAATTCTGTGTATTCTTATACTTGTTGTTATTGACTATATGAATTTTGATGTTGGATAATATAATATGATTGTGTTTTTGTATGGGGGAGGGCAAGTTGTAAAGGTGTGTATGCACTTGTTGTTTGGCCCTCCCTTTCACTTTGTGAAAAATCAAAATAAACAAATAAACAAAGGAGGAAACATACCTCTGAGTAGCCCAGTTTGGTACGCTCTTCCGTTCTCCAGTACTTGTGCCTGGTGGCTGCCGGTAGTGTAGTCCTGTACGGTGAGCTGGGTGTCGCGTGCTGTGTCCAGCGTCGTGTCATTAGACAAGTACAGCACCAGGTTAAAGTCGTCCTCTGAAAAATGACATCCTTGGTGAGTCAAGCACAAGACTTAAGCCTCAGTCACAACTCGCCGTACATGCTTTTTTTCCGTATGTTTTTTTGGAGGCCACGTCTGCTACGTTTTTGGAGTGGCGTCTACCTACGTCACTCGCACGGTTGCGCAAGGTGTAAGAGTGGGGTCTGCACGCCACGTCTGGCCGTGAGCGGTTGCGTGCAACGTTCGTTGTGCAAGAGTTAGTGATAAGTGAGTTGTACGTGCTTACAACGTACAATCTCTGTGCGATTGCAACTTTACCGTAAGGAGGCCGTACTCACACGTGCTTCTTATGTACGGTACGTATGGGGCACGCGCGTCGCCCGTACTCGCACGTACGGGTGGTGAATCCGCAGACCGCACGCAGAAAAAGTTACATGCACTTAAAGTTCTACGGCGTGTCTGCGTGCTCCCACATCCGTTGGATTCCGTACGGAGGTGGTACTCATCGGTTACGGATCCCCTACGTTTGCCCACGTTTTTGCACGTGGATAGCACGCAGGAGCACGTGCGGCGGGTTGTGACCGAGGCTTTACACACAAGTCATGCAGTTCTCACTTCCATTTTGAGACACTGTGACAGTGACAGTTGTCATGAAAATTAACCCAACATAATTTACCAATAACAAATTAAGCGTAAATTCTACTAAAAGGCTGACTGATTTTTTAAACACTTTGGACATCAGATAATGAAAAACTGTACTCACAACTTTGGCTTCATTTTAAAAAATTCCACCCACTAGCTTATCCTATTATGATTCATAAACTTGATTGGTGAAATTGTCCAAAGCAGGGTTAAACCATGCAGTAGATTGTGATTTTCTACCTCCATGGTTAAACTAAGCAACCTAAGGCCACACCAATTCAATTTGTTGTTTCTCAGATTTTTTCAGTACAAATATGAAGCGACAGGGCGAAAAAATAAAAACAGGCCAAGGCACCCCGTGATAGCCGGAAATGTTAAAATATGAGCCATCAAGTGAACATAACAGGCTGGTTTATAATCAAAACATTAGACTTTGAACTTTTAATGAAACAAAATTGCATTGTTACATTGAAAAACCTTTAACAACTAGGAAGAAAAGGCCCAAAATATGCCTCTTAATGAGCATTTTGCAGTTGATTTAGAACAAAAAAAATTTTTTTTTTTTTTTTGCAAATCAGAAAAAAAATGGACAGGGCAAATCTGAGAAACATCAATTTGAAATTAAATTGGTGCGGCCTAATGTACATGTATTACAGCACCTGACAATGGTGGAGTTTCCTGGTCACTGTAGCTTCCCATGTCCGCTACTGTAGCAATGAAGTGGACCTCATTGTTGGAGTTATCCCTGAAACGTTCGGGTAAGTATACGACGTCCAACTTGTCCAAGTACAGACGGTCAACTGCAAAACCAGATGAGTTCAAATACATTGCATTACAAAGTACTATCAGGCAGTTTCACATACATGTAGTAAACATAAAATGCAGCCTCATGATTATAATTCTAAAAGGTGTATGATTATTATTTTACCTCTCCTTGAAGAATATTATCATGCGGTGACTTTATAAAACTATCGATGAGATTCAGAAGTGTAAAATGTAACAGGGAAGGAATTTAAAAACTTTTAAAAACTTTAACAGATGGAAGAAAAACTAGCTGATATATCAAATTTTCCTGCATTCAGAATAGTTGCTGCCGTAAGGAAATTTGTTAATCTAAAATTTGAAATATCATAACCACACCAATTTGATTTGCTGGTTCTCGAATTCGCCTCTTCATTTTTACTGATTTGCAATAAAAAAAAGCCCCCAATTTTGCCCCCAACTGTCCTTTTCTTCCTACTTGTTACAGTTTTTCCATCTATCAATGCAGTGGTTTGATTAAAAGTTCAAAATTCATTGTTAAAATATTAACCCAGCCTTTTGTGCTGACTTCATGGCTCCTATCATTGCATTTGGGGCTATAAAAGGATGCCTAGACTTCTTTCATTTTTTTCGCTCTGTCACTTCATATTTTTTCTGAAACAATCCGAGAACCAACAAATTAAATTGGTGTGGCCTTAGGTAGTTTCATGTAGTAAATGTAAAACGCAGCCTCCAAGTTACTAGTATCATTATAATAATTATTATTCTAAATGGTTTATGATTATTTTAACTCTCCTTGAAGAATATCATCATGGTGACTTAATAAAACTATCAGAAGTGTCAATGCAACAGGGAAGGAATTTCAAAACTTTTAAAAAATTAAACAGAAGAAAAACTAGCTGATATTAAATTTTTCTGTATTCAGTATCGTTGTTGCCGTAAGGAAGTTTCTTAAATATCATAAGGTACACCAATAAAGGACATCTACATTTAAATAAAGTGTCAATGTATCAAAGAGTCAGTCCAGCATTTCACTTACATCTACAGGCAACATAGATGTGCTGCACGGCTGCATTGTTGTCCTTATACTGGTCCTTCACTCCTGTTGGGTCTACAGCCTCTGTCAACTGAACATATGCACCTATGTACCTGTGGGTGGACAAGAACAAATACCATCCCAACTGAGCATGTCGGCAGAACGTACTGCGCCTGCGCAAAACCCTCATTTTTCACGATTTTCCTTGGATTTTTGGTTAACGTTGCATCAGAATTTGGCCTGTTGCAGAAGATATCTTTTCCGACATAACATTTGGAAACTACAGACAGGACGTTAACCTTATATGCCCGAATATGACCTTATATGAGACGTTCTGCCAAAGTGCTATGTACAATACATTACGGGTTTCGCGCAGGTGCAATACGTTCTGCCGACGTGCTTCCCAACTGTGTCCACATTTTGCAGATAAGAAAAGGCTCTCCTCGTAACATCACAAATCAAAACATTACAGAAAAAGATGAATTATTAGTCCAATCCAAGGAGTTCCAATCTCTGGGTTCAATGTCAGCATAGTCACATTGTCACTGTCTTCATTCATTGCATTTATTTTGTTATTTGCAATAGGCCTTCAGGCAATGAACTTATAAAAGGTATGTTCTTTATTGGCGTGATCAGGCTGATAGCTTGGGCGATACAGAATACAGACTCTGAGTGTAGTATTCCGTGAATAGTTTCATCAGAGGTTGGTAAGACACTGAGTAAAGAGACTCTTTTTACACAACCAAGTCTTTTCTTCAGTTGACGTTTCGGTGACCGTCTGTCACCTTTCTCAGACATGCAAATATTGACAAATGTACATTTGGGAATGCATCTATAGCAGCGACACCTGTGCTGCAATGCAATGTTGACCGGTCAGAATTTTCCTGAGGAAGGTGACAGACAGACACCAAAACGTCATCTGAATAAAAGACTTGGTTGGGTAAAAAGAGTCTCTTCACACAGTGTAGTATTCTATATGTCTATATGACAGAGAGGATATGTAATGTATTAAACTTATCATCATGAAAAATAAATGACTAGAGAAGTAACATTTGCAAAGCAAATGCATAATGTTTACCTTCGGACATGGTCTGCCCTGTTGATTCTTACTCAAACACATTCACATACATGTACTACTAGTATATGGTGACAGGAGCAGAGCAGACCATGAAATTGCAACATTATGTAACCCTACACCAGTCACCATGGTGACAGACGTCAACAAATTATGCCATTGGTTAGGTCATAGGACACTGTTTGGAGAAGAAGAGGAGGAAGAAACTGAGCAAAAACAATATGTTTTCCTTCAGTAAACATAAATAGGAAGTTTCTATACTGACCAGTGTTTGTTGCAGACCCATTGTTTGGATGGTACAGACAGGTGAGGTCCTACACCGTCCATGTCTGTGAATACGTGAGTCAGGACTGTCGCTCGACCTCTGGAAGAGGAGACTGCCGAGTGGAGCGAACTGAAGCCAGAGGTATCGTAGTCAAGAATAAAATCTGAAACAAGAAAACATAGAGACACTGAAATGTAAATAAATGTAACATTTTTTATGCTGTTAATGGAAAATTGAGGTGGTTTCTAGCAGTAGCCTCAGAACTGAGAGGTCCCAGGTTTGATAACCTGACACACCTGATATTGTGCCATTTTGGGAAAGGCACTTGGGCCAAGGAAAAAAGTATGTGTTTCCTGTTTGCCAACAGACCCTAAAAAAATCTGCCAACCACAACCTTTTATGGGGGGTGAACCCCTGCAAGGGACATAAATTCAACCTTTTCTAGCTCCAGGATCTTGCATCTGAGTGATAAAACATTCTACAATTGGTTTTCTAACATTGACATTGAAAATAAAAGTGTCCTCATGCAAGTTTTACTTTGTTAAACTGTATTGTATAAGTTGAGGAACTTGGACCCCTTTATAGATATCACAGGGCAGTCTAAAAAAAAAAAAAATGAAAAAAAAAATGATACCTTCCGACCCTAATTTTTTCAGGAGTAAAACAGGAAACTCTTCTTTCCTAGGCCTTTAAGGACCATGATTTTTTTTTGTCTACTCTGACCTCCTTCTTTAAGTCCCTTGAGTGTATTGAGTTTTATCCTACCTTCCTTAGTGGTGCATACCTAAACCCACATTTAGGTTCAGGTCCGGATTCAAGTCCAGAGGTTTAGGTTCAGTTCCGGACTTGTAAGTCCAGACCTAAACCCATGGCATATACAAAATTGCATGTTGACAACCTTGCAATGTTGTCTGGGTGAAACTTTGGCCACATAACATGGAGGCCGGTACTTGACGATGCCTGATGGCAATGTTTTCTTCATTTTGCAGCAAAGATTTCGTAGATTTGCAATCTACGGAAGGTTTTAGCTGGTTTGGAAAGAAAAGGAGTATGTGATATGGTCTTTTTCTTCATTTTGCAGCAAAGATTCCGTAGATTTGCAATCTACGGAAGGTTTTAGCTGGTTTGGAAAGAAAAGGAGTATGTGATATGGTCTTTTATGGTAATAAGTCCGGAATCAGTTCTTGACTTTTAGGTTTTTTTGGACTTGAACCTAAACATTCTTACAAGTCCGGATCCAAGTCCAGTGAACCAGTATGCATCACTAACCTTCCTTGGGATCAAATGTCCTGTCCTTAGACAAGAAGAAGGTGAGGTTGTAGTTCTGGTCAGGCAGTGAGGTGACCGGGAGGTTGTCCCTGTCGTACGAAGTGACCTCCACGGCCGTCCAGAGGGGCAGGGGCTCGCCCGAGATGACCACTCCGCTGTCGGTCACTCGCAGACCCTTCACGTTCAGGTCAATGTTTCCTGGAATTTTTGGACAACATCACAGATTACAGTCACATTGTTTTTAATTATTATTTGTTTCCCTGAGGCTTTGTTTATTTATGACCGTCACATAAACCATAAACTGCTGGATGAACACGCTCCAGCAAACTATACTTGACTGTGTCAAGGCTAGAACTGAACGCTATGAGAACAGCAGTGTCCCATATATGATATCGCTTTTAAATAATTGTATGATCACAATCATGTCATGAATTGTAGTGGTTATCTGTATGTAAAGTCTGTTAATATGTGAACGTTAAAGAAATGTTGTCTCTCCTGTAGCAATTTTATAAAGTCAATCAGTGTTTTTGATCTTAATGTGTAACCAAGTTTTAATGCCAGTAATTGTAATTAACTTTGATGATTTTTATTGTATACCAATGAATTTTAAACTAATTGTACAACTGTTACAGCAATTGTAATTCAGCCTGTGGCTGCAAATTCCTTGTTTTATCAATAAACCATTTGATTGATTGATTGATTGATTGATTGATTGATTGATTGATTGATTGATTGATTGATTGATTGATTGATTGATTGATTGATTGGTTGATTGATTGATTGATTGATTGGTTGATTGATTGATTGATTGATTGATAAATCATGACATACTCAAATTGGCCTGCTGGGACCTTTTCATTGGGGTCATGAGGGAACATTTCTGAATCAACAATTTCTTCTGAAAATATTCTCACTGGTAAGTTAAGAAACAGCCTTCAGCTACCAGTAAATATTAAACATGAGTGTGTAATACATACTCTGTCCCTGTTTTTTCTCGTTAAGGCCACACAAATTTAATTTGTTGGTTCTCGGATTTCTTTCAGCAAAAATATGAGGCGAAAAAAAATTAAAGCAGGTCTTGGCATCCTATTATAGCCCCAAATACTACGAAAGGAGCCATGAAGGCAACACAAAAGGCTGGGTTTAGTAATTATTTAAACAATGAATTTTGAACTTTTAATCAAACCATGTGCACTGCATTATACATTCACGTATTAGATATTAGATGGAAAAACTGTAACAACTAGGAACTCGAGTGTTGGGGGCAAAATATGAGCATTTTTCAGTTTATTCAGAACCAGAATCTTTTTTTTTACAAATAAAAAAAAATGGAGAGGTGAATCCGAGAACCAAGAAATTAAATTGGTGTGGCCTAATCATAAATTTTTAAGAAATTACCACACAAAACAGCAACAGCTGCTGTAGAATTGTGCATCAGTTCAACCACTTGATAGTATCACAAGCCACTTAAAAGCATACTATTAGGATGTAGTTTAAAACTGAGAAGAAAAAGAAAAACCACCAGACTACATACTGATACACCCTTGCATCCTGATCTTGGTGGTTGCAAAGTTGTTGTGTTCAGCAGTCTCATCAATCTGACCCATGACGATCCCTCGAGGATCAGCGTACCTGCTGTCCACGACAATGCCCAGGTAAACCTCACGGTTACAATACTTCAGAAACTGTTCCTGCGATGGAAAGAAAAGTTGGCTTGATAAGAGAATTTATGTCATACGTCGATGAAGGTTAGACATCCAGGTAATATGATACACCAAAAAGCAGTTACTCAAGCAATTGGATATGATTTTGGAAACGGTCAGACGTTTCAGCTAGTATCCACTAGCATCTCCTGCATATCCTGATATGCAAGTGAAGACAATTTTGCATATCAATCAATAGTTAGTGCTTATAAACCTGCATTTCTCCTCTGGTCTCTCAGTCACTGATGAAAGCTAGTGGATACTAGCTGAAATGTCCGTCTAGTGACCGTTTCCAAAATCATATCCAGTTGCTTGAGTAACTGCTTTTTGGTATAATTTATGTCATACCTGGGCCGCGATTACGTTCGATATGGGTGTTCCGGCCCGTGTGATACATTTGTAACTAGCAGTACGGCCCGGGGGCTCTTTATGCGTACAGCCCAGACTTCCACATGTTCCACGCCCACCGCTTTCGAAAATATCGGACATTGGAATTGATGTTGTTGCATTTTTTGGGGTTTAGGGACACCAAATTTTTGCTCACTTTGCATTAAAAGGCGTTTTCTTGGGTGAGTATTACATAAATAAAATACAACACGGTGTATTCCGCATCACCCTCGGTCCCAGCCCTCCCGCGGATCGGATCTCCCTCCGGCCTTCGGCGATCCGACGTGTGGTCGGGCTGATACCTCGGGCGATATGGAATACACAGTGTTGTATTCGTTTACACAATAAGAAAGGATGGGCTGATACAGGAACTACAGAATGATGTACAATGTATGAGGCAAGGGAATTGGATTAATGTCTGAGGTAATATAATGTGCATAGGGGACAGATGTGATGCTTGCCTCAAGACAACTTCTGAGAAGTATTTCATGACCTTCAAGCTCACACAGATTTCTGCATCTACCCTTTTGACCTCCTGTCATTCTGCCTGTCAATCTTCTCAACCGTGTTCTGTCATAGTATACTCTTGAGGTTACCACATTTCCTGTGTCTGACCTTTTGACTTCCTGTCATTCTGCCTGTCAATCTTCTTCTGACCATGTTCTGTCATCCTATTCTCAAGGTTACCACATTTCCTGTGTCTGATCTTTTGACTTCCTGTCATTCTGCCTGTCAATCTTCCCCCAACCGTGTTCTGTTTATCCTACTCTCCAGGTTACCACATTTCCTGTGTCTGACCTTCTGACCTGTCATTCTGCCTGTCAATCTTCCCCTGACCATGTTCTGTCATCCTACTCTCAAGGTTACCACATTTCCTGTGTCTGACCTTTTGACCTCCTGTCATTCTGCCTGTCAATCTTCCCCTGACCATGTTCTGTCATCCTACTGTTGAGGTTACCACATTTCCTGTGTCTGATCTTTTGACCTGTCATTCTGCCTGTCAATCTTCCCAACCGTGTTCTGTCATCCTTAGTATACTCTTGAGGTTACCACATTTCCTGTGTCTGATCTTTTGACCTGTCATTCTGCCTGTCAATCTTCCCAACCGTGTTCTGTCATCCTTAGTATATTCTTGAGGCTACCACATTTCCTGTCTCTGACCTTTTGACCTGTCATTCTGCCTGTCAATCTTCCTGACCTTGTTCTGTTTATCCTACTCTCGAGGTTACCACATTTCCCGTGTCTGCCCTTTTGACTTCCTGTCATTCTGCCTGTCAATCTTCACCCTCCATGTGCTGCCTATCAGCAAGCTCTTTCCCGACAAACATACGCACAAGCCCACAGGTCAGCCACCCAAAACAATACTTCCTTCCTGCTCCCACCTGTGTGATGTCCAGCTGCCCCTGTAGGGAGGTTGTAGTGCCGTCGGCCAGGTAACCGTGCTGCAGCAGGTAGTTCACGTTCCTCTCAGGCACGTGGGTCACAAAGGTGTCGTCTATTGTAATGACAGCATCATCTAGAGCACGCACAGGTAGATTGAAATACATTCAACATATCATAATTACATATAATATTTACTTATTAATAAAAGGAGGTTTAAAATCAACCGTTTGTTTGTTTGTTTGTTTATTTCGATCGCCATTAGTATGTCATTGATTAATACTATTCTTCCTGGAGTTCACATAAAATAGAATAACAAATAATAATAATAGCATAATTATAATAATAATAATTACTTTTAGCAATAATGATAATAAATAAAACCTACAAAATTATGTTGAATTTATGACAAACTTGAAACAAAATCAGCATAGAGAAATAAAAAGTGCATTGGAGGTCAGAGAGCAAATAATAGAAATAATATGTTTGAAATGAGAGTAATAATTGATTTACTTGACCAATCATTGGAAAATTGAACAAAACAGTAAACAAATATTTAAACTGACATAAATAATAACATATAAATAACTCAAATGCAACAATCTATATGCAACAGAATATAATTCCTATAAATCAAGTGATTGAACAACCATTGATTTTTAACCTCCTTGATTCATGTCAGAATGATACAGAAACAGGTTTGAATTGTAATTTCCAACACAGGAATTGGTCCTTTTGACCTGCTTGTCAATCTTCTGCCACCCACGTGCTCTCAACCTATCCTCAAGTTCACCCAATTTCCTGTGTCTGACCACTTATTCCTGACCTGACAGGAAAAGCTATCTGTCACCAAAAATCCAAGACCATAGCATGTTCAGGACAAAAGATACAAAAAACGGAAGTTTTGCTGCAGTACCAAGGTCAGCCACCAGGAGGCCAATATTTGACCTTGACCTTTGTCTTCCTAAGACCTACCAACATACCAAATATCCTCACAATCCATAAAGGCGTTCTGAAGTTATGCTGACTACAAATGTGTGGAAACACAAACACACACACACACACAGACACACACACACACACACACAGACAGACACACAAACAGACACACCAAAAACAATACCTCCATGAAAAAAGGTAAGAAACACCTACCTGACAAATAGAAGGCCACATCAAAGTTCTTCTCCTCGCTGCTCCAGTCAGGGTGCAGCATGTGTGGCATGTTCTTCTGCATCACTCCAATGTCCAGACTGAAGGTGTGCGGTTCCACATCTCCCACCTGGTACTCCAGAGAACTCAGGGAGAAACCGGCTACAGTAAGGTCAGCATAAGCTGCAGAAAAACAGGACAAAATCAGTGGACAAAGTCATCATAATTCTTTATGTCATACCTGGGCCACAGTTACCTTTGATATGGGTGATCCGGCTTCTTTACGCAATACGGCCTGGGCTTCCAAATGTTCCATAGAACGATTCAAACGTGTTTCGCTCTAACCGCGTGCACCACTTTTGAAAATTCGACTACAAAATTCGGACGTTGGAATCGTGTTGTTGCATTTTTTGGGTTTAGGGACACCAAATTTTTGCTCATTTCCCATTGAAAGGCGTGTTTTCTTGGGTGGGTATGACATAAATAAAACACAACACAGGGTATTCTGCATCACCCTCGGTCCCAGCCCTCCCGCGGATTGGATCTCCCTTCGGCCGTCTGGCAATCCAACACGTGGTCAGGCTGGTACCTTGGGCGATACGGAATACATTTTGTACATGTACCCCGTGTTGTATTCTATATAATATCAACAAGGTCAACAACTGCCTGCCTATTGTGCTCATCAGGCCAGAACTAAGATAGAAAGATGTCTTTCTCCTCCCTAGCCATGTCCTCTATAATATTATATAATGCTTGTAAGGTTGATTCACTAAAATTTCACTACTATCTCTCCAGCATTTGGAAAGGTCTTCCCTTGTGTCTTTGTGAACTCTTGTTTGTAGACCTTGTGAATCAACCACAGCAGCTGTATTATATTGAAGACTTGCTTTGGGCACTGCAAACACAATTATAGGCCAATGTACTGGCTTAACATTTCGGATCATTTCCAAATAATTATTTTGAGGCTGTCCTTCCGGTGCAATAGCTCAATTGGTAGAGTGCTCGCTTTGTAACCGGGAGGTTGTGAGTTCAAACCCCGGCTGGGTCATACCAAAGACTTTAAAAATGGTACACACTTCTTTCTCTGCTTAGCACTCTGCTTAGCACTCTTCGTGCATGAACTGTGCACGAAGTTCGGGAGAGGACTGCTGAACTCCCCCCTTTACCGGAACTGGCTACCTCCATACCGTGGGGAAGTCAGCTCACGTCACAACAGAACTTCTACTAACCTGGATACAATTCTCACAAAGACTGAAAGATTCCGCAATAGCTGCATTCCTTACTTGGTACGACTGCTAAACACATGTAACTAATAGTTCCCTTTTAATAATTGTTAATAGCATTTTTAACGTTGTACGTACACGTAGCTTTTACATAATATATGCATCATTACGCTCTAAAATATTTTAAAGAATTGTGTCGCATTTTAACCATGGTATGTGTAATTTCGAAATTTTAATGTGTATATCAGTAATTCGTGTCGTCGTGAGTACCGTCCTCCGGTGACCACTTTGTATTTTGTATATTTGTTATTTTGGTCAAGGGTAATTAATTATTTTAACTAATTAGCACATTGTAGTTACAACCGATTCAGGGCTTATGCCCTGCGAGATTGTAACATGTGCAAGACGAACAATAAACCAGTATTATTACACTCAGCACATATGAGAAAGAGCGTGGGAAGGCACACAGCACTACCAGTGGTCCAGCCCCCTTGCACTACTGTGTATCGCCCAAGGGCTACGGAAATGGAGATGGGCACCACCCTACGATCGACATAAGAGACCTTCTTCTTCTTCTGTCCTGTTACCTCTTGGATCACAGGCCAGTTGAAGTGGAGTCCACTGCTGGTTGTTCTCTGGCACGGTGTCTGTTGCTCCTCCAAAGGACGGGTTGTTCCCCTGCATCAGTCTGACACCCAGGTACTTCCACCGCTGACAGCCATTCGCTGGGATCTGGATGGAACCGGTCAGGGTCACCGTCTTCCTGCCATCTAAAACAAGATCAGAGATTTACTTAATGGCGTCTGTATGGTGTAGTGGATGGAGCATCCAACTGTCAAGCAAGGAGACCCAGGTTCAATCCCCAGACATGTCCGGACATGCACCTACAGGTAGACATTGCATGTGCCCTTGGAAAAGGCACTTTACAGTGTCATATTTCCCCCCTGTTAGAGGGTTCCTGGGCCCTACTAGGGTTTGGGCTGGCGTTAGGAAGGGCATCCAGCCGTAAAAAATCTTGCTTCAAAATAGACATCTTGCATTTGACACATCTAACCCCCATTTTTTTTGGAAAAATGGATAATACTAGACTAGTAAGTACAAAAAATGAATATTTAATAATATAATAATAGATAAAATAATCCAAAACCTAATCATTTCTTTGATGGGTCAAGATCTAAACACACCAAATTTCATGACGATCTATTGACAGCTGTATATTAACCGCAGTTTACGCACTCAGTTAAAAACATACAAAAAATTCTAGTGACTTAAAACATAACCTTTTTGGCAAAGGTAAAAAACCATACCTCTTTATTCATGCGATACATATTTATAACATTGACAAGTTGAACACACAAAGTATACAGAAAGTTGCAGATACTTACTGTTTTCCCTGAGATCTGGACCTAGTCCATTGCTGGGGTCCAAAATCCAATCAGATGAAGTTAACCTCACCTCTGACAGTACCAGCTCATCAGTACCCTGAAAAATATAACAGAAAGGCAATGATGTATCTGCATCTGTATCTGTGTATAACCGGTATAACCGCCATTCGGTGTAACACACCAGCTTCACAGGCATGCCGCGTGGCATCAGGTAGCTACATGTATATCACACCGAATGACTTGTTACACTCAATCTTTGCACATTTAATTGCAGGAGTTGTTTAAAGCTGTCTAGTGATCATGCCCCAACTGTGCTTGGTGGCAACGAGTTCCAGTCTACGATATTTCTGGGGAAATATGAGTTTTTGAACACCTCAATTCTTGGTTGATAACTCTGATATTTGAAGGCATGACTGTTTCTTGTTCTTTTCTGGGCTGGTATCAGATACTTTAGTGGTTGGTACGTCCACCAGTTTATTAGTCATTTTGCACATATTTCAGTCCATACCATATGGTATGGATGAAATATATTGTGTTCTCTCATGTTTCTTTTCCTCCTCCTTCTCCTTCTCCTACCACACAGTCAACTCTGTCATTTTTTAGCCAAATGACCTGGAATTTGGTATGGAGCCAGAGTGGGCCAATACCCCCAGGCTTTTTTTCCCATTTTTTTGATACATGCCTTCGAAAATTTTTATGAAGGTTTTTTGGGGCATTTTTCAACAAAAAATGGATTTTTGGATCCTGAGCCCTGGTATTACAACCAAGTGATCTGAAATTCGGCATAAGGGTACCTTGAACGTGTGTCTACAGAATAGCAGTCACTGGGAGATGGACTGAAATATGCTGTATTTGCTCCCAAGCAAATGTCGGCCTTTCTAGTGTACATTTGTTTCTCCACACTCACCATAGGATCTGCAGTGACGAGGATGTCCATGGTGTAATACGTGGTCCCGCGTCTGGCCGGGTAGAGTCGCGTACAGCCCCCCCACAGACAGGACAGGTCCACTGTGATGCTGACGGGGGTGTCCACCTCCTCCCACAACAGGTGCTGAGGGACGGAGTACTGCACAGCCACCACTCCAAACATATCTAGATTGATGATAGATTGATGAAGATTGAAGCATAAAATTTCATTTGCTTAGGCTACACTGACTTAATTTTATGGATGACATCCTCTGAAGACCCCCAAACTACAGTAGTGTGCGTGGGCGAATAAAAAAAATCCGGCCAAAAATAAAAAATGCTACTAAACCACAGGAATACAAAGCTGGTTTTGTGAATTTGCAGCAGTACATACATGCATAGCGACGCATATGAGAAGCAGGCACATGCTGGCTTTTTGCAGAATTTATGACTCAGCACTGTACGTACAATGTATGTACTCAGTTCTTGAGTCGTGGAGCTTCGGTAGCCTGGGTGCCCGGCTCCATATATTGTTGCTAACTACCATAGACTAACCAGGCCTAGAGCCAGACCAGAGCCTCAGTGGACCTCAGGCGAAAATCAATGCGCGCGCGGATGTCATCCATAAAGTTAAGGAGGTGTGGCCTAACTAAGATCAGACGCCTTCTACAGGAACTCTTTCTTCCCACACAGTTATGGTTTACAAATACTATAGTGTGTAGTCATTATACTGACAATCTATTTAGATACATGTATCCGGTCAAGACCTGGCACAATTATGTCTCTTTAAGCATTAGGAGAATTGTTTGAAAAGACAGAACAATGAGTCTGGTACAACGTAGGTTCATATTTTAGTACACTGTACTTCCAAAAGAGACCACTGAAAATTGGAATGTACATCTACACGTATGTCACTAATTTGTTAACATCCCTGGTCCTATAGTTATCGCCATGTCCTAATTATTGCCAAATCAACAATGTTGCAGATTATGCAGGAGAATATATACAATGTAGATAGCATCCTTTGTTTATATCTATAGTGCAGTCTGTAATGTGGTTTTGCAGGTATTTACTACCAGCTCTAATTCTACATTCACGCAACTCTTGTCGTTTGTGAGATAAAACTTCACCCAGTGACCTCGCCAAGTCATGCAAGATGGCTACTGGCAAAGCCCATCTGATCCAGAGTGTAACAAAACCAGCAAAAATACAGAAACTATGGTGCACTTGCCACTTTTTATCCATTGAGCATAATATAGTGGAATAAATCATTCTTTGATCATCCAACCTATCCCATGCAAAGGTTTATAGGAAAGGCTTAGCCTATCATTTGAGAATTTTCAATTTATGGCAATAATTAGAGCAACCAAATTCAGCAAATACACATGGGCACAAGATCGACATGGTCAGTATCATGCCTCACCTCCAAGTACAGGATCATCAACAAACAAAAGATATATTGCACGTAATAGTAGAGGTATAGTGCAATCATTATGATGCTATGACTAAAGCTTCGGTCACAACCCACCGTACGTAGGGCATCCATGCGTAGTGAGTACTGCCTCCGTACGGAATCCTACGGATTTGAGAGCACGCAGACACGCCGTAGAATATTAAGTGCATGTAAAACTTTTTCTGCGTGCGGTCTGTGGAATCACCACCCGTACGTGCGAGTACGAGCGACGCGCGTGCCCCGTACGTACCGTACGGAAGAATCACGTGTGAGTACGGTCAAGTTGCAATTGCACAGAGATCGTACATTGTAAGCACGTACAACTCACTTACCACTTGCGCAACGAACGATGCACGCAACCGCTCACGGCCAGATGTGGTGTGCAGACCACACTCTTACACCTTGCGAAACCATGTGAGTGACGTGTGTCGATGCCACTCCTTCCCCACGTTTTCAGAAAAAATGTACCAGACGTATGTAGCCTCCCAAAAATTCCACGGACAAATAGCACGTATGGCGGGTTGTGACCAAAGCTTAACAAATTGTAAACTTGTGGTTTGTCTATAATCTATTGCAGCAACAAATCAAAATTGGGAAAATATGGCGATAATTAGGACCAGGGATGTTACAACAGTACTGGTGACCTCACCTCCACTACAGGACACCCTGACCATCTCAGCATGGTAGTTGTTGAACTCTTTTGTCTCATCCACCCTGTTGTCTGGGTCCATCTCAGCTATCAGGTACACATCTCCACAGTACGACTTGTGAAGATCAGCAGGCAGTCTCAGGCCAGATCCATCTATGAGACGATAAATTAAAAGTATTAAAAATAGAGGAATGAAAATGATGCCTTTTCTTCAACCTTTATTTAACCTTGAAAACGTACAGAAAGTACACTCTTGCTAGTAAGAGAATAAGGTAATCAGAGATGGCGGACTTCACCCCCTTTACCAATATTGCTTGGCAAGTTGACTGGCAATATGTACAAACAGACTGACCAATATACATGTAGTTCTTCACTCCTTTTATGTTGATGTAGTAAAAGGTCACTCAGAAAGCTAATGGATGCATGGTAGTGTACAAAGCAGCAACTAATTCAGTACCATGGAGATATAGTTCCTACTGGAAGGGAGGACTCTCCTGCATTCAAAAATAATGTATGTATATGGGATCCCCCACTGCCACCACCAGGGCTCGAAATTCATTTTTAGGTGCACTGGTGCACCCAACCTAAAAAATTGGGTGCACAAAAATATTTTGGATGCACCATATAAGATGGAAATAAGAATGTCAGCAAAAACTAAATACATGCATGTATGTTTTATTTCTTAAGGAAGTGTTATAACAATGATTTTATTCTTTTTCTAACACTTAGATGTTAAGAATATGCTGTATACTACAATACAATGTACATTTAACATCAACCTACGAAAATATTTGAGTGCACTGGTTCACCTACATAAAATAATAAAATAATTGGGTGCACAACTCCAAATTAGGGTGCACAAAGGTGCACATGCACCCAGTATTTCGAGCCCTGCACCACCCAAAAGAAAGGGAGCCTTACCAACAGTGTTGCCACTCAGGTCCAGACTCTGTGTGGATGCCTCCAGGGCTGCAGACAGGGGTTTGTCGGCTGGTATCCTGTACCCCAGGTCTGTATCCACTGATGTGTCCAGACTTTCATCTGCTGACAGCCACAACTTGTACCTGAAGGAAGCCTCCTCTAAAGAAAGAAAAAAACAGACTGAGTGCATTTTGACCAGTTTTTGACAAAAGTTTTGCAGTTTTTTTAGTATTCTGTTGCAATGCCCTCTTGAACACAAATTCATAACATGGAATATACCAGTTATGCATTTTCAATGAATTACTGTACCCACTTCCAAAGTATTCCAATAATAATACACTTTGGGACTTGTGTACATGTACATGTTTGTGTGTGTGTGTCTGTGTGTGTGTGTCTGTTAGTGTGTGTGTGTGTGTGTGTGTGTGTGTGTGTGTGTGTGTGTGTGCATGTGTTTGTGTGAATAAAGGAAGTTGAATGTGCTTCAGTGTGCTTTATTAAGTACCAGGTAACCCAAAATTGTCTATTGTTTGGTAATACCAAGCTTACCACTTCAGTCTATAGTTGACATTTGCTGCACAGACATTGAAGCCCACAACAGCTGACTAACAGAACAGGGTAAAGTCAATCCAACAATCTAGACAGTACAAATGTTGATGTCGTGTGGCATAGCGGCAGAGTGCTTGACTTGGAACCAAGAGGTTCCGGGTTCGAGCCCTGATATGCCTGGACATGCGCTCTGATCTTGTGCCCTTAGGAAAGGGAGACTTTACACGACTTCCCTCACTTTGCTCAGGTGAAAATAAGTATTGTATTGTCTCATGTTGGTGGCGGCATTAATGATATGATATGATATGAATCTTTATTGTATGTTCTTGCCCAGATGGGCTAAATGCACAAGATGACATGCAGTATGCAAAACATGAGTATTGCACACAGGGACGATATATTCTAAATAAATGCTAATTGCTAGGAATTTATACATTATAACAATACTATATACTACCTATCATCTACTGTTAGTTGCCCTTTCTTCTCTCTTTTTGAAACATTTGGAAACATAATAACATAGTTTTTCTGCTATACATTCGTCCTTGCATGACATTACATGTATATAATGAAAAAACTTGAGTGTGTCGTCACCACGTCTTGTGATTACATGTTGGAATTTAAAAAAAATGTTGATGGACAAGACTTTACCTAGCTGCCTGCTCCCTGTCAGGTCCACACCTGCCAAAAGTGTGAAGTTGTGTGTTTCCCCAGGTGTCAGGTCACCTTCTACAGACAGTCCTGTCACCTTCAGGTCCACAGAGTCTGTCAGATATTAAACACAAGACAGTCAAATCTTCTGAAGGGGACTGATGTAACTTGTTCTTCTTGGACTAATGTCCTTCTCTGGCTGGTTGCTTAATGCTTTAGCTTGCAAAATTGGGACAGGGAAAGGGTGGTTGTTATGACCAGGTGGCTAGTTTGAAGAGGTGGCCAGGTTTGTTATGGCTTCACCACTATGTGGTCATCAGAATGGCATGCAGAGCAAGCAACCAATAGGCATGCAGCTTTCCTCTATTCTTCTTGCTGATTGGCTGTTGGGATTTGATTGGGTTAACTCAATTAACACCTGTACAAAGCCATGCCATATTGACAGTATAAACTTTATTCAAGTGTTTTGGTAGGTATGTCAAACTTTCCTGCTCCAGCATTGGAATGCGGGACATAAACCCTTCTTTTTATCTTGAAAATCAACAGTAACTGTTTGCATTTTGCAATTAAAAATCCTAACCAATAATGTAGGGGATAGCTATCCAACTGTTGTCACTTCATACTATAGTTATATCGATGTAAAGAATTGTTTTCCCTTGTGTTTCTCGTTCTTTCCCTGTCACGTCGTGAAATGTGGTGAAGCCATCCGCTACATTTCCTCCAAAGCAAATGTCGGCCTTTCTAGTTTTTTTTTTACATTGTCTTACATGAATATTGTGTTCCATCTTCAATACATATTTCAAAGGTTCAACACTCTTAACAAACAAATCCTGATGATATAACTGACCTGCAGTACAATTCAGCTTGAGCCCGATGGAGTCGTAGTTGTTGGATATGACGTCGTCGTCAGCCACCACCCCAACCAGCAGGAACCTGACAGTGTCACATGTCTCCGCTGGGACCGTCACTTCTGCACGGACAGGGACGGTCAGAGACTGACCCATCTTCATACCAATCTGTATACGAAAACAGACAATGTCAAAACAGATGATACATCAATCAACTAGAGAAGTAACATTTGCAATGTTTAACTTCGAACATGGTCTGCTCTGTTAATTCTCACTCAAACACATTCACATAGTATTACATGTACATGTACTACTAGTATATGGTGACAGGAGCAGAGCAGACCATGAAATTGCAACATTATGTAACCAAAAACCAGTCACCATGGTGACAAATGTCAACTAATTATGTCATTGTTCAGGTCAGAGGTCACTGGAGAAGAAGAAGAGGAAGAAACTGAGCAAAAACAATATGTTCCTTTGGTAAACATAGACAAGGCACGATGGAATGGACAAGGCACGATGGAACGGAACTTTTAAGACTATCGATGTCACACACTGATTTGGTGTGCCAATGACAGTTTAATACCAGTTAGAAATGTATTCATTTGCCACCAAGAACAGTATATTATTATTATTATAAACATATGATTTAATAAAATCATCCACAGGCATCAGGAACTGACGCATGACGACTGTAGACATGTCTCCTCTTTACAGATGGAAAGAAAAATCAACAAACAGCATCATCTAGAACCTAAACTTATCCTTTAGTGAAAATCAAACCCACCATGATTGTTAGCTGTGAACAAACAAACATGGCTAAAAACAATACCTAGTCCCACAGAAGGATATCTCAAACTTCCACAGTATGCTGGCTGTTCTCTAGATCTAGTTGAGGAGGAACTTAGACCTTAGTTCCTCCTGCAACTAGTTGCATCAGTCAATTTGCAGACTTAACAGTACTCCGCCATAGGTTTCTGTTTTGTGCCGCAGCAGTCAAGAATTGCGTGTTACCAAATCCCAGTTTTTTCCCATCATTCTGTATTGTTTTGCGTACGGTAGTTCTAGGTCTTCCTTGGTATTTTCCCGTTTGATTTCAAATCCATGGCTATCCTGGTTGTTCTTTTGTTTGGTAGTCTCCATACATGTCCTGCAAACCTCAGTCTTCTTTCAGTTACCATTTTGCTGATACATGTACATTGTAGGGGGGACGTTGGCTCTCAGCATGAGCTCTTTGTTGGTGACATGGTCCCTCCGAGAGATGCCCAAGAACCCTTCCACACACTGAGGTAAAATCAGCCTGGCCTTACCTTGGTAACAGGAAAGTCGGATCCAGGCAGGCTGATTGGGATGTCAGTCCCATCCAGTGTAGCATCAGCAGACAGGGCCAGCATGATGTCAAAGTTGGTTTTGCCATGCTCAGCCTGGTCGATATCTTGCGGTCCTATGTTGGTGATGGTCAGATCCACTGTGACGTGGGTAGGGACGTCCCTCCAGACCACAGGCTGGACTGGATGGTAGCCGGCTGCCTCCACTTTGTACACATCTGTGTAAAAGCGGTCATGTTTTTGTAACAGTTGTTTGAGACACCAGCTGATCACTATTTATTGCACTGCAAATTTTATACTGAAAGGACCAAAATGTTGTTATCCATATCTTGCCTTCATCTTGAAAACATACTCCCTTCCGACCCCCTCAATGCAAATGACGCCACATTATGTACTTTACTTCTTACAGGTAGGCCCTTCCTCCCATACCCTACTAACTGCCGTATCTTTGATATTGTGTTCAACTATATTCATCACTCTGGAAGATTTGACCAATCTCATTAATGTTATGCTATAGGTATTGGTGCGCCAGCCACTTTCATTTTATGTTTATGTTATACCTTATGTCATCTTTATGTTTACATTATGTTTTATGAGCAGCAGATTCACATATTAAGCACAACAACTGCTTCCTATCCAATGCTCCAAAATCCATGTGAATAAAATAAAAAAATAACAGTTGTTTTTACTCAATAGCCACCTCATAACAAAGGCCACTGGGATACGTGCATAGATCTGGAACTTAAGTATTTTTTCTCCCTATAGTAGTGTGATTGATGTACATTATTTTGAAAACTGAGGTCATCCTTGGATCAAACACCTAGTTCTTGTTACGTCGGTGAAGATTAGACATCCAGGTAATGAGATACTAAAAAAAATAGTTACTCAAGCAACTGGATAATGATTACGTTTCAGGTAGCATCCACTACCTTTTGTCAGAGACTGCAGGAGAAATGCAGGTTTATAACGGTTACCACATCTGCATTTCTCCTGCAGTCTAGTATCCAACAACCTAACCATTTGGTCATTAAATGCTTGATACTGCATAATAACTGTTTACAATAATATTATAACCTTCTCTCTTCTGTCAACTATGTACAATACTCAAATACTGCAGCTGCATGTGCAGACATACATTGTATATTTGTTGGAATCAAATCGTTTTATTTAATTTGTAGTGTCTTAATACATTGTAGATCCTGTTGGTGTTTATGTAATGTGTTTCACTAGTATAATGATTGATTGTTGTATTCAACTTCTGTATGAAAATTTGGGCTTTGCTTGCTTGTATTAAGTATTGCCTGGTGGCGACATGAATATAGTAACATGAGTGTGTCGCCACCACGTCTTGTCACTGTATGTTTCAATAAAAAAAACTATAACCAAAGAACAAAAGCTAAGAACCAGCTACATTGGAGCACGTTGGCAGAACGTACTGCACCTGCGTGAAACCCGTAATGTATTGTGCATAGCACTTCGGTAGAACGTCTCATATAAGGTCGTATTTACTATATAAGGTTAACACTTCGTCTGTAGTTTCCAAATGTTATGTTGGAAAAAATGTCATCTGCAACAGGCAAAATTCTGATGCAACGTTGACCAAAAATCCAATGGAAACCGTGAAAAATGGGGGTTTTGCGCAGGCGCAGGACGTTCTGCCGACATGATCTACACTGGTGCTCACCACGAGGACAGACGACGTAGACTTTCTGCATCTTGACGTTGTTGGCCTCCAGCTTCTCCCTGTACATGCCTGTATAGTCCACTCCCTGCTGCTGTGTGCTGTCCACGATCACAGCCAGGTACTGTGGACCACAGGCATCCGGAGGGATGGGCAGTCCTACAATTGTAGCAGGGAAAATCACAAAATCAAATCAAACTCTAGTTATCTGACCAGTGACCAACCACCAACCACCTTTGACTTGCAGCTCACATCACACTTCTGTAAGGCCATACCAACTTGATTTGTTGGTTCTCGGATTTTTTCACAAAAGATATGAAGCGACAGGGTGAAAAAAAAATAAAAGCAGACTTAGGCTTCCTATCATCATCATAGCTTGTCGCCAATCCACTCCAAATGCTATGATAGGAGCCATGAAGTCAACATATATACCAGGCTGGTTTGTAATGCAAACAATGAATTTCAAACTTTTAATCAACTACAGCATTGTTAGATGAAAAAACTGTTACAACTACCTTCAACTGTTGGGGCCAAAATAAAGATTTAGCATTTTGGAGTTGATTGTAATGTTTTGTTTTTTTTGCAAATCAGAAAAAAATGAACCGGACGAATCCGTAAACCAACAAATTAAATTGGCGTGGCCTAATGTAATAAGTTCAATTGGGTCCTCAATTACCAGTCAAAAATACAGTGAGTCCAATCCTTGTGCTGAAATTTACGCTATAAGGCAATATATGCAAGTACACTATTCTCTACTATAACTTTGAATCTAAAGATTCTGGGCTTGAATACCTACATGTGTATCAGGCCCCAATGTTGTGCATTTGGGAAACACTACTAATTGTATTTCCTTGAGCATGTACATGTATAAAATCCCAAGGCACTTACAGTGTACGATACATTTAAGGCTAGGGGTCCATCCTGGTTCACTCTGATGTGGATCAAAGTGGAGTTGTATATACTTGTACATGTACATTACTGGACTATTATGCCAGGTTACTAAAGGCAGTTTACCAACAGAAATAAACAAAAAAGTGGGGCCGTGTGGCATAACGGCAGAGTACTCGAACTAAGAGGTGCCGGGTTCAAGACCTGACATTCCACTGATCTTGTGCGCTTGCAATGGAAAGACACTTTGAGCCTGACACTTTACACGACTTTTCTCACTTAACTCAAGTAAAAATGAGCATTGTCTTTCCTGTATTCCTTTCTATGTGTGGGGCACAACACGAGTAACAGCTGCCTTTGTCTCGAGTGTATTGTATTGTTACAATTTCTATAAACTTTAAGTTAACAAAAAATTGAATCAAAAGTAACAAATAGACAAAGAAGTCCCCACCTTGCATGTTGTCGGACAGGTCCAGCAGGTCCCCACCCACCATCCTGCCCCTCAGCACCTCCCCCTGAGGGAAGGACATGTTGTAGTCCAGCATCCGGTCTTCCTCGTCAATCACCGCGTCCTCCGATAGGACGAACCGGAAGAAGAAGTTATAGGCCGGGCGGGCGGCTGTCATCGGGGGCAGCGTCAGCGGGCCAGTCAACTGTACCGTCAGTTGGAACAGTACGTAGATGGGCTGGTTCTGATAAAAAAAATAAACTGTAATTCACATGATGTTCACGGTAGCAAAAGTTCACGGTCTGGGAAAAGTGGGCATGCTTCGCGGAACTATATATTCACGGTGGTGACAGGTGCAGGAATACGAAAGTCAAGGAGTCATTTGTTAACTGTAATGATAAGTTCACGGTATAGAATTGACAGTGCAGTAAACATAAAAGTATAGTCAATGAAAAAATCAGGAATTACAACCTGGCCTATGCTTGGTCACTCTAACCTGTACCGTTAATTGGAACAGTACATAGATGGGAGCATGTTGGCAGAACGTACTGCACCTGCGCGAAACACGTAATGTATTGTGCATAGCACTTTGGCAGAACGTCTCATATAAGGTCATATTCGCACATATAAGGTCAACACTCCGTCTGTAGGTTTCCGAATGATATGTCTGAAAAAATGTTGTCTGCAACAAGCAAAATTCTGATGCAACATTGACCAAATATCCAACGAAAACCATGAAAATGGGGGTTTTGCTCAGTACGTTCTGCCGACGTGTTATAGATGGGCTGGTTCTGGGTGAAAGGATAGGTTCACAACATTAGCATGAAAGTTTGTAGGATTCATCTTGAAGCAGGGCAACTGAATCAGAGATTTCAGGAAGTGTGCTGGGTTTTTGTGAATGTATTGGAACTGTGGACAGGATCATATGATGCCATTCAATTGGGTATAACACCACTTCATGAATTCCTCCATATACCGCCCACTGTGCTTGGTCACCTTTGGGTTTGATCTATCAATCATCTGTCAAAATCACCTCCCACCCACAACGCAATTAGGACAGACCAACACAGCAAGAACTTAAAGCCAACCAAAACAATACTTTCATGTATTACCCAGAAGTAACTTATAGAATTTTAGTATCCAGGACTAACAGAACTAGTCACGGACTGCATGAAAATAAATCTAACATGTACAGATCTCTTAACTGAGTTGTTATAAATGTAAAAGAGCCTCTGCTCATAAAGCAGGGCTCAAAATACTGGGTGCATGTGCACTTTAGTGCACCCAAATTTGGAGCCGTGCACCCAATTTTTTTCTATGGGTTTACATAATATGTCAAGATGTTGAATTTAGAGTAGTACTAGTATTCAGCAGATTCTTAAAACGTAAGTGTCAGAAAAATATTAAAATCATTCTTGTAGTACTTAATTTCTTGAGAAACAAAACATAATTAGTTTTTGCTGACATTGTGCACCCATAGAAAATGGTGCACCCACCAGTGCACCTATTCCCAAAAATGAATTTTGAGCCCTGTAAAGTCAACAAATTTACATAATGCACTGTGTACAGGGGAGTTCATAATTATAACAAAAGTGACAACCATACCAGAGGGTCTTCAGTTTCTAACGTCTCCTGTCCCTGTTTGTACAGGTAATGGTTGTCAGGTGTAGACATGTCGTGTTGTATGGTGTTACCCCCGTGTAGGTGGAAGTCTTCAACACTTAGGTCAATCATGGCGTCCTGACCTAAGGGACACAGTTAAAACGAAAGTAAAAAAAAATCTTTCCCATACCTTTTGGAGTCTGGGGTAGTTCATTTGCCTTCATTTGCAACAACCAAATACACAACTACCACACTAGACAAGCACAATTATTACACAGACCCAACTACATATCCAAAGCAGGCCAACGTACATTTGCATAGAGTGGCAGTAACTTACAATTCACTAAAAGTCTTATACAAAACAAGCACCCACACTTAAATCACTTTAAGAGAGACTGAAATATGATTAGTACTGAACTTCTGACACTTGACCTTTCGAACACTGACCGATTATGATTTATAAGTATTTTTTTATTATTTGCTTGATTTGTACATAATGGTTTATTACTACTATGTTCAAGTACTTTATTATTTATGATCTACTATTCCTAAGTTTCTATTATTTGGAGCTTGACCTCTGACATCTCACCTCTGACTGATCTTGTATTTTGATTTATGATTTCTCTATTACGTTTAATTATTATTTTATGTTACATTATTTTCTTGTATGGGCTCCCTTGGAAATCAGCTCCAATGGCTGAAGGGACCATCCATGTGTCCTCAAGATAAATAAATAAATAAATAAAGTAGTACTCATTTTCTATAGCTAAACACTTGTAGGCTGTACATTGTAGCTACCTCACATTTCATCACTTCTGACCTATTTGAAATACAGTCAAGCCTGCCAAGGAGACTACCTCTTTAAGCAGGCCACCTGGCCATGGTGACCACTTTTTGTTGGTCCCAAAAATTTTCCCATTGACACAAGCATTAAGCAACCTGTCCAAGGTGACCACCTGGCCAACGTGACCGTGACCACCCTGAGTTGGGTCCACTCAAGGCCTGATACCTGCCCATGGTGACCACATCATTTTCGATCATGTTGATTATTGATGATAACTAATGAGAAATCATGGACAAATCAGCCAGTTTGCCTCGACTGCTGGATGATGTTTTTGTTTGACGTAAATTGTTCCGTGTGTCACTCTCCCCACATGCAGCATTTGACATTAGAACATCTCCACTTGGAAACTATTTATGCCTCAGTCATGTTGTGGGTCGAGTCAGGCGACCCTCTTCAAGGAGACCACCTGTCCAAGGTGGCCACTTTTCTTTGGTCCCCTGGGTGGTCGGCTTGGACAGGTTTGACTGTAGTGGACACTGTCTGGCAGGGGGTGTCTATGAGTTCTAGCATTCACTTCATAATAAGGCCACACCAATTTAATTTATTGGTTAACGGGTTCGCCTGCTTCATTTTTTCTGATTTGCAAATAAAAATAAAAATTCAGAATCAACTGCAAAATGCTCATATTTTGCCCTGAACAGTTGCTTTCTTCCTAGTTGTTACAGTTATTCCATCTTTCAATGCAGTGGTATCATTAAAAATTCAAAATTCATTGTTTAAATTTTGTACCGGCCTGGTGTGTTGACTTCATGGCTCCTATCGTACCATTTTGGGCCATGATAGGATGCCTAGGCCTGGTTTTATTTTTTTTTTCGCCCGCCCGCTCCATTATTTTTCTAGGAAAATCCATTAACCAAGAAATTAAATTGGTGTGGCCTAATGCAGGAAAAAAATTCTATCAAAAAGAAGATATCAGAGATATAACACTACAAAACATGCCACTTACTGTCCCAGCAGTCTGCCCAGGGTAGTGTCTGTCTGGCCATGTTGTTGGCGACCACAGGATCGGCTGTTTCAGACATGACAACTTCTACTACCAGGAAGTCTGCTGTAGCACAGTCACTGTCATCGATGGTCAGGTCTCCTCCCAACACCAGCACAGAAGAGTAACCAGTAGGGTCTATACGGCAGAAACAAAGGGTTAGGATATGGTTATCTTGTGTACATCATTGCACAATAAATAACGTATTTTTCAGAATATGATATCATTTGAATTAACTTGTCATTGCATAAAGTTATGAATCAGATACATTTGTAGTTTTTGCAGTGCAATTCTGTAGTACAACACTGGAAATGCATTATTAATTTTGGAGTTTTGTGGATTTGCAGTAAAGAGGTTACCATTAAATGTACAAATTTTAAAAATAAATTCACTGCAAAAAGTCCGGTGATTTACAGTATCATAAGGCCATGTTTAATACCTGTGGATAGTTTCATGAGGTTGGTAACTAGAGACACTGATTTAAGAGACTCTTTTTAAACAACCAATTCTTTTATTCAGCCGACATTTCGGTGACCATCTGTCACCTTCCTCAGGGCAATTCTGACTGGTTCACATTGCACTGCCGCACAGGTGTTGCTGCTATAGATGCATTCCCAAATGTAACAGTATTTACATAATCTACACATATGCGTGTCACTGATTGGATTACAGGGAAATGTATCTACAATGTGTACCCAAACATTCGGAAGTTTAATTATTATACATATATACATAATGGTGGTCAGTTATTTAACAGTTACAGAAAACTAGGAACAGAATCCAAAAAGCGGTTCCAAATGTACAGATGTGTCATAAGTACATGGTAGTCATTTACACAACAAGTCTATTTCTTTACTCAAGTTTAATACCTCTGTCATACGATGCGATGCTCCTGAAGTTCTCCTCAAAGGTGACAGCTCTCTCCGTGTCTCCTGAAGGACCCATCTGTAGTTTGACTGACAGCTGAAAGACACACGGGTCCTTGGGGAAGCAGTCTTCCTTCCTGTGGCAGGTCAGTACTACAGACATGTTGACTGGAGTTGGGACCTCCTCCTGAATGTAAGTCTGTGGTGAGGACAGCTGAAGACGGGAAACTCCCAGCACATCTGCAGAAATGAGTGAATTAATGTAACAAGTTACACAATGTACTAGTAGTTTAGGCCCCACCAATTTAATTTCTTTGTTTACAGTTAAAACTTTTGATCCAACACCAAATATTCTCTCACCTAGAGCTTTTGACAAGTCACTATGGTCTTCCTCATTAGACTGGTCGAAAGCTCTAGGTGAGAGAATTTCTGGTGTTGGATCAAAAATTTTAACTTTAAACAGTAACTACCAACACAGATGAACCTTCATGACAATTTAATTTGTTGGTTCTTAGATTCGCCTCTTCATTTTTTTTCTGATTTGCCAAAAAAAAGATTCTGGTTCCTAATCAAGTAAAAAATGCTCATATTTTGCCCCAAACAGTAACTGTTGAGGAAAGTCCTTTTCTTCCTAGTTGTTACAGTTTTTCCATCTATCAATGCAGTGGTTTGATTAAAAGTTCAAAATTCATTGTCTAAATACTAACCAAGCCTTTTGTGTCAACCTCATGGCTCCTATGGTAGCATTTGGGGCTATAATACGATGCCTAGACCTGTTTTTTTTTTTTTCGCCCTGTCACTTCATATTTTTTCGGAAAAAATCAGAGAACCAACAAATCAAATTGATGTGGCCTTACTGTACCATCTGTTGTAGGCTGTTATACAATTTGATGTCGTACAATTTTGAAGCAGGCTGTGACAGAACCAACTGCTAACGAGGATGTAATCTAAAAGAAGATAGCTGAATGCTATAGGTACATTGGGAATACTAACAGGAAGATAGGGAAAAGGTCCCAGAAAAGGTTATGTCATTTTTTGTCTTCAATTGATATGTATATATCCAATATATTATGTTGTAGCACGTTGGCAGAACGTACTGCGCCTGCGCCCCGTATTTTCGTGTTTTTCGTTGGGTTTTTGGTCAACGTTGCATCAGAACTTTGCCTGTTGCAGAGGATATCTTTTCCGACATAGCATTTGGAAACTACTGTCAAAATGCTAACCTTATATGAGCGAATACAACCTTATATGAGACATTCTGCCGAAATGCTATGTACAATACATTACGGGTTTCGCGCAGGTGCAGTACGTTCTGCCGACCTGCTTTATGTTGTGTTTAAACTTTGTTGTCTTATGAGAAGTAATGTTGCTAAAAGTGCATACTATAGACATGAATCAGGGGGAAAATTCACAATAATTATTATGAATAAAACAAGAAATCCACAAAAGTTTTGAATGTTTCCCAAAGATCTTTGCTAACATCTCGTTATTGGTGCATGGTGAACAAAATGACTCATAGACTGGTGGATACACTCAAAGGAGAAAAGAACAAGAAATAGTCATGCCTTCAAGTACCAGAGTTATCAACCAAGGATTGAGGTGTTAAAAAACTTGAATGTTATTTCCTAGAACTATCACAGACTGGAACTTGCTGTCACCAAGTGCAGTTGGGGAATTATTGTTAGATAGCTTTTAACATTGTTTAGAGTTGGATGTTCAAGGGTTAGGTGTAACAAGGCATTCAGTGAAATATAGCCAGCTGCTGCTGCGCCACATGCCTACGAAGCTGGTGTGTTACGCCGAAGGGCAGTTATACTTTTTTTTTCAATCATACATGTAGGTTACCACAAAACAAGGCTCATGGGAGCCACTTAAAATGTTTTGGGTTACAGAACAGCCAGTGAGGACAGATGGTTGTTGACCTTAGATTTGAAGAGTTTAAGTTTATACTCATAAGGGAAGCAATCACGGTAGCTTATTCCGAAGTGATGTTCTGGGAATGAAGCTTTCAGCGTGGAACTTCCTCCTAAGAGGTGGTGAATGGAGGAAGAAAGGGTGATTTGCTTCTGATTCAGTGGAAGTGGCAAGACGTGTCCATGCTTAGAATTTTCGAAGTGGGGGCACTAGCGAATGAAGTTCCACGGAACATTTACCGTGGAAGAAGCGATAAAATAACGCAAGGCTTGCAACAGTACGCCTGCATGTATGTGAGAGTGGTTGTAGGGTGGCAAACAAGTCTGATACAAGAATAAGTCCGCGATACAGATACTGATACAGTTATTGTTTGTTTGTTTGTTTGTTTCGCATAACCGGTAAACGGCCTTAGGCGTAACACACCAGTTATGTACATGTGCATACATGTACAAGCTGCGTAAGACCGGACTGTAAGGTTTTGAACCACTCACACCGGGAAGGTCCCCTACTCTTTTGATAAGTGCGGTGGGTTCTTTAACGTGCATGGGGTGTGGCTCTCCCAAACACGGGACCTCCATTTAACGTCCTATCCGAGGGATGTCCCTAACCGAAGCTAGGTACTCATTTTCACCTAAGTGAAGTGAGGAAAGTCGTGTAAAGTGCCTTTCCCAAGGGCACAAGATCGGTGACATGGGCAGGGTTCGAACCCGCGACCTCTGGTGTATGAGCCGAACGCGTTACCGACTGCACCACACGACCCCACGTTATTGGTTATTTTACACCTTCATTCTTACCTGAGTCACACTGTACAAACAGCTGTTGGATGCCCAGGTTGTTCATCTCCAGTGGTTCTGTGATCTCATTACTGTCATCAAGCTTCATAATGGCGTACACCAGACCACAGAAGGACCTGTCTCTCAACTCTGGGAGTATCTGGGCAGGGTTGCTCCAGTCCAGGTCAGCTTCCATACCTACACAGATTATTTGTTTAAAGTTAGAACTTTTGATCCAACACAAAAATTCTCTCACCTAGAGATTTCAACTGGTCAAAATCTCTAGGTGAGAGAAATTATGTGTTGGACCAAAAGTTTTTACTTTAAACATATGCATGTAACTACCAAGTTCACACACACACACAGATGAACTTTCATGATAGTAAAAAATTGTTGACAATGGACCTATACCATCATTACGCCACAGTTTGTTTACCTGTTCTAAAGAACATTCTAGAACGGTCAGTTAAAGAATAGAGATCATTTCAAAGTTTTCAAAGTCAGGTATGTTTGATTTTTGCTGCGTCTAACCTTGTTGACACAGCATTACATGCCGTAATGGCTGATTTGGTTGTGACATTAGACGAAAGTAGTACTATATAAAGCCCTTATATTAAGTCTAACGCTACACAAGCACACACCGCGCTACACACCCCTGTACAATATAAACGTCGATTGACCGACATTCATTGCGGTAAACAAACTGTGACGTAAATCATTATAATGGTATAGGTCCATTAGAGCTGTGTACCGGCACTGTGTGCGTACTGGTTCTGTACCGGAAAAATTGATTGGGTACAGGTCCAAAATACCCAATCCCGAAGTACTGGTACTGTACCTATGATAGTAAATAATTGCACACTAATTATATGCCTATTGTACGCTATATTATAAACCTAAAATGCGTAAATTGCTAGTCCCCCATGGGTCTTAAATTAAGGGCAGTGTGTTTGTGTTACAGACTGATAGTGTTAACTACCCTGAAAGATTTGTTGCATATTAGTTATGCTTCCTCTACAATGTAGATGTCACTTTGGTCAGGTTTGTGTTGCAGGGTAGAAGATGAAAACTGTAACATCTTACTAATAGTTTTGCCCATCTTTTGTATAATAGTTCTTTCTAAACAAAACCTTAACATAACTGTGAAGTTTATGTTTTTGTCAATATGGAAGGAGTTCAAAAGAACATACTAAAATTTGTTGTATGGTTCAGGTACAGTTTCAGGTCCAGACCTGTACCTAAACCCGTGTACCTTAACCTGTATCTGTCCTTAAAATTTGTTTAGGTACACAGCTCTATTGACAATGTATGACTGCTACAAGTTTATAATATTATACAACTGTTGTGCAATAAAAGTATAATTGTAACAGTAAGTTGTTCTATGCATGCACTACATGTACAAGGTACAGGGCAGAAATATTTTTTATTGATCGATATTGATGACATTTTAAAAAAATGATTGTTTACCTGTTCTTATATTGATAATCATTCTTGAATGATTATTGATGAATCATTATTATATTGATAATTAATAAATATGTTATTAAATTAAATATTAATCACTAATTGATAATTATTATATTGATAATTATTCTTAATCTATTGCTTGTCAAAGCATTTCAAAATGCTTTGACAAGCAATAGTCATTTTCTTCCTACTTGTTACAGCTTTTCCATCTATCAATCCAGCGGTTTGATTAAAAGTTCAAAATTCAATGTTTAAATTTTAACCCAGCCTTTTGTGTTGACTTCATGGCTCATTTCGTAGCAATTTTAAGCCTATAATAGGATGCCTAGACCTATTTTTATTTTTATTTTTTTTCGCCCTGTCGCTTCATATTTTTTCTGATAAAATCCGAGAACCAACAAATTAAATTGGTGCGGCCTTACACATGAACATCAATTTTGCCTTTGCCAAACTTATCTTTTTGTTACAAAACTGACATGGAAACTTACCGGCTGTAACATTCACGATTTCAGTAGTTGTGAAAACTTGCAGATCCTGATCGTCTAAGACCTGGTCTGGAGACAGGTACAGGGCGTAACTGATGAACTCCTTCCTGACGTCGGCCTTGTTGGCTACGGCTCCCACGGAGAAGTGCGGTGACAGATGCAGCATGTACACGGTCATTCCATCCACAGAAACGATGTCGGGCAGACCAAAGTTCTTCACGGAGATGTCATAGTAGGCTGAAAAATATTAACCGAATTTAACGTCATTTTTCCCCAACCGGGGGTTAAACGTGCTTGCACCAGGCACAAGTCTTTTTTTGAAGCAATACTTTTATGGCTGGATGCTCTTCCTAACGCCAACCCAAACCCTAGTAGGACCCAGGAACCCTCTAACTGAGGGGCGAAATGCGTGTTAAGTGTCTTTCCCAAGGGCACAACATCTGGGTGCATGTCCAGACATGTCTGGGTCCAACCCTGGGGATTGAGCCTGGGTCTTCTTGCTTGACAGTCGGACGCTCTAACAACTACACCACACAGACGCTACACATTGGCAAAAGGTAAAAAATTTGCCACTCTCTCAGAAGAAGAACTTGCCTTCCCAGATGGTACCAATATGTACTCTGGCCCAAGGACTAATTTAAATGACTGAGCAAAAAATTACAAATGATGGCCCAGATATCAAACCTACCATTTGTATAAGAAGAGTTTGTGACAATGTTTTAAAGACATCCAATTGCGATTTCAGCGCAGCAAAACTGGAAAAATTCTGTATAAGGCAATCTTTGTGATATTGACACATACTGCTTCTATTAAAACATTTAAATCAGCCTTTCATACTGTGAGCATCTAAAACTGAAGGGCACGTTTGAACAAGCCCCAAGATGAGTCCGTTACTTTCTGGGTGGTACCCTAAAAATCAGCCCAGGGCCCTTCCAGTAACCATTTTCCGTCAGAATTTTGGGAATTTTTGTTCTATGAGGGTCAATATACATTGGGACAGTCTGGTTTCAACTCAGTATATAGATAAATGACTAGAATATTGGCTTTGAAAAATCGGGTTTCCAAAAACTGCATTGGATGTCTTTAAATCTTAAAAGAAGTGGTCTTAAGGGTAAATCGTTAACGATTCTACATTTTGTTTTAAATCTAGGTAAATATACAAGTCAAAGCCAAATCTGAGCACACTAGAATGAATTATCAGCACCAATATAACATTGGAAAGCAACTCATATAAACCACCACAGTTTCAGCACCAAGGACATCCCCACAAAAAAGAGTACCAATCAAAAGCCCCACCTTCTGATTTTCCTTCACACTGCAGAGGCAGTGGTGGATCATACAGAAGGTAGTTGTTGTGCAGGGGGAAAGCTACTCATATAAACCACCACAGTTTCAGCACCAAGGACATCTCCACAAAGAAAAGTAAAAAAGAGTACCAATCAAAAGCCCCACCTTCTGGTTTTCCCTCACACTGCAGAGGCAGTGGTGGATCATACAGAAGGTAGTTGTTGTGCAGGGGGAAAGCTACTCATATAAACCACCACAGTTTCAGCACCAAGGACATCTCTCCACAAAAAAGGGTACCAATCAAAAGCCTTACCTTCTGGTTTTCCTTCACATTGCAGAGGCAGTGGTGGATCGTACAGATGGTAGTTGTTGTGCAGGGGGAAAGCTACTCATATAAACCACTACAGTTTCAGCACCAAGGACAACTCCACAAAAAAGAGTACCAATCAAAAGCCCGACCTTCTGGTTTTCCTTCACACTGCAGAGGCAGTGGTGGATCGTACAGAAGGTAGTTGTTGTGTAGGGGGAAAGCTACTCATATAAGCCACCACAGTTTCAGCACCAAGGACATCTCCCCCCAAAAAAGGGTACCAATCAAAAGCCCCACCTTCTGGTTTTCCTTCACATTGCAGAGGCAGTGGTGGATCGTACAGAAGGTACTTGTTGTGCAGGGGGAAAGCTACTCATATAAACCACTATAGTTTCAGCACCAAGGACAACTCCACAAAAAGAGTACCAATCAAAAGCCCCACCTTCTGGTTTTCCTTCACATTGCAGAGGCAGTGGTGGATCGTACAGAAGGTAGTTGTTGTGCAGGGGGAAAGCTACTCATATAAACCACCACAGTTTCAGCACCAAGGACATCATCACAAAAAAGTATTAAAAAGAGTACCAATCAAAAGCCCCACCTTCTGGTTTTCCTTCACACTGCAGAGGCAGTGGTGGATCGTACAGAAGGTAGTTGTTGTGTAGGGAAGTCTCCTCTGCCCCAATATTGGAGCCTTTCTCCACTCTCAGTATCCAGTAGGAGGTTGTGGCACACACAATATCAGTGAAAGACTTTCCATTCAGATGCCCCTATAGGAAAACATTTTTTAATCTTTTTATCTTTTTTATTCAACAAAAAAAAATAACAAAAGAGACGAACCATCCAACTTGACAAAATGTACATATGGTACATATAATATGAAATCATAATATATCACAATATAATACGAAATCATAATAAATTATATGATATAATATAATATAATAATATAATATCACACCGTATCATATAATAATATCATATAATATGATTTAAACACAAAAACCGCCCCATTTCCCGAGCTTCTCCAATTTGTTTTTAATTTGTATCGATATAAAGCTCAACTTTGTTAAAAAAGGCTATATAATTTAGAAAGGATTGAAAATTCAATTTTTTGGACTTTCTACTATGGAATATGAAACATTTTGCTATTAAGATGATAAAGTTTTGGATTAAAGGTTTTCGAAAATGATATTAAAACCGTTCAAGAGAATATCTTGATCGTTTTTTTTGAACATACCAAAATTTGATCTTATTCCAAAAATTGCTGGAAAAAAGTTGTAGGAAAACATTTGCACAAACCATGGATGATATTTCTTGCATGCTGCATATGAATTAGGCATTTTAGTACACTGTATGACAGTAAGCAAAAATTTGAAATATAATTCTAAACTAGAAAGGCCAACATTTGCTTCAGAGCAAGTGTAGAATATTTCACTCCATCTCCCTCCCCAAACAAAAATGGAAGATTCTAAATAAATCATACTGAAATTATCTAATTGAGAACAAGGATACAAGGACAAACTCTTTGAATCTTGACAGCTCTATTATATATTCTTAAATTTTAAATTTTAATTAGGAAAGAACATCGGCTGTTGTTGGGTCCAGATTCCTAAATGCAATGTCTCTATTGTTTACTTCAAAATGATTGTTTCAGGGCAGACAGTACTATTAGATCTGGCCATAGGAACACATGCTTAAATGCACTTAGTCTATTAGAAGTCCTCATGAAAGTACTTGCCCATACTTCAATCTCAAAATTTTTTCTGCACCAAGTAGCCACAAGTGTCTGATTCCCAAATATAGGGGGTTGACCAGCTCAAATTCCTGCCACAGCTGATGATAGTAACAAAACCTCAACTTTGACCTAATTTTCCATGGTATCCATCCGCCTGGCCAGACAAGACCTAACCACTCACATCTCTCATTACGCCCACTAAACTGGTGAAATAAACAAAACTTGACCAAAGTAGGAAAGTTTAGACCCTACCTGTGCCTTCCAGCCCCAAAATCTCCAAAATGGACCAAAACTTTCAAGAAAAAAAAAGGATTTTTAAAGGTATTAACTAGGCACTACGATCATGTTCCCATTTTGAGGCCTCTACTGTGCAACGCAAATGTGGTGTCTGCCCTTAACAATCATAAGTAAAAAAAAGCTTTTGAAAAAAACTGCCAATTCACCTTGATACCCTTCAGTGTTCTCTTCTCCCCACGCCCCAGGGGCCGGTAGATATCTGGCGGATAGTGCCACCCCTGGGTGGGGCTGAGCTCGGTGGCCGTGTGGGGGCTGAAGTCTGCCGTCTCACTGGCATACAGTTTCACCAGGAAGTTCTCATGTCCAGGGGAGGCAGCATCAAATGGTAACACAGCAACGTTCTGGAAGAAAATGGAAAATTAACCTCATCTGTCTTTGCATCTTTCCAATAAAAGCATAATGGTGCCAATGGGATCAATTGTTACAAATGTATGTTTACGAAAGGAAAACATATTGTTTTTGCTCAGTTTCTTCCTCTTCTTCTTCTCCAAACAGTGACCTCTGACCTGACCAATGACATAATTTGTTGACGTCTGTCACCATGGTGACTGGTGTTTGGTTACATAATGTTGCAATTTCATGGTCTGCTCTGCTCCAGTCATTATATACTAGTAGTGCATGTATGTGCATGTGTTTGAGTAAGAATTAACAGAGAAGACCATGTCCAAAGGTAAACATTAATATGCATTTGCTTTGCAAATGTTACTTCTCTAGTTAAAGTCTAAGTTTGTTATTTTACAACTGGTGAAAACCTTGCAAAAGACAAGTGAACTGCACCAAGTGTAACATGCAATGTACAAGTAGATCGTTGATCTAATGGTAACTTAAAAGACCTTTCCTCGAAGTTGGAAATTGAGCATGAGTTTACCCTATTAGAGAGCATGTAATATATATTTAAACATAAAACAAGTGTATTTTTATAATTCTTCAGAGAATCAAACTATATCTATGATATCTTAATGAGACTTAGCAATATGGACTTGGTTTACAGATTTTTCTAGAAAAATAATGGAGCGGGCAGGCGATAAAAAAATAAAAATAAAAACAGGCCTAGGCATCCTATTATGGCCCAAAATGGTACGATAGGAGCCATGAAGTCAACACACCAGGCTGGTCAAAATTTAAACAATGAATTTTTAACTTTTAATGATACCATTGCATTGAAAGATGGAATAACTGCAACAACTAGGATGAAAAGGACTGTTTTCAACTGTTCAGGGCAAAATATGAGCATTTTGCAGTTGATTTTGAATTTTTATTTTTATTTGCAAATCAGAAAGAAATGAGGCGGGCGAATCCGTTAACCAAGAAATTAAATTGGTGTGGCCTGAACTTTAAAATGTAAATTGTTCGCTACCTGTATAGTTACATCGAGGGTGACAGGCAGGTCAGTGTAAGGCCAGATGTCCATCTGTCCATGTAGCGGGTACACAACCAGGTCTGACACACTTAGTACATCTGCAGGACAAAATACCAAGTTAACGTTGTGTTTGTGTGTTTGTTTTGTATAACCAGTAAACTGCCTTTAGGTGTAACACACCAGTTTTGTACATGTACATACATGTACAACTTGTGTAAGACCAGACTGTAATGTTTGAACCACTCACACCGGGAAGGTCCCCTACTCTTTTCGATAAGTGTCACACGTGGGTACTTTAACGTGCGTGGGGTGTGGCTCTCCCCAAACATGGGTCCTCCATTTAACGTCCTATCCAAGGGACATCTAGCTAGGTACTTTCCCATGGTCGCAAGATTGGTGACATGGGCAGGATTTGAACACTCAACCTCTTGGGTGTGAGCCGAATGCGCTACTGACTGTGCCACACGACCAATAACAGTTAAATCAGTTATTGCACGGCAGTTAGCATTTGACCAATGAGTTGCTGCATGCCCATTAAATAGGATTTTGAATTTTTATGTTGTTATCAATATTTATACAATTTGATGGTGGCCAGGGCCATAGGATAGCATGGTCTTTAACCAGGTACAACATACACAGAAACATCAAGTCAGACGTTTCATACCTACCTGCATTGCACAGTACAGTGATGGGGATAACTGCAGTGTTGTTCAGTTCACTCCTCTCTGATACAAGATTACCTGCAACAGAAACAAACAACAAATAAACAAACAAACGTACTTCAAATTTCAAGATGGCTAGAAGTCAAATAAAAGAAAGTTATATATAATATCATTTAATCTTATATATGATATATAACCAAGGAGGTTAGAGAGCTGAAATTCATGATATAATAACAAAATGTGTCTTTAGAAACTAAAATAAGAAACTAGAAAAGGTAACATTTGCAAAGCAAATGCATAAAGTTTACCTTTGCATATGGTCTGCTCTGTTAATTCTTACTCAAACACATGCATATACATATATTCAGACAGGAGTCTAAATCCCTCCTGCTATAAAATTGCAACATGATGTAACCCAACAACAGGTACCATGGTAACAGACAGTCTGGTTCAGGTCATCTACCTTTTTGGGTTGGAGAAGAAGAAGACAAAGAGATGTAGCAAAAACAATATGCTTTTTTTTTTTTTATAAAAATGGGGATAGTGATAGTGAAGTACCTGTGTCAATGACAACTCCAAGAAACACTGAGCCACAGTACTGGGACCCATCTGGCTGTTGAGGGATGACCAAGTTGTCTCCCCCCAGGTTCAGGAAAATGGTTTCTTCCGATGTTTTGGTTGGGACCTGGTCAGGGTCAAAGGTGACAGGACCAAGCCTCCTTCTCAGTTCTGATTCTCCCAGACGGCCGAAACTGTGAGGAATCTGTGGAAATATTGTGAATGTAAATTATCTAAATATCACATAACATGTAAAGCATTTCTTCTTCTAATCTTTCAGACCCTCTCAGACCTTAAATACTTGTGGGGTCGTGTGGCGCAACGACAGCGTGTGCGACTCGGAATCAAGAGGTCCCGGGTTCAAGTCCTGACATGCCACCAATCTTGTGCCCTTGGGAAAGGCACTTTACATGATTTTCCCCACTAGACTCAAGTGAAAATGAGTATTGTCTGTCCAGTATTCATTTATATGTGCGGGACACAACACCAGCAACAGCTGCCTCTGTTCTTCGTGTATTGCACTGTTGCAATTTCAATAGATCAAATCAAATCAAATCAATACTATGACAGGGTAGCTGCCTTAAAACTGCACAACTTGGCCTGGCAGTTGATTCCACTCACACACATTTTATCACGTTTGTGATAAAACTACTTTTAAGCCATGTTTAAAAACTAAACATGCACAGTGTGTCAGAAGCTTTGTGGATTATATATAAGTTATACATTAGATAGCTGACTTTTGCAGGACACATGCATGACTTGTCCAAAGAAATCCCCTCAATTTTACAATTGAAAATTACAAGTACAGGGCTCGAAATTCATTTTTGGGAATAGGTGCACTGGTGCACGCAACCAAAAAATTAGGTTCACAGAAATTTTTTGGTTGCACCATATAAAACAAAACTTACAGATCTTACAGCTCCTCTTTCTGAGCTTGAATATGAAATGGGAGCTAACTTCAAAATCTTAAACTAGTACTACAACAAAGGTTTTATTATTTCTCTGATACCTAGATGCCAAGAATATCCTGTATACTATTATACATTTACATGTAATATGTACAAAAATACCTACAAAAATATTTGGGTGCACTGGTGCACCCACAGAAAAAAATTGGGTGCACAGCTCCAATTTTGGGTACACAACCCGCCGTACGTGCTTCTGCGTGCTGTCTACGTGCAAAAACGTGGGCAAACGTAGGGCATCCGTGCGTGGTGACTACCACCTCCGTACGGAATCCTACGGATTTGGGAGCACACGGACACGCCATAGAACTTTAAGTGCATGTAAAACTTTTTCAAAGTCGAAGGTTGCCGACCCCGTGCGAGTGTACGAGCGACGTGCGTGCCCCGTGCGTGCCGTGCGGAAGAAGCACGTGTGAGCACGGCCTCCTTACAATAAAGTTGCAATCGCATAGAGATCGTACGTTGTAAGCACGTACAACTCACTTACCACTTGCGCAACGTACAATGCACGCAACCGCTCACGGCCAGACGTAACGTGCAGACCACACTCTTACACCTTGCGCAACCGTGCGATTGACGTGCGAGTGACGTGCGTCGACGTCACTCCTTCCCGACATTTTCAGAAAAAACGTAGCAGACGTACATGTAGCCTCCCAAAAAACGGACGGACAAAAAGCACGCACGGCGGGTTGTGACCGTAGCTTAAAGGTGCACATATGCACCCAGTATTTCGAGCCCTGCAAGTACCTTTATATCCACATCGGTGTGTATGTCCTGGTCCAGTGACAGGTACAGTTGGATCTGGATGGGGGTGAGTTGGAAGTCGAAGGTGGCCGACCCCGCCAGCTCCACAGCCAGCAGCAGCTGGTAGTCGCGCGGTTCTCCCTCCACAAACACGCCATCACCCGTGTTCAGCAGGTGGGTGTACAGGTCGATGGTGTCTAACCGGAGACAAAGTACAGTTATCTGTAAATCACCTTATATCTGAAACTTTATTCGCAAAATCATGCCCGAAGGCTAATTGCTTTTACAATCAAGTACAATGTATAATACTCATTGCAATACAGTAACAGGAGACAGGTAACAACTGTCTGGAAAAAACTTCTACTTCTACTACTACGCTACCTATTATGAGGTTCGACTTCTTCTTTGAAGGCAGTGGATAATGAATAGTCCCACATTCTGCATAATTTAAATAGTGGGTTTTGTGATCTTAGTAGAAATGCAGTTTTTTGGTGATCTTCTAAATGACGAAAGGATGGAGAAATTGTTGTAACTGTCTGAAATAATCTTTTCTTTCTGAAATAATCGTTTCTTTCGGTCTCATAGTGAGGACACTGGCTAACAATTTGAAACTGTATTTCATTTTCCACTGTATTCATTGTATATCATACCCGGGCTGCAATAACATTCGATAGTGAGTTCCGGACCAGGCCGGTACGGTCCGGGCTTCACTGGCTACCATAGAACACTTCGAATGCGTTTTGCCCTAACCGTGTGCACCGCTTTCGAAAATTCGAATACAGAATCCGGACGTTAGAATTGATGTTGTTGCATTTTAGGGTTCAGTGGAACCAACTTTTGGCTCATCTTGCATTGAAAGGCGCGTTTTCTTGGGTGGGTATGACATAAATAAAATACAACACGGTGTATTCCACATCACCCTCGGTCCCAGCCCTCCCGCGGTCGGGCCGATACCTCGGGTGATACAGAATACCCTGTGTTGTATTCTATATCAGATAGTCGCAGTAAAAAAAAATTGGCAGTCGGAGAAAAAAAAGGGCATGTTTGTGGAAATAATGTGTTCACAGTGGCGGCAGGTACATGTACAGAAGAAAGAAAGTTGGCAAATTATATGTATAAACTTTGTGGTAATGATCAATTTGTGGTACAGAAGTGACTGCAAAAACTGCAAATAGATTACTGCGAATATAAAGTGATTTACAGTATATAGACCAACTTCCAGTAAGAATTTTGGGATTTTCGTGACCTTCAAGTTTACAGACCTCTGGGAAGTGTTTTGGTGGTTTTGTGAAATTCAATGTATTGGAACTGTGGAGGGGATTGTATGATGTACGTTAATCACTATCTCCAGGGGGTAATGACGGGAAGAAAGTCATGTAATTGCGCACAATGTGCCAACTAGGCGCTAGGGGATGGAATACCCCAATGAGTGTAGTTAAGAGACTCACGCCGTGTAAATCTTCACCTAAGGCACCCAAACTTAAAGTATAGCTCATTAATTTTTTCATTAAGAATAATTATTATGAATCATGACAATCACTATACATGTAGGAGGATTCATTCTGAAATTTTTTACAGCGTCAATTCAGAATCTATTTTTCACCAAAAGATGGAGATCATTTGATTTTTTCTTTACCTCCAGAACAGTCCAACACGTCAGGTGGCCAGACGGAACAGACCACATTGTCTGCGGGGGTGGCATCCATGTGGGGACTGTAGTCCGTTCCCTTCAGCGTGACTTCCAAGCAGATAAAAGTCGTGATTTCACAAACGTCGTGGGGAACTTTGACGGGAGCAGCCAGGTTGGTCAGGGATAATTCTGCACCTGAGTTCACCAGACCCTGAATGAGCAAGTAAGTTATTAATTCAAAAGAACCATCAGATCTACTAATTTATTAAAAGAGAAATGTACACATTACAAGCTAAGGCCACACCAATTTGATATCTTGGTTAACGGATTTTTCTAAAAAAATAATGGAGGGGGAGGGCGAAAAAAAATAAAAACAGATCTAGGCATCCTATTATGGCCCAAAATGGTACAATAGGAGCCATGAAGTCAACACACCGGGCTGGTTCAAAATTTAAACAATGAATTTTGAACTTTTAATGATACCATTGCATTGAAAGATGGAATAACTGTAAAAACTAGGATGAAAAGGACTGTTTTCAACTGTTCAGGGCAAAATATGAGCATTTTGCAGTTGATTCTGAATTTTTATCTTTATTTGCAAATCAGAAAAAAATGAAGCGGGCGAATCCGTTAACCAAGAAATTAAATTGGTGTGGCCTAATTAAAGATTACAAACATGTATTGAGCCAACAAAATACAATTAGGCAGTAATATCCAAATACTTGACTGTTTCAAAACTTAAGAGACATACAAACTCATTTTAAAAAATTACATACAGATAGAAAATAAGAACTTCATATTATTTCTTGCAATTGCTTACAACTGCCTGAAGTTCATCTTAATTGAAATTTCACCAAAAAGTACTTCTTTATTTTCTCATAAAAAGGACAAAATACAGTTTACTTACCTGAAGTAGGCTGTGACTCTCTGGTCCGTAGGTAACACTGGATGGAAACATAATAGCTCCTCCCTCTCCATTCAAATTAGACAGGAAGACATCTGATTGGTCAGAGATGTACACGTTCCAATCCAGCTGCTCCACCCCATTGGTCAGTGGCCTCCCATGGTTCAGCAGGGTGACATTGATGAGCACAGGTGTGAGGGTGTCCTCGTATACCCTGGCTGTCTTCAGGGGCTGGATGGTAAAGGACCCTGGCTCCAAGGAAAGATCTGACAAAGGAAGAGAAGTCAATCACCAGTCCTGGATTGTACAGTGTACACTTATCCTAAATGTTCACAATTAGCTTTCACAAAATTAGTAAAGGCATCCTTTACTTAGTGTCCTAGTAGGACAGAAACCTTCAAGTTGTTACAATAAGGTTTCACAAAATTAGTAAACTTCATTTACTTAGTTTGGGTCTGGTCCTAGTAGGACAGATACCTTGTTGCAAACAAACCCAAATTGGAAGACTTGCATGGCCTTTACTGATGGCATCAATGCAGCAAATAGAAATCCACAATGTCATACACCTACATGTACATAATACATGTAACATCTGTGTCCATAATATCACCAGGGTGAATAATATCGCCACTTTGAGAAATAGTGTGCTTTAAGATATTTTTACTGCAACATACTTTTGGTATGCACTCCTGCACACCTCAAATGTACATACCTAGGGTATGTTGCTGTAAAAATATCTTTAAGCACACTTTTTCTCAAGGTGTTACATCACATTGTGTATAAACTTAGTACATGAACTGGTGCAGGTAGACCAGGCACACAGCTCCAATTTTACCTTCTAAGGTTCTTCAAGTAAACTGCATAATGCAGGTGACATTTGGAGCCTTTTGAGACATTTGAACAGTAAACTCAAATTGATAAATGTGACAATTCTTTCCACTGATATGCAAACCCCACTTTTAGCTATTTACTTTTAAGTTGACATACATTTTGACTATCTACCATTATGATTTGATATCTGAATGATTATAATTACTTCTATGTTTATTTCAATTGATTGTTGATGAGTTAGTTACGATTTCGTCTTCTTCACGATAAGTTTAACTATTTTTAGTTGACCTTTGTTAGTTCATCTTTAATCTTTTGTTATGATTATAATGTCATGTAGTTTTGTTGGGGTTATCCCCCCAGGAATCTTTGAAAACCACCAATACGCGACATGTATTTCCTGGTTGAAAAAAAATCAAAACAATAATAACCTGGTTAAAAGATAAATTTTACGGCTCTCAGTGGCCAATATGAGATGTTGTCACATCGGCGCACCAAGGTGTTTTAGGCACCCTGACAGACAGATTAGCCTAAGAGGCTCAGTGGGTGTCACTCCACCGTATAGGTGGGGAAGTCGTGTAAAGTGCCTTTCCCAAGGGCACAACGTCGGGCCACGGTGAGTATCGAACCCGGGACCTCTCGGTTCCAAGTCCAACGCTCTAACCGTTGCACAACCGACGCCACTGGTTAAATAAATAAACAAACAAACAAACATTACCCAGATCACACCACACCCCTGGGCTCCTCCCCGTGGAGACATTGGCACACATCATGTCGTCTGCCGAGGCCCAGTCCTGGAGTCCCGACATGGCGCCCGTGTCATAGGTCAGGCACAGGTACAGCTCCGACTGACACTTCTCAACAGGGATGGTCATGGTCGCCGACACATCTATGACAGGATATGATGAGGAGAGGGTAAAAATGAGTACCTAGCTTCGGTTAGGGGCGTCTTATCGGATGGGACGTTAAAATGGAGGTCCCGTGTTTGAGGAGAGACACACCTCAAGCATGTTAAAGAACCCACGTGAGCGGAAGTGGAACAAACAATTATGGTCTAAAAAGGGGTAGGGAATTTTCCCGACCAGCCTCGTAACCCCTGCTTCTCCTATTGGGTCAGTTAGTCCTCACTATGAGAAATTGGGCTTGTCTTAATCATGATGTTTCTGACTCAGGGAGAAGAGTTGCTGTTACAGTTCTATACCTGTAGCTCTATGCCTAGAAGTGGCCAAAAAATAATTGGCCTTGCCACCCAAAAATAATTGGCCTTGCATTGAGCGACACCGTTAAAAAAAAAGGTAAAGGTAGTTCCATTACTTGCAGGGCTCGAAATACTGGGTACATTGTGCACCTTAGTGCACCCAAATTTGGAGCTGTGCACCCTATTTTTTTTCTGTGGGTGCACCAGTGCACCCAAATATTTTCGTAGGTTTAGGTATGTAAAGATGTATAGTAGTATACAGCGTATTCTGAACATCCAAGTGTTGCAAAAATAATAAAATCATTGCTATATAGTACTTTTCTTTAGAAAAGAAATATTATAATAATTAGTTTTTGCAGAGACAGACATTCTATTTATTTTATCTTAAGTTATATGGTGCACCCAAAAAAAGTTTTTGCACCCAATTTTGTAGGTTGGGTGCACCAGTGCACCTACGGCAACTTAACACACTGTATCTACTTTGGATAGACATTTCATATTTTATATACTTCCTTCAAATTTCATTTTGTACTACCGGCTGAATGCATGACAGCTACATGTACATGTATGAATAAATGAATAATAATTATAAACGAAGAAAGGAAATAAGGAATTGAATTAAAATAGAAGATTAGATTTCACCTGTAAATGTCCTTGTGCTTCCTGAAGGCCAGACAGACTTCCTCAAGGGTTCGTCCTCCTCCTTAAAGACAAAAGTTGTCTCAAGTTCAAGAGCACCCAACCCGTCAGTGTCCAGTCCAGCATACCTGTAGAAATATTCACCAAGTCACCATGGGGCAAAATAGTCGTAGATGTCACACAGAAGGGTAAAATTACCTGCTCAATTTGGTAGCTAAGGCCATACCAATTTAATTTGTTGTTTCTTGGATTTTTTCAGAAAAAATATGAAGCGACAGGGCGAAAAAACAGGCAAAGGCATCCCATGATAGCTGGAAATTTTACAATATGAGCCATGAAGTGAACATATCAGCCTGGTTTATTATTAAAATTACAATAGATTTTGAATTTTTAATGAAACAAAATTGCATTGTTGTTCAATTGAACAACTTTAACAACTAGGAAGAAAAGGACTTTCTTCAAATGTTGAGGACAAAATATGTCTTTCATTGAGCATTTTGCAGTTAATTTAGAACAAAAAAATTTTTTTTAAATTTACTTATTTTTTTTTTGCAAATCAGAAAAAAATGGACAGGGCGAATCCGAGAAACAACAAATTAAATTGGTGTGGCATAAGGGTTCAGGTACACAATTTTGTGGACACCATGCTGAAGACCTTAGGATGGCTGACTGTTAGGAACAGAAAGGGAAGAGAAGCCTTGTCACTTTTAAATGAATAATGCTCACCAAACAACCAAAGGTTTTGTATGACAAAACCAAAACCAAAATCTCAGAAATGGTGCTTCTTGTACAGAATGTCTCAATTGTGGAACAACACAGGCAACAACTAGAAGAGTATTGGACTGTAATTATGTTTTTTTGTTCCATACTGTTAACTTTGTATGTCATTGTATGTTTCTCTTCAATATTGTAACACATGTATGTACAACGTCATGTAAATGTATATTATATGAATGTGCAGACCACAGGAAGAATACTCTTATGAGGCTAATTGTGGATCCAAATAAAAACTCAAACTCAAGGGTTGGTGTTAGTTAGAGTTGGAATCATTGATTAGGCTAGGGTTAGACTTACATAGGATTGGGGTTAGGTTTGGTCTCCATGCCATGTCACAAACAACCCATCCCACCCCTTGTCTCAGGTATATTGAAAACACCTGTCAGTGAGTAGTGTCCAGGGCATTTATGTTGGCCCGTATGCCCTTTTCCGTAGAGCGTAATCGGTCGTTTTAATTCTACGTAGAGCGTAGACGGACCGCTCTAATTCAACATAGCATATTTGCCGTTTTAATTGTACATAATGCATTGGAATTTATCGTAAAGCGTAATCGAGAAGTTTCCGAATTCAGCTTAGAGCGTTGTCTCCCCCCCCCCCATTCAGACCCTCATTTATTTGGCTGGGGCAGAAATTTGGATTCACTGGTGGGACTAATGGCTATGCCACATTCAGGAAGGCAGGGGCTAGCCTATATTGTATTATGTAAATCATAATTGTGATATTAGATGTCAGATTTCTTCGTATATTTGTTATGTTATGTCAACGACCTTCAACAAGGTCAAGGGATAGGTGAGGTGAGGTGATGCTATGTTAATATGTATATGCTTGCAGGGCAATTAACATAACAAAAGGACTCAGTGTATTATGTATATTAAATATATGTAGTACCCCAATGCGTGTTAATGCAGATTTGTGCCTTTCTTTGCAAACATAAGCCATTTATTTATTAGTGATGTGGGTGTAAAACTGCTCAACTGTACATCCACCAAAACAACAGGCATTTTCAACACAGTGGCCCAACAGAGCACGTCGGCAGAACGCACTGCACCTGTGCGAAACCCTTAGTGTATTATACATAGCACTTTGGTAGAACGTCTCATATAAGGTCGTATTCGCACATATAAGGTTAACATCTTGTCTGTAGTTTCCAAATGTTATGTTGGAAAAGATATCCCTTGCAACAGGCAAAATTCCAATGCAACATTGACCAAACATCCACCGAAAAGCATGAAAATGTGGGGTTCTGCGCAGGCGCAGTACGTTCTGCCGACGTGCTGCCCAACAGTACATTTCTAGCATGAAAATGTAACATAACTTCAATGACAGGTAACCAAACCAGTTTTGTCCTCGACCTTTTTGATTTAATCTATTCAGAAATTTCCCAAGGCCAGCAAAAAGGTTAGCATCAAGGAGTAAAAAACCTGCTCTCTGTGAATATTTATTAAAAAACTGGGGGTTTACATAGTGTTAAGCCAGACTAATCTAGAGTTGTTTATCGCACTCCACTGCGGCAAACCTCCACAGAGGTTGTGTCTTACGAGCAGGTTGCATCAGGATGAAACTTCCTTCAAAAGTCTCTCACAAGATGATCGACCAATTGGAGACATTCTGACTACTAAGGTAAGATTGAACCAACTTCAAAGGTAAGTATGTCGGACTCCTTTTTTATTTGTAGACATTAGGTGTATATAGCATACAACACAGGGTATTCCGTATAGCCCGAGGTACCAGCCCGACCGCGCGTCAGATTGCCCGATGGCCCACCTTAGAAAACACGCCTTTCAATGCAAAATGAGCAAAAATTTGTGTCCCTAAAACCCAAAAAATGCAACAACATCAATTCTAACGTCCGAATTTTGTACTTGAATTTTCAAAAGCGGTGCACGTGCTTAGGAAGAAACGCATTCAAATCATTCTATGGAACATTTGGAAGCCCGGGCCGTACGCGTAAAGAAGCCCTGGCCGTACCGCTACTAATCACACGGGCCGGAACACCTGTATCGAACGTAATCGCGGCCCAGGTATGACGTAAATGATATAATATGCCTCCACTATACAACCACTCCCACTCCCACTCACCAACCATATTCGACCAAATTTGTTGATCGTCAAAATATTGCAGTCTTTGCAAAAAATTGCCCGAGAATCAAGCATAATTTTTTTATCACTTTGGGAAGGTACCTGCACATATTGACCAATCACTTCAAGGAACCCGGCCACATTCCAGCTGAAAATGTCATTTTGAGTTTGTACTCATGCTGATAACAGTATGCATGATGTACAAAATGACCTCAAGTTGGTGAACGTAACAAGTACCTAAAACCAGGTCAGAAAAGAACCAGAAATAGCCATGCCTTCAAGTACCAGAGTTATCACCGAGGATTGAGGTGTTCAAGAATTCATTCTTTCCTAGAACTATCGCAGAGTGGAACTCACTGTCACCAAGTACAGTAGGGGCATTGTCATTAGATAGCTTTAAACAATGTTTAGAGTTAGATGTTCAAGGGTTACGTGTAACAAGTCGTTCGGTGTAATGTAGCCAGCTGCTGTCGCGCTGCGTGCCTGCGAAGCTGGCGTGTTACGAAGAAGCTTGGTTATTATAACTGACTATACCAATACAGATACAGTTCTAAGACTTGTCAGATGAGCTATTTTCCCACATGATGTGTGAGTGTGCCCAGCCCCCAAGCTTGTTAGCCTGTATTTGTTTGTATTCCATGCCCGTAACCAGGATTTTTAATGGGGAGGTTCTTCCCACTTCTCGAGGGACCAGCAAGCGCCGTAGGCACGAGGCAAGTGCCAAAGTCGCAAGTTTCCTAGGGGGTCCGGGGGCATGCTCCCCCAGGAAATTCTGAAATGGCATTTCCTGCGTTTTTAGAGGATTTCAAAGAAAAAAGCCGTTTTCCTATGATTCCAGCCTTGCTGGGACATGAATTAGTCTATCTTTTTAAAGAAAAATCTTGGACATTTAGATAAAAAGTGGACCAAAAAAGTGGACCTTTGACCACCCCCCCCCTGGCTACTGGCATGTATTTGTTTGTCTGTATTTGTTACACCACTGAGTGCTTGCAGTGCAGCATTAATACACAGGCTACCAGCTTGTGTCACTCTCATCACAGTTCATGACTGGAGTTAAATTTTCTAATCCATACAGCCTCTTAGGAAGGCATCTGAAAAGTACAGCCTCCATGACAAATGGAGGTGTTGTTTTTTTGGTCTGTGTGTTTGTGAGCAGCATAGTGCATAAAAGTTAAAGAAGCTACATGTATTCAATGAGTGGTAATTGCTCCCATGTATGTATGGTATGATGCTTTGCTTAGTATACCTTTGAATTAATTATCATACCTGTGCTGTGATAATGTTCCATATGGGTGTTCTGGCCTTTGTCATACCTAGCATTCCATGTTTTCCATTGAATAATTTGAATGCGCCTTGTGTGTGCCAAGTGTGCGACACGTTTGATAATTTGAACACGGGATTCAGAGGTTTAAATTTTCGAATTGATGTTGTCATATTTTTTGTTTATAGACACCAAATCTTAGCATGCTTTGTATTGAAATGTGTGCTTCCTTGGTTGAATATGACATAAATAAAATAAAACAGTGTATTCCACATCACCCTCGGTCCCAGCCCTCCCGCAGGATGGATATCCCTCTATCTGGCCTTCAGGCAACTTGCCCTGCAATTGGTCTAGTGCCTTGGGTGATACAGAAAACCATGTTGACTTACATTATTTGTAAAAAATTATGCAAAATGTAAGAAACTTTGATGTCTCTGTGTTTCCCTGTCCCTGGTACAGACTGTGTTTCCCTGTCCCTGGTTCTGACTGTGTTTCCCTGTCCCTGGTGCTGACTGTGTTTCCCTGTCCCTGGTGCTGACTGTGTTTCCCTGTCCCTGGTGCTGACTGTGTCCCTGGTGCTGACTGTGTTCCCTGTCCCTGGTGGTGACTGTGTTTCCCTGTCCCTGGTGCTGACTGTGTTTCCCTGTCCCTGGTGCTGACTGTGTTTCCCAGTCCCTGATGCTGACTGTGTTTCCATGTCCCTGGTACAGAGTGTGTTTCCCTGTCCCTGGTGCTGACTGTGTTTCCCTGTCCCTGGTGGTGACTGTGTTTCCCTGTCCCTGGTGGTGACTGTGTTTCCCTGTCCCTGGTGGTGACTGTGTTTCCCTGTCCCTGGTGCTGACTGTGTTTTCCTGTCCCTGGTACAGACTGTGTTTCCCTGTCTCTGGTGCTGACTGTGTTCCCTGTCCCTGGTGCTGACTGTGTTTCCCTGTCCCTGGTACAGACTGTGTTTCCCTGTCCCTGGTTCTGACTGTGTTTCCCTGTCCCTGGTGGTGACTGTGTTTCCCTGTC